TCTCAATTTAGTTGTTCTATACAACTAGAAGATACTTTTATCTTCTAACTCAACTGCAGTATACAGTTAAAAGTTGTATACAGTATTCTAATTTTATATAGTTCTGTCTATTAGATATTTTATCTTCTAGCCAGTATAAACTGTATTGATATTATACTGGCTAAGGATGCCTATTTAATTCACATAATTGATGTTAAAAAGTTTATACTGCTTCTGGAAACTTGAAGTTTATTGAAGTAAACAGTCTAGTCAGAAATGGCATGGGCACAAATATAAAATTGCTTTTTTGTATAAAATTTAGTTAAATTGATTGGATGGTACACCATATATATGTATATACTACAGTATTAATATTTAAGCTTCAAGATTAAAGGTATAATTTTTCTTGCATTATTCTTTACCATCCTTATTCAAACCTTTTTCTTTTATTGATCAAAGTCTTCTGGTAAGCCTCACGTAAATTTAAATCAGTGGGGAGATGGTACTTAATTTTTGTTTTTCCGTAATTTAAATGTAAGGTACAGGCAGGTTTAATAGTAGCTCAGTAACCATATGCTGCCCGCACTCTTAACAGATATCCATTCAGCCTGTCCTCCTAAGGTTACCCAATGTCAAGAAAATGGTCAATTTAAAGTCTTCTCCTTACCTACCACAGGACCCAAAACAGAAAACGGGACGTCGCTTTTGTGAGCTGCTTCCATTTTCTAGTACGACAATTTTTGGCCTTAACGCATACGAGCAAAAAGCGATGTTCTTTGTTGGACGGGTTGATCCATGCTGCTTCCCAAAGTTTCTATTTTTGTTTTGTACATTTTTATATTATCTTTTATAAATGTGTGCCAATCTTTCGTCAAATACCTAATACTGTAACATTAAGTTGTATACAATGCTGTGATTAAAAAATATTAATGAAAATGATTAGAAATGGTTATTACAATTGAAGACTGGTTTTGCAAGGGACATTTTGTGAAGGGTTTGGTACACTACCATTTTATTTGGTAATGTGACATTTTTATTTAACCTATTTACGAATAGCTTTAATTATAAATGTGGACTAAATACTGTACACAGTGTATATACATGTGAAATTTGTATTTCAGTAGATGAAATTGGCTAGTTTTTCCAGGGCCACCGGTATATAATCTTGGGGTATAGGCTCTCCAAAACCAGCCAGATGATTATATCACCCTTTAGTTTAATTCTAAACTTTCACTCCTCTGTTGGACTTAAGGAAATTGGTATGTAATATTTACAAAGCAAATTTTGACTTATGAACTAGCAATTTCAGTGCACTCTTTGAGAAAAATATATAGAGCCCCGGTGCCTTAGGTCTTCCTGGGAGCTGATAACGACTCGTGTAAGATGTTAAGGGTGAAGTTATCCGATTAGAGGGGTGGTCATAGCAGAAGCTCCTTCAGAGGTTATTGCTAAACAAATATTTCACAATATTAAATGCTGTAAACCCTCTTCCTACCCTTTCATATGATCCCCCTTATTGGCAACATTGACTTTATAGCATTTACTGTATAATAATAATAATAAATCACAACAGCTTTGGTAACCCACTTTAGCTAAGAATCGTCTTTGCCGAGATGTATTACACTTTTTCATCGATAAATTTTTTTCCTCTGGAATATTGTTCAAATCTCATTTTTATCCCACTACTGTTTAATTTGGAATGTACAGACTCAGCAATGAGACTCTCAAATGGGTCCTAGGATACTGTAATGATGCCAGTGTTTGTTTACATTTTTTATTAATGACTACTATTGACTGAACTGTTGTAGCTTCACTGATATGATATGCAGTCACATATGATGTGATATGCTACTGCATATCATGCCAATATCTTCACTGGTGTGATATGTAGTAGCATATGAAATCTTGCAACACCAGTACATGTCATGTGTTGAATGTTATACGTTTAATATGTGTAGTCTAGTATTGTATACATATTGATTGTTGCTAGAATGAGAATACTTTATAAACATCTTGCATGCTTTAACAGAATACTAGTACAGTAATTAAAAAAAATATTATTATGGCTGCATTGTGCTTTAATAAACATTTATGCCACACACATGGTTACATAAATACATATAGCATGGGTACTAAACATGTTTTTGACTTGTTACAGATATAAAACTGTTGTCATTGATTATATAGTAATAGATTGGAGTTAACTAGATTTAATATTGTAAAAATGTTTTAACCAGTAATGTAGTAAAATGCATTTAAAAAGTGCAGTATCAACATTTATGAATTGTTGTATTTGCAACAAAGCAATGCAAGGTAATATTAAAGTGAAAATTTTCTGTGGAAGGTTATATCGACCCAAGTTTCTTTAGGTAACCCACATGTCAGTGTACAGTATTGCAATTTGCATAGCAGATTTGTTAAGTTGTTACTAGGTATAGAGTTCCATATAGACAGCTTATGTCAATTAATGTATACCACCTTGTACATGTCTTAAGAGAAGTAATGTGTGTACCTTAATTTACGGTATAAAAAAGCCAGTCATGACTAGGATTGCACGCGAGTTTTAGACTCGGATGCTCTTGCAATATGTTTTGTATATACTGTATACAAGATACAGTGGATTGTTACTACAGGTTTTGGTATAGATTAAAAAAAATTTACTTGTTTTTATCTAGGCTTGCAGGAGGTTTCTAAATCCTGCTTGTACAAACTACTGCTTTACCAAGCCCAAAGTACAGCAATTTATGCGACTCGGCTGCAATACAGACTTTTCTTAAGAAATTAATGCAAATTAATTTGGTTTTGACAAAATCTACTACATACTAACAGTTTTCATTATAGTGTCAGTGTGATACTGTGTAATACTTCCCTATATTACTGTAGAATTTAAATTATTTTGGTGTAAATAAAACCTTTGAGAGTAAATTATGAAAGTGTATTTTGTGAATTTAACTTTAACCTTCAGTGAATGGAATGATATACAGTAAATTACAATAAGTTACAGTACACTCTACTTACGTTTGAAAGGCCTTGGGTTTAATTCCTGCACCAGGACGACAGGTGTTTGGGCGCATTTTCCTATATATGATGCCTCTTTATTTTATTATTATTTTTTTGTTTTCTCACCTAGCAATCACAGCTTGGTGCCTACTTTTGATAATTACTTACCTGGTATTGCAATTAGTTACCCAGAAGTTAGACAACTGTTGTGGATTGCATCCTAGGAAATATTCACTGTTTACTTAAGGGGACCTTGATAAGTCTTTCTCCAGCACTGGGAAACCAAACCAGAAACCATATCATTCAGGATGCCAGTACAAGAGTAAAAAGACAAGACGATAGATGTTAACGGTATTAGATTCACAGGATATTATCGAGGGGAATTTCAAATACTGAAATTCAGGACATTTTGCAAGGTGCAAGAATAACAAACATAATTCAGTTGTGCATAAGTATCCCCCTAAGAAAAATGCAATGAAAATTACATCAGATAATGGAATTGACATGATGGAAATATGCCACTTTCAGTTCCCCCCCCCCCATTCTTTATGGAATAATCATCTGCAGCTTTATGCATTTTTTACACAATTTTATACCCATCACAAATCTATCTACAATAATTTATACAATCCTGGAGTTATATTAATGTTATCTAATTCATCACGTATATGAAAGAAGATTCAATAGTATTTCTTTCACTAACAAATTTGCACAGCAATTTAGCATGAATTAGTCCAGTCGAATGATTACAATTTCTTAGGTGAACAAACAATGCATTGGACTTGTGACCTGGACTAATTCATGCAAAACTATTGATAAAATTTGTTAAAGAAATATTATTCATTCTTTAATTAAGAGTGGTGAATCAGATAATATTAATTTAAGTCCAGAATTGCATAAATTATCGGTAGATAGATTTGTGATAGGTATAAAATTGTGCAAAAAAACCCAGCGTTGAATGTAATGAAATGCCATTTTCTGGGCGAGACCCGGAGGCTCCCCGGAACTATCCAGGCTGATAGGGATATATTAGATTTCTGGCATCAGTCAGGATTATTTTCATTTCATTTTCCTATATGGATACTTCTATGAGGTGTGGAACAATGTAGGTCTGGTAGCAAGGGATGGGTCTCTGTACCATTAAGTGCCGTTAATATTATGTTGCCCATACATTATCTAGTTAGACATCCACAAAGTCATTAGAGGCAACACTAATATGACTGGAAACTCAGTAAAATTCGACTTTTATATTTATTGAAGATGAGGAAGAGCCAATATTAGATTTGACAACTCTGGGACATGAAGAGTTAAAAAGACTCCAGGGCCATGAGAGGATTGTGAAAGTCAACAATAATTAGATATAAATATTGGTAATCATCTTTAGAGCATATAAACCATCATAAAGCGCTGCCATCAAAATACTTGTCTGGAGGAGAGGGGACAAAAACAGCACATAAGGGTTACAACATGAAAAATAACAGAAGGAAAGGGAAGAGAGGATAATGGAGAGAAGAGGCAGCAGGCATGAGGAGGATGGGGAGAAGGGGCAGCAGGCATGAGGAGGATGAGGAGAAAGGGCAGCAGCCATAAAGAGGATGGAGAGAAGGGGCAGCAGGAATGAGGAGGATGGAGAGAAGAGGCAGCAGGCATGAGGAGGATGGGGAGAAGGGGCAGCAGGCATGAGGAGGATGAAGAGAAGAGGCAGCAGGCATGAGGAGGATGGAAAGAAGAGGCAGCAGGCATGAGGAGGATGGAGAGAAGAGGCAGCAGGCATGAGGAGGATGGAGAGAATGGGCAGCAGGAATGAGGAGGATGGAGAGGAGCAGCAGCAGCCATAAAGAGGATGGAGAGAAGGGGCAGCAGGAATGAGGAGGATGGTTGAGTAGGCAAGTGTAAGTGAGACTTAACAAGTTCTTCAATGACACCTTTTGGGCAAACACGTCAATAAATAATTGATCTTTAATATTTATCTTATATACCTGGACATATTTTATAATTAATTCTATAAGAAAACTACAGGAGATACCAGATTAATTTAATTACTATAGTAACTGTGTAGGCACAAATTCTGCCACTTTTCCAACTACATTAATAATTAATTGATGATGAGGTAAAAGCTGTCACACAACTCTGGAAATATAGGAGATTCATTGATCAAGATTTACAATATTATATTTTAAAGAAGTTAAAATGTTTACAAATTTGTTAATGTTTCATTCTATACATTAAATAGTTCAATAAATATTAAGAAACACTAATGAGATACAGGAGCTAGAAAAAATAGAGGCGTAAAACTAATGGTTTTGAGCTCGGTCAAATAACACTTCCCGAGGAATACTTCCACTGGCTAGTCCCGGTGCGGTCGACTAACCGACACTCTCGGCAGAACACAATCACCCTCTTTCGGTGCCTTTGTAATATTAAAAGTAGTAAGAACCTTTGCTATAAAGAGAAGGAGAATGAGGAAGAGTGTTGTTGCCATGGAGATAACATAATGGCTGAGTGATGTTCCAATATCCAGCCATGACCCTTCTGTCCTAATAAGAAAGAAGAAGTGCAGGGCCATAAAGTCTGACATCACCAGGAACATGTAGAATAGTGCTCTGGTAGGAATCTGCAAACAAACATATATATATATATTACATACTCTAACGTGCTTCTTATTCTCACTACGTAATACTATACTATGTTTAAAATTTGTTCTACCTGACAAAGCAAAATGGAAGATTATTTTTTGTTTTTAATGCCAAACTAAATTTTAAATCAATTTCTTCAAGTAACTTTCTGGAGTGATCAGGGCAGCACAGCTTTCATCATTTGTTTGGATATTCACAGCAGCTTGGCTATTCATTTGACTACAATACTCAGCTATATCATCTTGAAATGTGTAAGTCATATACTTAATTAATGATAATAAATTATCATTAATTTATTAATGATAATATCATTATTATCATTAATTTATTAATGATAATAAATTATCATTAATTTATTAATGATAATATTAATGATAATAATTAATTATCATTAATTTATTAATGATAATAGAATTATCATGAGCGATTCAAATGTCACGGAGCAAATACACAAAATCTTTGTTGGAGCTATTCCACTCACCTGGGCTGTATGGATCTCTTCAGACTCATATGCATGGGGGTCGTCGGTTTGAGACCCATACAGGCCAGATGAATGAAATGTTTATTTTCATGGAAGTGTGGATGACAATTTTGTTGGAGCTAGTTTAGAGCAACACTGGAGAGACAGCAGGCTGTAGAAAGTGTACAATTCCTGCTTCTCTTCAAGCTAAATGCTTTCTCATTTTTACTTTATGTATTTTATCTATAAAAGCACATTAGCCGACTGATTCACATCTTGAAATAAAATAACAATTGAATGCACAAGATAAGAGTAAGGTTTAAAACATTCCACAAATGAATAATCAGTTTCCTCTCCTTGCTTACCTCAATAAGTGTGCAGATAGCATGAAAAAAACAGGTAACTAGCAGAAATGGGATGATGATCTTGAAAAGCAGCAAACCACCCATGATAAAAGGAGAGAAAATGGTGATGAAGCAGTAGACGAAGCTTGGATCAAAGCTATTGACACTAGCTATGTTTCCTGTCCCAAAGAACGCCAACACAATGAAGAACAGCTGGACCTTACGTTAAGGACATAATACAGTTCATGTAAAATATAAAATATTATCCACATACATGCTTAATCATATATATATATACACAATAATAGACTGTTTTCCAGGGGAGCCCTTTTGGCTCCCCAGAGCTATCCAGGCTGATATGGATATATTTGACTTTGGCATCAGTCAGTGTGAATGGAGTTCATAGGCCTACCGGGGACCATGAGCCAGAACCTGGCCCCTTCAGAGAGGCACGAGGAGCAATGGTCAATAGAATTGCACATGTGATTTGGAGAATTCTATGTCTGCCATCAACTGAATCAGGCACCCAGAAAGGTAAGCATCCCAAAACAAACCCCTATTCTGGTTGAAACTACTACTGAAAAGTCAAACGAGTGGACAGAACTCCTCAAAGAAAAATGAGCAAAGGAGCATGACGTCACCACGTGCTGCGCCGTTGTCTGCGCAGCTCCCCCCTCCCAGGAAGGGATAAGGGGGAGCCCCAGACCCCTCACGCGGGCTAGCCACACCTTCAGTTCTCGGCTGATGTGTTTGAGGCTTGGTCGTGTGACTCCAACTTCTGATTCTAGTTTTCAGTGCTATGCCTTATGTCTAGTGCTGTCTTCAGGATGGTGCGTGAGCTGGGAGTAATCTTCACAGGTACTAGGGCTACATGTGCTTAGGGTTGCCTTCCCTAAGTGCCCTGTAAGTACCGCCCCTGGGGCTTGGGGTTATCTTCCACAAGTCACCTTGGGGTCTACGTCTGCTTGGTCTTTTGCTGCTCGGTAATTGACTGCTCTAAGTGTGCTGAGGGATTCATCCTCCCATGTTTACCCTGGGATTGCAGCCATGGCAACTCCCACCTGACAACTGGGGCAGAGCAGAACTCCGACGCTTGCTGAGTCGGTGCCTCTTTTTTGCCAGACTTCCCGCGTCCTATTGAGGCCAAAATATGCCACTTACGATTTTTTATTATTTTTCCCGTGATCAGGGAACGCAAATTAACAGGTTTATAAGAAAAAAAGTTTTAATTTTTTTTATGCACCTGTGGGTGACAAAGGCCAAATAGCCCTTAGCATCTTGGGGGTTAAACATAAGGGCAGTGAAGAAGTGGGATGAATAAGCGAAAACACAAGCTCACTAAATTTAAAATAAGAAAGGATACAAAGAAGTATGCACGTCGAACATCTGACCACTCCAGTACTCTCTCTCCACCTTCGCTCTTCTCTCTACTCCACGTTGCAAACTTGAGCATTGCAATCTGTTGGAAAAAAGGGCAAAGAATGATATAAAAAAAATATTCTGAGCTGGCCATTCAGTTTCACACTAATGCAAAGCAATACCTTACCCACAGACAGGTCTAGACATCACCAGGCAATTGTACCTGGTTGATACCTGGTTGATGGGTTTCTGGGAGTTCTACTCCCCAAGCCCGGCCCGAGGCCAGGCTTGACTTGTGAGAGTTTGGTCCACCAGGCTGTTGCTTGGAGCGGCCCACAGGCCCACATACCCACCACAGCCCGGTTGGTCCGGCACTCCTTGGTGGAATAAATCTAGTTTCCTCTTGAAAATGTCCACGGTTGTTCCGGCAATATTTCTTATGCTTGCTGGGAGGGTGTTGAACAACCGGGGACCTCTGATGTTTATACAGTGTTCTCTGATTGTGCCTATGGCACCTCTGCTCTTCACTGGTTCTATTCTGCATTTTCTTCCATACTGTTCACTCCAGTACGTTGTTATTTTACTGTGTAGATTTGGTACTTGGCCCTCCAGTATCTTCCAGGTGTATATTATTTGGTATCTCTCTCGTCTTCTTTCTAGTGAGTACATTTGGTGGGCTTTGAGATGATCCCAATAATTTAGGTGCTTTATCGCGTCTATGCGTGCCGTACATGTTCTCTGTATTCCCTCTATTTCAGCAATCTCTCCTGCTCTGAAGGGGGAGGTTACCTTGAGGTTACCTTGAGGTGCTTCCGGGGCTCAGTGTCCCCGCGGCCCGGTCGTCGAGCAGGCCTCCTGGTTGCTGGACTGATCAACCAGGCTGTTAGACGTGGCTGCTCGCAGCCTGACGTATGAGTCACAGCCTGGTTGATCAGGTATCCTTTGGAGGTGCTTATCCAGTTCTCTCTTGAACACTGTGAGGGGTCGGCCAGTTATGCCCCTTATGTGTAGCGGAAGCGTGTTGAACAGTCTCGGGCCTCTGATGTTGATAGAGTTCTCTCTCAGAGTACCTGTTGCACCTCTGCTCTTCAACGGGGGTATTCTGCACATCCTGCCATGCCTTCTGGTCTCATGTGCTGTTATTTCTGTGTGCAGGTTTGGGACCAGCCCCTCAATTATTTTCCACGTGTAAATTATTATGTATCTCTCCCGCCTGCGCTCAAGGGAGTACAGATTTAGGCTCTTTAGTCGGTCCCAGTAATTTAGATGTTTTACTGAGTAGATTCTAGCAGTAAAGGATCTCTGCACGCTCTCCAGGTCAGCAATTTCTCCAGCTTTGAAAGGGGCTGTCATTGTGCAGCAGTACTCCACTCTAGAGAGCACAAGCGTTTTGAAAAGTATCATCATCGGTATAGCATCTCTAGTGTGGAAAATTCTTGTTATCCAACCTGTCATTTTTCTTGCAGTTGTGACGGCTACTTTATTGTGTTGTTTAAAGGTAAGGTCTTCCGACATGAGTACACCCAGATCCTTTACATTGCCTTTTTTGTTCTATGTTATGATTTGCCTGAGTTTTGTACGTGGTTTCTGTTTTTATATTTTCAATTTTTCCGTAGCGCATGAGCTGGAACTTATCCTCGTTAAACACCATATTATTTTCTGTAGCCCATAAAAAGACCTGATCTACATCTGATTGGAGGTTTGCCGTGTCCTCTATGTTGCCAACTCTCATGAAAATCCTAGTGTCATCTGCAAAGGATGATACAGTGCTATAGGTTGTGTTCTGGTCTATGTCCGATATGAGGATGAGAAAAAGTACTGGAGCAAGCACAGTACCCTGGGGGACTGAGCTCTTCACGGTTGATGGGCTGGATTTTATTTTGTTGACTATTACACATTGGGTTCTGTTAGTCAGGAAATTGTAGATCCATCTGCCTATTTTCCCGGTAATTCCTTTTGAACACATTTTATGTGCAATAACACCATGGTCACATTTATCAAAGGCTTTTGTGAAATCTGTGTAAATTACATCAGCGTTTTGTTTGTCTTCCATAGCATCTAATGCCATATCATAGTGGTCCAGCAACTGTGACAGGCAAGAGCGCCCTGTTCTAAAACCATGTTGTCCGGGGTTACGGAGATGCTGTGATTCCATGTATTTTGTGATATTACTTCTTAGCACTCTCTCAAAAATTTTTATGATGTGCGATGTTAGTGCTATCGGTCTGTAATTTTTTGCCTCCGCCTTATTTCCTCCTTTATGGAGTGGTGCTATCTCTGCTGTTTTTAGTATGTCAGGGATAACGCCAGTATCTAGGCTTTATCTCCACAGAATGTGAAGGGCCTGCGATAGTGGTTTTTTGCAGTTCTTGATGAATATGGAGTTCCAAGAATCCGGGCCTGGTGCAGAGTGCATAGGCATACTGTTTATGGCTTCTTCAAAATCTAGTGGGGATAAGACGACGTCTGATATATGATTTGATGTTGGTATCATATCCATGAAAAATTCATTTGGGTTATCAATCTTTAGTGCATTTAATGGCTCGCTGAAAACAGAGTCGTACTGCTTCCTCAGTAACTCGCTCATTTCTTTGTTGTCATCGGTGAAAGTTCCATCTCCCTTTCACAGGGGCCCGATACTAGATGTGGTTTTTGATCTTGATTTTGCATAGGAGAAAAAATATTTCGGATTTCTCTCTATTTCACTGATGGCCTTTTGCTCTCTTTGCCTCTCCAGAGTTTTGTATGATTCTTGTAGCTTGAGTTCAATTGTTTCTATTTTTCTACCTAACCTTCTTCGCCGTTCTTGAGATGGGAAGTGAGTACTGAGCAGTACTCAAGACGGGACAACACAAGTGACTTGAAGAATACAACCATTGTGATGGGATCCCTGGATTTGAAAGTTCTCGTAATCCATCCTATCATTTTTCTATCTGTCGCAATATTTGCTTGGTTATGCTCCTTAAATGTTAGGTCGTCAGACATTATTATTCCCAAATCCTTTACATGCTGTTTTCCTACTATGGGTACATTTGATTGTGTTTTGTACTCTGTATTATGTTTAAGGTCCTCATTTTTACCATACCTGAGTACCTGGAATTTATCACTGTTAAACATCATGTTATTTTCTGATGCCCAGTCGAAAACTTTATTAATATCAGCTTGAAGTTTTTCAATGTCTTCAGCCGAGATAATTTTCATACTGATTTTTGTGTCATCTGCAAAGGATGATACGAAGCTGTGACTTGTATTTTTGTCTATATCTGATATGAGAATAAGGAAAAGCAGCGGTGCAAGGACTGTACCCTGAGGTACAGAGCTTTTAACTGCACTTGGACTAGATTTTATATGGTTGACCGTTACTCGCTGAGTCCTGTTTGACAGAAAACCAAGTATCCAGCGTCCTACTTTACCGGTTATTCCCACTGACTTCATTTTGTGTGCTATCATGCCATGGTCACATTTATCGAAAGCCTTTGCGAAGTCCGTGTATATCACATCAGCATTCTGTTTTTCTTCTAATGCCTCAGTGACTTTGTCATAGTGCTCAAGTAGCTGCGAGAGGCATGATCTTCCTGCTCGAAATCCATGTTGGCCTGGGTTGTGAAGGTCATTGGTCTCCATGAAATTGGTGACCTGACTCGTAATCACCCTCTCAAATACTTTTATGATGTGCGATGTTAGTGCAACTGGTCTATAATTCTTTGCCAATGCTTTGCTCCCTCCCTTGTGTAGAGGGGGTATGTCTGCTACTTTAAGTGCATCTGGTATCTCTCCCGTGTCCAAGCTGTTCCTCCACACTATACTGAGTGCCTGTGCTACCGGCACTTTGCATTTCTTTATAAATATTGAATTCCATGAGTCTGGACCTGGGGCCGAGTGCATGGGCATGTTTTCAATTTCTCTTTCCAAATTTAGTGCGCTCGTGTTGATATCAGTTATATTTACAGGGGTTTGAATATCCCACATAAAGAAATTGTCTGGATCTTCCACTTTCATGTTGTTTATTGGAGTGCTAAAGATGTCCTCACACTGCTTTTTTAGGATTTCACTAATTTCTTTGTCATCCTCCGTGTATGAACCTTCACTTGTACGAATAGGTCCAATACTGGCAGTGGTTTTTGCTTTTGATTTCGCATATGTGAAGAAATATTTTGGATTTTTCTTTATTTCCTGAATTGCTTTCTGTTCTAACTGCCTTTCTTCAGTTTCATATGAGTGTTTCAATTTCCGCTCGATTTCTTCAATCTCCCTATTTAAATTATTCCTTCTTTGATGGGAAATTCGTGTCTGCATAAGCAGTTCCGTTATTTTTTTCCTGCGTTTATAGTGTCGTCTGCGTTCTCTTTCTACGTTGGATCTCTTTCTGGCTTTCCTCAAAGGAACATGTATTAAACAGACTTGATACGCTTCCGAAGTCAGTTTTTCTATTCCTTCTGTAGGACTTGTATTACTTAGAACAGTTTCCCATGGAATGTTTGTAAGTTCCCTGTTTATTATCTCCCAGTCTATCCTTTTATTATTAAAATTGAATTTACTGAATAGCCCCTCTCGCTTTATCAACGTTTTAGGTCTATTCTGAGTATTGATGGTCGTTTGCACTTCAATGAGCTTGTGATCTGAGTATGTGGTATCTGATATCGTAATGTCTCTGATAATGTCTTCATTGTTCGTAAAGACCAGATCTAGAATATTTTCATTTCTCGTTGGCTCCGATATCTGCTGATTGAGTGAAAATTTGTCACAGAATCTAAGTAGCTCTCTAATCTGTGGTTGGTTAGGTCCTGATAGATTTCCTGGTATAATATTATTGCTTGCTATTCTCCACCTGAGACTAGGCAAGTTGAAGTCACCTAGGAAGACAATATCAGGTATCGGGTTCTCCAAATTATCAAGGCTATTCTCTATTTTGTTAATCTGTTCTGTGAATTCCTCAGCCGTTGCATCTGGCGGTTTGTATATTAGAATAATCACTAAATTTATTTTCTCTATTTTTAATCCCAGTACCTCTATCACCTCATTTGTAATGTTAAGGAGCTCCGAGCATACAAGGTCTTCCCTAATATACAGACCCACTCATCCATGTGACCTAATTTTTAATTAAATTAATGTGTTAACACTAACTTTCACTAGTGTCGCGGATCTTAACAAATACTCCTGGCAAGTAACAGTGAAGAAAAGGAGACACTGGAGATTATACATATGATTATAGTATATGGAGCATCTGATTATAGTATATGGAGCATCTGATTATAGTATATGGAGCATCTGATTATAGTATATGGAGCATCTGATTATAGTTTATGGAGCATCTGATTATAGTATATGGAGCATCTGATTATATGGACATTCACAATAACTGCCATAAGAACATTTAGTTAAAACTCAAAAATCCAGCGTTGAATGTAATGAAACACCATTTTTTGGGTGAGACCCAAAGGCTTCCCGGAGCTATCCAGCCTGATATGCTAATGTTAGACTTTGGCATTAGTCATGTGTATGGAGATCTGTGGGCCTACCGGGGACCACGAGCCAGAACCTGGCCCCTCTCTGAGAGGCAAGGGGAGCAATGGCCTATAGAAACCCCCCATGTGGTTGGAAGCATTCTGTGTCTGCCATTGAAAGGGTCAGGCACCCAGAAAGGTAAGCGTTCCAAAACAAATCCCTATTCTGGTGAAAAAATGCTAGCAAAAGCCGAACAAATGGATAGAACTCCCCAAAAAGAATCGAGCAAACGAGCGTGACATCACACGTTGCCTCGCCACTGTCTGCGCAGCTCCCCCCTCTCTGGGAGGGAAAAGGGGGAGCCACAGACCCGCGGACCGGCTATCCACCTTTCAGTTCAGAGGCTGGATGTCAAAACATGCAAAAAAAAATGCGGACCGGGGAAAGGAAGGGATGCCGGGCAGCCTCCGGGTCTCACCCAGAAAATGGCGTTTCATTACATTCAACGCTGGTTTTCTGGGGGGAGCCCCTTTGGCTCCCCAGAGCTAACTACCCACAGAGGAAAAAAGAGGGATGCACCCGGGAGGCGGTCGCCGCACATCCCCAACTCAAAGTCAAGACAACTGGCTGCAACCGCCAACCCAAGGCAGTTGCAGCCAGTTGTCAGACAGGCCTGAATGGGCCAGGGAACGACACGAGACACCGAGCAGCCTGGCTCCTGTATGACCGCCAAAAGCCCTGTGCCCGAATGTCAGCTAGGACATGCCGCCAAAACGGGGAAAGAAAACAGGCTGGCTAGCCGCAATAACACGGTGGATGACCTGGGAGACCCTCACCCGCAAACAGGGAAGAATGGAACCGGGTCATCCCAAAGCGTGTCCCAGACACAGAAGCTGGGGCGCGCAAATAACGGTGGAGGGCCACAACCGAACATAAAACACGATGCACCCCCGGCCCGACCAACCAAGCACCAACAAACCAAGGACCCCTCCGGAAAGCAGCAGCTTCATCCATTCGTATCGGAATGGAGAAATGTCACAAGTGGAGTACCACAGGGTTCAGTTCTTGCACCAGTGATGTTTATTGTGTACATAAATGATCTACCAGTTGGTATACAGAATTATATGAACATGTTTGCTGATGATGCTAAAATAATAGGAAGGATAAGAAATTTAGATGATTGTCATGCCCTTCAAGAAGACCTGGACAAAATAAGTATATGGAGCACCACTTGGCAAATGGAATTTAATGTTAATAAATGTCATGTTATGGAATGTGGAATAGGAGAACATAGACCCCACACAACCTATATATTATGTGAGAAATCTTTAAAGAATTCAGATTAAGAAAGAGATCTAGGGGTGGTTCTAGATAGAAAACTATCACCTAAGGATCACATAAAGAATATTGTGCAAGGAGCCTATGCTATGCTTTCTAACTTCAGAATTGCATTTAAATACATGGATGGCGATATACTAAAGAAATTGTTCATGACTTTTGTTAGGCCAAAGCTAGAATATGCAGCTGTTGTGTGGTGCCCATATCTTAAGAAGCACATCAACAAACTGGAAAAGGTGCAAAGACATGCTACTAAGTGGCTCCCAGAACTGAAGGGCAAGAGCTACGAGGAGAGGTTAGAAGCATTAAACATGCCAAAACTAGAAGACAGAAGAAAAAGAGGTGATATGATCACTACATACAAAATAGTAACAGGAAAAGATAAAATCGACAGGGAAGATTTCCTGAGACCTGGCACTTCAAGAACAAGAGGTCATAGATTTAAACTAGCTAAACACAGATGCCGAAGAAATATAAGAAAATTCACCTTCGCAAATAGAGTGGTAGACGGTTGAAACAAGTTAAGTGAGAAGGTGGTGGAGGCCAAGACCGTCAGTAGTTTCAAAGCGTTATATGACAAAGAGTGCTGGGAAGACGGGACACCACGAGCGTAGCTCTCATCCTGTAACTACACTTAGGTAATTACACGCGTGTGTATGCACATACACATGTGCACACACACACAGTGTAATTACCTAAGTGTAGTTACAGGATGAGAGCTACGCTCGTGGTGTCCCGTCTTCCAAGCACTTTTTGTCATATAACGCTTTAAAACTACTGACAGTCTTGGCCCCCACCACCTTGGCCCCCACAGACCACAGCACACCAACGTGATGACGTCATGCTCATTTGCTAATTTTCGTTTCAGGAGTTCTGTCTACTCGTTCGGCTTTCGGTAGCAATATTTTCAACAGAACAAGGATTTGTTTTGGGGCGCCTACCTTTCTAGGTGCCAAACCCGGTCGATGGCAGGCATCGAATGCTCCCAATCACAAGGGGGTTTCTAAAGGCCATTGCTCCTCGTCTCTCTCTGAGGGGGCCAGGTTCTGGTTTGTGGTCAATGGTAGGCAAGAACTCCATACACTTTGACTGATGCCAGAAAGCTAATAGTTACATATCAGCCTGGATAGCTCCGGGAAGCTTTGTAAAAAGCTTCTTTCTGTCCTATATCATTTGCTTGCTCCGTCAGTATAAACCCACTGTTGTCTTGAATGCCGAGGATGTAGAATGGCAGGGTGACATACAAACCAGGAATTAGTGAGTCCTCATTTGGTTGTCATCTATGATTACAAGTTGAAACTTGGAAGAGCTTTGATTTTTGTGGAAAGACTTCTGATGGCCATTTATGGGCAAGATTAATTATCTCTCCTCATTATGATACGACCTTGCTGGAGTGCTTGAAAATGTCCAGTGGGTCTATATTGTATGTTGTCTTGCCTGACTGCACACTTCCCCTCCATGAAAACGGTGGGATCTCAACTCAGGGTTTCACTTCCACATAAGAGATCAAACAAAGGAAAACTTACTTGTACATTGTTGCCAGCGAGATAGAATTCCAAAAGTAGCCAGAGGAACATTGCAATTGTAATGGCAATGTAGAAGAAGCCTTCATGTCTGATGCAAAGCAGCAGGAAAGGACAAAGAAATGATGCAGTCACAGAAAGGAGCCGACCCATGACATTTCTTGAGCCAAAGAGAGGCAGTATAAATGAAAGAACTGAAAAGAAAAAACACATTAAAAATAATTTATATATATTCTTAGGATTTAATAATAGAATATTTTGATTTATACAAATTTATTAATTGCCTCTATTTTAATAAAGATTTTCTAGTGTTTTGTTAAGTATATTTTTAAATAGAAAGCAAGGTAATTTGAAAAATATATTACTATATTTAGTATTCTATGGTGTGTATAACAAGTCCTTACTATTCGTAGGGAAAGGGGGCATAAATTTGTGACACTTGAAACTGGTAAACATTCAATACTAAGACGAAGAAGAAATTATTGGAGAAAAATTCTTTGAGTGGATTGAAATGAACCTTTCTGGGTTGCACCTCGGTAGCTCCTATAACTTAATGCACTAACATCATAGAGGTAGACTGACACACCAGGTTTCTGTGATAATCTTTGCCCACCGAAAGCATCTTACACTGACTTACCCCTCCAGAGTGCAAAGAGTAAATGGGGATCAAGGCTCAAGTGAACCACCCTTACAATGAAAGTAACAAAACATCCAAGAAATTTCTCCACACTCTCAAAACAGCTGCATCACCTCCCCCACCCGGGAAGATGTGATAATCTAGAGGATATTAAAGGGAGCTAACATAGTCGGTAAAGTGATCACGTTCAAAACAAGATACAGTAGAACTAGAGTCCACAGGTGGAAACTAGACACACAGATGAGCCTGTGTTTACCTGACCAAGTTTGAGTGCTTGTCATCTTGCAACCAGATCAGTCATGCATCTCTGGTGATGACTTCATCAGTAAGTATGTTGCTGTCACTGGCAGGTGGAGAGATGTCAGGAAAAACTTCTTTAACATCAGTTACAAATAAATGGAGTGGGATATAAGGAGAAAAGCAAATCCAATAAGCAACTTCAACCAGAACAAACATATGAGAAACACTAGGAATTAATTGACCAGAGCTAACAGTCGAAAAGTGAGAACCATGTTCAGTCACGACCGACACCGGATCCGCCACATTAGAACCATGGAGGTGAAGGACTGGCAAGACATCTGATCTCCAACCCTCACACTTGGCCATATAGATGGCCCTCTACGGGTCACTGCACTTGCTTTCCGAAACAAAATAAAAGAAACGGGTGTCCCACGGCGACAGTGTTTCTTCCAAACTACAAGTTTACAGCGGACAGCATGAGCACAACCTGCATTCCACCAGGGAATGCACTTCTGCACACCCCTGGAGGTAGAGCGAGGAACAGAGCAGATGGCAGCATCAAAAACAGTGTCATGAAAGAGGAGGAGGGCTTGGGAAAAAGGCAGATCAGAGAGGTCGGAAAGAGTAGCACGCAAAGTGAAGAGGTTCCAGTCAGCCCTGGCAAACTGCCACCTAGGGGAGGAGAGGGGGAGGGCAAAAAGAGAAGAAGCTGACAAGGATGGGGAAATGGTCACTGTTATGTAGGTCATCAAGAACCCTCCAGGTGAAGTTCAAATAAAGAGAAAACGAGCAGAGAGAAAGATCACGACAGGAAAGGGTGCGAGTGCGGGAGTCAACATGAGTTGGCTTACCAGAATTAAGAAGAGACGGAAAAGAAGAGAGGACAAAAGGTTCAAGAAGGCGGAACCAGGTGTTTGTAAGATCATCTCCCCAGAGGGTATGCTGACAGTTAAAATCACTCTAAAGGAGCACAGGCTCTGGTAAGGAATCCGACAGGTGTTTAAAATCAGGAAGAGAAAGTGGGACATTCGGGGAAGGGGGGGGGAGGAGAGATATATGGAACAGACTGTATACCATTTACAGTACTCGCAAGATACGGGCCGCAGAACACTGGATGGGCGACTGAAAAAGTGCGGGACGAAGGGGATATCAAGATGGATCAAGAGAGCAGCAGTGGAGGCATGGGCCCCAGCAAGAGCTGAAGGCAAAGAAAGAAAGGAATAATCACGGAAGCGACCAGGACGAGCGGCAAGCATTGGCTCCTGGAGACAAACACAAAGCGGGGAAAACTGAGCGATCAGAAGTTGGAGTTAATGGAAGTTGGCATAAACACCCCGAATATTTAATTGAAGCACAGATAGAAAAAAAACAAAGAAGACAAATAAGTGCAATTATGTACTATTCATTGCAGTTAGGAATTGTACTTATTTTCACTTAGTATTAAATCGTATTGTCAAATATATTGTGAATATTTGAGTTTACCTCAAAAACTGAATAGAAAACCACAACCTCACCTAACCGTCTTAGTTTTTGAAGATGATAATTTTATTGCTTCTTAATTACAATTAGTACTTAACCTATAGCTATATTGATATTACAGTTTTATAAAACTAATAAAACAAAACTAAAATATATCAATAAATTGTAAAGGAACTCAGGATATTTTAAAATTTTGTATAAATCTATATTGTTTAATAAACCTGAAAAAGAAATTCCTGATATTTAAAACTTGTGTATTGCAAATTGAAATTGAAAACTTCATCCTAAAATTCTGAGTGTCTTAACAGAAAACGAGTAGAATTAAATCGGGGGAGGGAGTTGGGTATATGTAACAGCCCCATAAGTGCAATTATGCACTGTTTATGACAGTAAGAAAGTGTACTTAGTATTAAATCGTACTGTCATTTTGGAGGATGGGTTGGAAAAAAAAACAGCGCTGAATGTAATGAAATGCCATTTTCTGAGTGAGATCCGGAGGCTCCCTGGAGCTTACTAGGCTGATATACTAATGTCAGACTTTGGCATCAGTCATGTGTATGGAGTTTTGTGGGCTTACTGGGGACCACGAGCTCGAACCTGGACCCTCAGAGAGGCATGGGGAGCAATTGCCTATAGAAACCCCGGTGTGGTTGGACATAATAATTGAATCACTAATATGTACACCATACTTTTGAGTACAGCAATGGTTCACACATTTTATTATATAAATATATCACAATACACACTATTGAATAATATTACTGCAAAAAGCTAAGAAAAGATCAATCAGGCATTGAAATAATTAGGTAATAATATCTTTGTTGCAACTCCCACCTGTCAGTTTGGGTGACACTGACCGACTCTGACGACCGCTCTGTCAACGCCCACATTTTGCCAGACTTCCTCGGCCTATTGGGCCCAAAATATGTCACCTACAATTTATTATTTATTTTTCCCGTGCTCAGGGAACACAAATTAACATTTTTAGAAGACGAAATAATGTTTTAGAATTTTTTTTTCTTGCGCACAGGGGTGTAAATCTCCTCAGGACCCCTTAGCAGCTTAAGGGTTAAGGCTAGCCAGCCTGCAGGCTATCCCCTTTGCCCGTGACGTTCGTAAGTTCGCTGCCGTTGCTTTGGCAACGTGTCCTGGGCTGACATTCAGGCACGGTGTTTTTGGAGGTCGAACAGGGTCCTGGCTGCTCATTACCTAGTGAACATTCCTGGGCCTAGACGGGCCTGGGTTGGCAGCTGCAGCCAGTTGTCTCGACTTAGAGTTGACAAGTGAGCAGCGACCACCTCCTGGGTAAGTCCCTATGTTTTTCCTTTGTGGGTAGTTTGCTTCGGGGAGCCGAAGGGGCTTCCCCCAGAAAATCAGCGTTGAATGTAATGAAATGCCATTTTCTGGGTGAGACCCAGAGGCTCCCCGGCATCCCTCCCTCCCTCCGGTCAACGTTTTTTCGCATGTTTTTGACATCCAGCCTCAGAACTGATGGTTGGATGGCTGGCGTGGGGGGAATGGGGGCGCTGCGCAGACAATGGCGCGGCGACGTGTGACGTCATGTGCATTTGTTTGTTTCTTTTAGGGGAGTTCTATGCACTCGTTCGGCTTTTGGTAGCAATATTTTCACCAGAATAGGGGTTTGTTTTGGGATGCTTACCTTTCTGGGTGCCTGACCCGATCGATGGCAGACACAGAATGCTTCCAACCACATGGGGGGTTTCTATAGGCCATTGCTCCCCATGCCTCTCTGAGGAGGGCCAGGTTCTGGCTCGTGGTCCCCAGTAGGCAAACAGAAATCCATACACATGACTGATGCCAAAGTCTGACATTAGCATATCAGCCTAGTAAGCTCCGGGGAGCCTCTGGGTTTCACCCAAAAAATGGCATTTCATTACATTCAACACTTGTTTTTTGGTGTGTGTGAACTTGTCCAGAACACTGTTATATCAAATACATAAAAACAAGGAAATGCTAACTTTTCAGCCTTCATAACCCTTACATAGCTAGTGCAACGATGAACAAGGAGTAATGTTATTCTCCTATCCTACCTAGTAAGCCCCATGCAGATACTTGGTTGATGTAGGGCAAACCTTCCTTTTGCCTGATGCTAAAAGCAGTGGAGTGGACCAAGTACACCGAGCCTACAACCATCATGCCCTGGATATACACTACAGACGGGATGTGTCTTGGAAGGCCGCCGTCACTACTGCACCTGATGTAAGTTGCTTCCGTAATTTAAGGTTTAAAATCATTTTATTCTCAATTATATTATTAATATTCTTTAATTACCATTAACAGAAAAGTTTTTTTGAGATTCACTGATTAATTTGTGAAGTATTTCATGTGCAGCAAGCAGACTTTCACACATGGGTAAATACTGTATATTATATTGCCTTATGTAAAGCACAGCATAAATTTTTCATGAATATCATACTCCTAGTTAGAAATCCTTACAAGTAAATTCAACAAAAATGCATAAGCAATTTAAATGGCTTATTTTGACTAACACTCAGCATTGGTACTTCCTGAAGAATGTTTAAGTGCCTGTGAAAACACTAGATGCAAAGTGCAGATTGTGCATCTTTACTCCATACAAGCTTCAAATCCTATATATTCAAATATCTACACACTATCAGTGATCATGAATGCCTTCAGATTCCTTCAGCAGAGCATCTGCAAAACAACATGTGATAAGGTGCAACACCTTTTTATTTAGTGTAGCTGTTTTGCGTAACATACTGTGATGGAAAACATGCTTGCAAAAGATAACCTATTTCAAAGAAAATGATGAGATGAATTATATCTTGGGAGTGTTAAATCTAAATATGATACAACATGTATATAGTTACAGATGTGTACAGGAACACTAGACTCACAAAGGTATGTCTAAGTTTCATGCAATGAAATCATACATGACAAAGGATGGCACATGCGTAAGTTTCCATGAACATCTTAGCTAGTTACTACCTTTAAATCTGACAAATTCCTAAGATTGAATTATGTTACTGAAAAGCAATTCTCTTTAATATTGCATTTACTAAATAATTATGCATGCATGAAGAATGAAATTAAAAAAGATAGTTTGCAATCATTTTGAAAAATTAGACAATATATTTTGATTGTAGCCAGTCAGTGGAGATAAATATCCCTGATCTCTGTGCCACATATTATAAAATACTAGATATATACACCAAGAGAATGATCATATATGGTTCTTTTGCAGAAGGTAGAATGATGTGGGTGGCCAAAGTAGGTGGTTATCTTGAGGTTATCTTGAGATGATTTCGGGGCTTTTAGTGTCCCCGCGGCCCGGTCCTCGACCAGGCCTCCACCCCTAGGAAGCAGCCCGTGACAGCTGACTAACACCCAGGTACCTATTTTACTGCTAGGTAACAGGGGCATAGGGTGAAAGAAACTCTGCCCACTGTTTCTCGCCGGCGCCCGAGATCGAACCCGGGACCACAGGATCACAAGTCCAGCGTGCTGTCCACTCGGCCGACCGGCTCCCATAAATTTACCGCGCTGTGGACAGGGTGCTTGTCAATCAATGCTTACCTATCAGGGCCTGCATGAGGTGGGATCTAGCTCTATGGGACTCTCCTCGAAGCAATTTGAACCTAATAAATTTAACATCTTGGTATTCAAGCTGTGGTGTTGTATTTAATGTTGAGGTGAGGCTACAGGTAGCCTTTCCAACTTCTTTCAGTGCATTACACTTAATGACCACCATGAGTACTTCCATACACTTTGCATTTCACATTTATGCTTCCACCTTTCACCGATGTCTTCTTGTCCAATTTTCTCTGTTAACCCTTAAACTGCGCATGGCATATATATGCGCCATGATTAACATGTCCCATGGTGCACATGGCGTATATATACGCCATAGGGTGCTAGGCACGATTCAAATGGTTCACATCAGCTCCCTCAGGGCTCTAGTAAACAGACACCATGTTTAAAAAAAATCATGGGCAATATTTTCTGCTGTGAGAGCCACAATAACGTTGAAGCAACCAAGGCTGGTGCACGCAGCATGAACTAACAGTATTGCTGTTCAGCTTGTGGCCATAGCATCGCCTTAAAATGTCAAAATAAATATGTAACTGGTATTATTTAGTGATGACAATATTACAGATGACTCCTGACTGTGATAAAAATGACCAGGATTGTGATAATAGCAAGATTGTTGTGATAATTAATGCTGTGTGGGAGGAGTGATGCTGAGAGATGGAGGGAGATAGCGGCGTTTACTGATTGTGTGGTCACACGTAATTGTCTGCATTCACCATACCAGCTCAGTGGTTCTCTATGGTGAACACAAATGTAGATACTTATATATAATGTGTGTATTAGTGTAATAACAGCAAAAGGATTATGTTGGGAGGAGCCATTTGGGTGACAGAGGTGGCGTTGTCTGCATGACTTGTCTGGCTGTGTATTGTGTGGCCACTATACACCCGACAAGCTTAGGTATCAGTCACAGTGCATACAACATGTAGATATTTTTATATAATGTGTGTATATAGTGTAATAACACCCCAAACAGTATTGTTGGGGGAGAAATTTGAGTGCGCCTGACCTTGAATGTGTGAGGGAGGCAGCCGCCAGCTGACTGAGTGTAGCGATGTCTCTTAGTTCCTGAACTAACTGTATCAGCTTAGTTGTACAGTTGTGGTGAACAAAACATGTAGATACTTATATATAATGTGTGTATATAGTGTAATAACAGCAAAACTATTTGTTTATTGTTTTATGAACATAGTAATTGAACCAGTAATATGAACACCATTCTTTTGAGCATAGCAATAATTCACACATTATATAAATCTATCACACTACACACTATTGAATAATATTACTGCAAAAAACAAAGAAAAAATCAATCACACACATTGAAATAATTAGGTAATAATATCTTTGTGGCAACTCCCACCTGTCAGCTCGGGTGACGCTGACCGCTTCTGACGACCGCTCTGTCAACGCCCACATTTTGCCAGACTTCCTCTGCCTATTGCGCCCATAATATGTCACCTACGATTTTTTTGCCCCCATGCTCAGGGAACACACATTAACATTTTTAGAAGACGCAAAAAATTTAGAATTTATTTTTTTCTTGAGCACAGGGGGTGTAAATCTCCTCAGGACCCCTTAGCAGCTTAACCCTTAACACTTTGGCGTACCCCGCGCGCCACCCTTCAACTCTGCGATATGGGACCCAGGGTGTCACGGGAGCGCGCGTAAATTCTGAAAAGTGTATACTCTCTTCAACTTTATCACCTTAATTCTCGTCCTACGAGATTAAATTTGGTATCATTGTGTTTGCAATAGAATTCTCTACAGCACTAAATGCATATAAACTCCAAAAGCCCGGCTAATTACCCGCAGCAAACAGAGAAAGTGCGAATGAGTTACCCAGGAGCGCGCAAACGCGATAAAATGTTTTCACTATTTTCACTCTGGTCACCTCAATTTTTGTCCTAGGTCTTTCATTTTGGTCTCAATGGGTTCGCAATAGAATTCTCTAGAGGAACATTAGCATATAAAATAAAAAACCTGGTCACGCTCCAACCGCCGACGAGTTGAAGACGGGCCACGCGTTTGCCGCAAGTGAGCGCTCAGACGCCTTCCAGCTACACTCCCAATTCCCTTCCTTTTCAAGCCTTTCTTTCGCAATTTTCTTCCTGGAAGGGCCTTGTTCATGATCACTATCCATCGTGGAGTAAGCGTAGATAGTTTCTAAAGCCGCAGTAAGAAATATAGTCACGGAAAATAGGCGAAATGTTCACACGTTTGAGATGTGAGGGGAGGAGACATTGGTCACAACAGTGGAGCGAAAACAATGGGCCGACGGCGTGTGCCAAGCCACCTGAGGGCCACGAGGCTCAACAAAGAAAATGGGAAGACATCGGCGCACATTTTAAAACCAGTCCAAAAAAAATCGGATAAAAACATGATTTTTGGCGATTATTTAAAGTGGATGACGCAATGCTGCGTCATCCCCGGTATTACCGCCAGTAAACGGATGACGCAATGCTGCGTCATGCCCGGGCGAAAGTGTTAAAGTGCCCATCACGTCATATGACGTGCTGGACGTTGTTCCAGTCAACTGCGCATCACGTCATATGATGTGTTGGAGTACTACGCAAGATTTAAACAGCCCGCGGATACACGGGGTTCACCACACCTTCATCAGGGCTCTTGTAAACAGACGCCATTTAAAAAAAAATCGTGGGCCAAACTCCCGGGTGTTATTGGCCTCAGTATTGAGTGAGCAACCAAGCCTGATGCACGCAGCATGAGCTAACAGCACTGCTGTTCAGCTTGTGACCACAGCATCGCCTAAAAATGCCAAATTATACTTGTTCATGCTATTATGTAGGGATGATATTATTACAGAAGACCCCTGACTGTGATAAAACTGACCAGGGTTCTGATAATAGCAGGATTGTGGTGATATTTAGCGCTGTGCGCCATGGAGGGAGGAGTAATGCTATGGGAGGGAGGGTGGTGGCAATGTCTTTTGACTGTGTGTGGCCACCTTTTATTGACTGCACTCAGCATACCAGCTTAGTGGTTCGCTATGGTGAACACAAATGTAGATACTTATATATAACGTGTGTATAGAGGGTATAAACAGCAAGAGAAGGTTTGGAGCCGCCATTTTGGTGAGGGCGGTGGCGTCGTCTGCACGACGCCACCGTGCAGACGACGGTGTTGTTTACTGGTTACCACGATGGTCTTTGCGCACCATACCAGTTTATTTGTACAAGTAAGGTGAATAAAACAGGTAGATATTTATATATAATGTGTGTATATAGCGTAATAACACCACACAGTATTGTTGGAGGAGAAATATTAGTGCGTCTGGCCTTGAGGGCGGCCGCCGATCAGCTGACTGTGTGAGTAGCCACATCTTTGTGCCTTTACTCACCATACAAGCTTAGATGTACAGTTATGGTGAACAAAACATGTAGATACTTATATATAACGTCTGTATATAGTGAATTATAGCAAAAACATTATTGTGGGAGGAGAATGTGGGTGAGTCAGATGACTGGAGGGAGGGCGGGAGTGGCTGGCTGGTAAACGGCGGTCACTCCTCGTTACTTTTTGACTCATAATAGCTACTTAGTGGTTCGTTATAGTGAACAAAACATGCAGATACTTATATATAACCTGTGCTTATAATGTAATAACCGACAAAGTATTTGTTCACTGATTGATGAACATAATTGAATCAACAATATTCACACCATATTTTTGAGTACAGCAATGATTCACTCATTTTATTATATAAATATATCAAACTACACACTATTGAATAATATTACAGCAAAAAAAAGTATGAAAAATCAATCAGAGACATTGAAATAATTCGGTAATTATCTCTTTGTGGCAACTCTGGCCTGACAGCTTGCGAGCAACAGACCGCCTGGGACGCACGCTGAGTCAGCGCCTATAATTTGCCAGACTTCCCCGCCCTATAGCGGGCAATATATGCCACTTACGATTTTTTTATTATTTTTCCCGTGATCAGTGAACACAAATTAACAGGTTAGGAAGAAAAAATAATTTTTTTTTTTTCAAAATGACATGCGCCTGACATGACTTGCAAAATGACAAGACCGAAGCCAACAGGCCATGAGCACGTAAGTCCTCAGCAACCGGCACAGCCGAAAGGTAGGGATCCTGCACATGAAGCTTCACCACGCCAACATCCCGAGGAAGGGCAGGGGCGAACAAGCACGCATCGAGGTGCTCAAACTCGCCCCCAGGTAAACCTTGATCACCATAAGCGCCTCGCGCCACTTAAGTGTGCGGGAACAATAGAATGTATGTCAAGCCTCCAACGAAAACACAGGGCAGTCCGCTAGCCAGGACGACTCTGGAACTTAATTAATAATGAACCTAGTAGGGAGACGAAGACCCAAACCTGAATGAAGACAGATTCATGATAAAGGCGTAATCCAGGATGCGCAGGAGGTAAGCTGATATGGCTTCCCGCACCTCATGAGGTGGGATGCGGGAAGCCGAAGACCTCCAGAAGGACGGGACCAATAGACCCAAAGGGACACGGAATCAAACCCGAGGAGGGGCCGATACCAAATCCAATTCGTACGTGGAGAGTGAGGGGGAGGAGGGGGGGGGGGGGGGAAAACCCCACTCCTTGTAACAGCAAGCTCTGCTCCAAGGGTAGAAAAACCCAAGCAGGGTCCAACGGCCCAAGGCCGCCAAGACAACCCTTCCCCAGCCCCAGAAACCTCCACATCAGGACCTGGAGCCGAGTCGTCCTACAAAGCCCCGGCCCCTGAAGAAAAAGCTGGAGCCACCTTGAGGTAGTCTAGCGAGTGCACAGATGGGGGGCTAAAGTGTTAAGAAATATTTATAAAACCGGGATCAAAACCAAATTTGTTTTATTTATGCAATTAATTTATAGAAGGATATAAAAGTGTCATGAACATTAAGGCTGTGCTAGACCCTCCCTAATATGCTTATTCTATACACAAACACACCATCCACATTTCAGCTCTAACTTTTCTCATGAAATCCATGTCAAAACACCTTATGAAATTATACTGACCAGACCACACCACACACCAGAAGATGAGGCGACGACGATGTTTCAGTCCATCCTGGACCATTATCAAGTTGATTGTGGACTTGATAATGGTCCAGGACAGACCAAAACGTCGTCATCTCCTCATCTTCTGGTGTGTGGTTTGGTCATAGTATCTTAAACCATGTTATTATGAATCATCGTCTGCACCTTATGAAATTATATATGCATCTGCTTATATTAGGCAAGCAAAGAAAAGGAAACAAAATGTATATAAAGTCAAACTTGAGTACAGTAAGGACAATAGACTATAGTGAAGAGCATGCAAGTAATTGTCATGGCAGGTTTTGACTCATACTAAAACCCAAGTAGTGTGAGCAGTTTCATTTCAGAGTGTAAGTACATTTCATATGATCTAATCAGTGCACTAAGAAAGTGTTCCTCTAAATGCCACAATGCATGGCAAATGTTGGAGGCTTGCAGTAATTCAAAGCTACCTTTTTTTCTTTGTCCTATGTTTTATTTTTGAGTGTCCCATGTCAACACTTCGTGGTGTTGAAAAAAAAAATCCATTATAAACTTTTTATTTACACTATACATACATGTTTTATATATTATGTGAGAATCAAGAAACATGAAGTGTGGCTAGGTATTTTTTGTCTGTTAGAAAGTCATCCTAATTTCAAAATGAAGATTATGTCTTAAAGATATTCATAATTACATAATCTTACAGATATTTATAATTAATGCATATATGTTTTTTATTTTATTATGAATACTAAGCACAGTATAGTACAATTCTTCCTCAAACACATACCCATTCACCATAAAATTGGATGTAATGGAAAGATTTTAATCAGCTGGGGCATGATGCAATAGATTAGGGATATGGATAATATAGCCCATCTTACTAATCTGAATATGCAGTACCATTAACCCTTAAACTGCGCAAAACTGCACATGCAGGGTTGAGTAACTGACGCAAAAGTGCGCAACACTCCAAATGCAGTTTTGGAGTACTACGCAAGATTTAAACGGACCGCAGATACACGGGGTTCACATAACCTTCCTCTGGGCGTGGACAAAATTGAGGGAGACATTCCTGGGAGTGAGAGCCTCAGTACTGAGTGAGCCACCAAGGCTGGTGCATGCAGCATGAGCTCACAGCATTGCTGTTCAGCTTGTGACCACAGCATCGCGTAAAAATGCCAAAAAACCAGCGTTGAATGTAATGAAACGCCATTTTCTGGGTGAGCCCAGGAGGCTCCCTGGAGCTTATTGGGCTAATGTATGTTATATTAGACCGGGACATTAGCTAAGGAGTTCAGACCTACCAGGGACCAGTGCCAGGACCTGGCCCCTTCAGAGAGGTTTCAGGGAGCAGTGGCCCTGGAAAACCCCCTTGTGGTTGGGGTTTTCCTTATCTGCCATCGACCGGGGTTAGGCACCCAGAAAGGTAGGCATAACAAAACTATGATAATAAACTAGATGATGATAAACTAGAGTCAAAAATACCATACGCGAAGACTCGAGGAAAAGATCAAACCAGCCACGTAAATTGGCCTAGCAGAGGCAGGCCCCAAGGAACTTGTGGAAGTTAACCCCAACCCCCAAGGGCAGTACTTACAGGGCACCTAGGCACGATAACCCTAAGTGCATGCAGCCAGAGTACAGTACCATAGAATAACTCCTGGCTCACGCAACCCCTGAAGGACAGTCACCACATTCAAAGCACAGTGATGAAAATCACTGGAGCCAGAGCACATGACCATCGCCTCTAGCATCAGCCTTAGAACTGAAGGGTGGATAGCCGGCACAGGGGACTGGGTCTCCCCCCTTCCGCTGTGTAGCTGTTTGCTGCCGGCTTAAAGGAGGGTGGGGGGTGCAGCGCCGGCCCCTAAGTGTTCCACTGTCTACAGCTACTTATTCTGACTTGTAGGAGTAATGTTAATATTGCCCCATACTTTACATATTTCCTCCTCCCCAGGAAGGGGAGGAGCTGTGTAGACAGCGGCGCAGCGACGTGTGATGTCATGCTCGTTTCCTTGTTTCTTTTTGGGGAGTTCTATCCACTTGTTCGGCTTTTGGTAGCAATTTTCACCAGAATAGGGGTTTGTTTTGTGACGCTTACCTTTCTGGGTGCCTGACCCGGTCGATGGGAGACATAGAATGCTTCCAACCACACTGGGGTTTCTATAGCCCATTGCTCCCCATGCCTCATCTAAGGGGGCTAGGTTCTGGCTCGTGGTCCCCGGTAAGCCCACAGACCTCCATACACATGACTTATGCCAAAGTCTGACATTAGCATATCAGCCTGGATAGCTCCGGGGAGCCGAAGGAGCTCCCACCCAGAAATGCGGCATTAAACACCACAAATCAAATGTAATCTGAAAACATGATACCCTCGTTTAGACCCATACCAATTGTTCTGTTTGAACAGGAATTCACTGCACTGTACTAAACTCTTTTTACAAGCCCAACACAAATCTTCAAATAACCAGACAAACTGAAGAAATACTCACCAGTATATGACGATGCCTCCCAAAGAAAATGCAGTTAATCCAGCAATTTCCCTGAAATATTATTTGTAATTAAATACAATGCACATGTATGTACTTATGTGAAATGATTAAATGGCATCAAGTGGTGCACATCTTTATAGCACCGTAATAATCTATACCCCCTCTTAGGTATTATTTTGTGCATTCCTCTCATCAACCTATAAAGCATCATTCAAGTCATGTCAGAATAATATAATATGGAACTCATTTGTAACAATGACAATATTGTTTTCCTTATGATATGTGCTCATCTTGCCCATGCTGACTGCCACTTGCACACTGTAACCCCCTATAATAGTTGAAGCAACCATAAAAAACCAGCGTTGAATGTAATGAAACGCCATTTTCTGGGTGAGTCCCGGAGGCTCCCCGGAGCTATCCCAGGCTGATATGCTAATGTCAGACTTTGGCATCAGTCATGTGTATGGAGTTCTTAGGCCTACCGGGGACCACGGCCAGAACCGGGCCCCCTCAGAGAGGCAAGGGGAGCAATGGCCAATAGAAGCCCCCGTGTGGTTGGAAGCATTCGATGTCTGCCTTCGACCGGAACAGGCACCCAGAAAGGTAAGCGCCTCAAAACAAACCCCTATTCTAGTTAAAACTGCTACCAAAAGCCAAACTAGTGGATAGAACTCCCCAACAGAAAACAGGCAAACTAGTGTGACGTCACACGCGCCGCGCCACTGTCTGCACAGCTCCCCCCTCCCTGGGAGGGGGAAGGGGGAGCCCCAGATCCTCCACGCCGGCTACCCACACCTCAGTTCTTGAGGGTGGATGTCAAAAATGCGAGAAAAAAAAAAACGCCGACCGGAGGGAGGGAGGGATGCCGGGGAGCCTCCGGGACTCACCCAGAAAATGGCGTTTCATTACATTCAACGCTGGTTTTCTGGGGGGATCCCTGTCGACTCCCCGGAGCTAACTACCCACAGACGGAAAAAGAGGGACTTACCCGGGAGGCGGTCGTCGCTCACTCCTCAACTCGAAGCCAAGACAACTGGCTGCAACCGCTGATCCAAAGCAACACAGGCCCGACAGGACCCAGGGACATTCACAAGGTAACGAGCAGCCAGGACCCTGTTCGACCGCCAAAAGCCCCACGCCCGAATATCAGACCAAGACATATTCCCAAAGACGGCAGCAAGATCCGCAAACTTACGAACATCATGGGCACGGGGATAGACCGCAGGCTAGCTGGACTTAATAACCCTGCGGACGACCTGGGAGACCCGAACCCGCGAACAGGGAAAAAGGGAAACCGGATCGACCCACAGCGCGTCCTCGGACACAGAAGCAACAAGATTTGTTATTTGTTATTTGATATGTTATTTGCGCCGTGGCGCGCAAATAACGGCGAAGCGCCGCACCGGACACAAAACATGATGCGCCCAAGAGGAAGAAACCTCCGGAACGAAACCAAAGAACCCAAAGGAACCCAGAATCGAACCAGGGGGAGCCCAAATCACCACATTTGCCGGCGGAAAACACCACAGAAAGGCAAAGCATAGCCCCAGACAGAACACCCTGGGAAAATGGTCATAACAGACCGAAAACCGAGGGACAAGGTGTGGGAGCAAGCATAACAGCCAGGGGACACTGAGCCCAAACTCAAAGGCCCAGACCCAAAACAGACAAAATGGAAAACCCGGTGTAAAATCAACACCCAAACGTTCCCAGAGGAACAGGCAATGGACAGAAAACACCAGAAAAGAAACGATAACAGGAGAATAAAAAACCCTGAAAAAAGGTGAAAAACTCACCCAAGAAGCTCGCTCGCACACCCAGTCGCATGTAAACAAACCGCAACACCGCCCTGGTGGCCACGCATGGAAACCGGCAGACGAAAATGGCCGCCAACAGGGGCTGTGACTGACGCTAAAGATACGAAAACACGCCAACAAAAGTGGGAAGCAAGCAGACTGGCTACACACTGGCAGAGCTGCTCCTGCTTGCGTTTGGGATGAATGTCACTTCAGCCCCGTTTTGCAAGCTGTCTCATGTGTTGTTTCACCTCCGGCCTGCTCATGTGCCGCCTGAGCTGTCCTGGTCGTTGGACCGGGTGCTCTCTTTTCTCCTTTGTTTATGGTGGCCCCTTCAGTTCGGGACTGTTTTGACAAGGCTCTTTTCTTGTTGGAATTGGCCTCTGGGGGTCGGGTTGGAGAGCTTCATGATCTCTGGTGCAGGGGTTTCTGCTCCTTCAGGCCAGTTGGTAGGTTTTACGTTTACAGCCATCTCCTTTTTTGGCGAAGAACGAGACGGCTGCTTTCCGGAGAGGTCCTTGGGTTGTTGATACTTGGTTGGTTCGGCTGTGGGGGCATCATGTGTTGAGTCCAGTTGCAGCTCCTTGCTGTTATTTGTACACCACAGGCTCGGTGGCCAGGGATGCGCTTCGAGTCAACCCGGGTTCCCTTCTTCCCTGTTCAAGAGCTCGGGTCTCCCAGGTCGTCCTCAGGGTTATTTAGTCTAGATAACATGCGGTCTATCCTCGTGCCCGTGATGTTCCCAAATTTGATGATTTAACTGCCGTTTTTGGTAATATGTCTTGGGCTGACATTCAGGCGGGAGAATTTTGAAGGTGGAACAATCAATGTCCTGGCTGCCTGTTATCTGATTAATGTTCCAGGCCCTAGTCGGGCATGTGTTGCCTTGGGTCACAGGTTGCAGCCAGTTGTCTTGACCTTGTATTGAGGTGTGAGTGGCGGCCGCCTCCCGGGTAAGTCTCTCTTTTTTTTTCTTTCTGTGGTTAGGTAGCTCCAGGGAGCCGGAGGGGCTCTCCACAGAACACAAGCGTTGAATGTAATGAAACGCCATTCTCTGGGTGAGTCCTGGAAACTCTCTGGCAACCTCTGCTTCCTCCAGTTGGCAGTTTTCACATTTGTTATATTCAGCCTCTGAACTATTCAGTTGAATAGCCAGCATGAGCAGTCTGGGGCTCCCCCTTCTCCCTCCCAGGGAAGGGGGAGCTGCACAGACAGCAGCGCAGCAGAGGTTGTAACATCATGCTTGTTTGGTTGTTTTAGATTGGGGAGTTCTACATGCCAGTTCGGCTTTAGGTACTAATTTTATAACTATGTGAAGTTTGTTTGGGACGCCTACTTTTCTGGGTGCCTAACCTGGTCGATGGCAGACATGGAATGCTCCCAACCAGATGGGGGTTTCCATAGGTCATTGCTCCTCTCACTTCTCTGAGGGGGGGGGGGGGGGGCAGGTTCTGGTCGTGGTCTCCGGTAGGCAAGAACTCCATCAAATAGACTAATGCCACGGTCCAATACATACATATCAGCCCAGTATAGCGCCGGGGAGCTGGAGGGGGCTCACCACAGAAAAAATACTATTATTCCTATTCTGAATGATGCAAGATGAAATAGTTCCACTAAAAGAAAAAAAATTGCATATAAGAACAACATATAATATATAAGGTGCTTTTTGAGGATGACCAATCTTACCATACAATCAGAAAACTAACCAAACATAAAACCCAAAAGAAACAAACTACTGCAAAGGAATCAACAATAACGTGAAATACAAAACATACACCATTGGGTAGTAAGGTTCCTTGCCCACAACAGGCATATATGTAAATGATGCCAGAAGAATGCAGGCGCCAATCCACACAAGCCTCATGGATCTCTCCACTGCCCCTTGCATTGAGTACATAATGACCGGCCACAGACCAATGCACAACAGTCCAACGGAGAGCATTGGACGAATGAAGAATGCCATCACCTGCAATTCAGAATCAGTGAAGTATTTTCCTATGAATAATAATAATAATAATATATATAATCATGTAAATAATAATTTTTATTTAAGTACTGTACGTACGTATATATATGTATGTACTCACCTATTTGTGCTTGCGGGGGTTGAGCTCTGGCTCTTTGGTCCCGCCTCTCAACTGTCAATCAACCGATGTACAGATTCCTGAGCCTACTGGGCTCTATCATATCTAAATTTGAAGCTGTGTATGGAGTCAGCCTCCACCACATCACTTCCTAATGCATTCCATTTGTCAACCACTCTGACACTAAAAAAGTTCCTTCTGATATCTCTGTGGCTCATTTGGGCACTCAATTTCCACCTGTGTGCCCCTAGTGCATGTGCCCCTTGGGTTAAATAGATGTCCTTATCTACCCTGTCAATTCCTTTGAGAATCTTGTATGTGGTGATCATGTTCCTCCTAACTCTTCTGTCTTCCAGCGATGTGAGGTTAAACTCCCGTAGTCCCGTAGTCTGTAATAATATCATCGCTACATAATAGCATGAACAAGTATATTATGGCATTTTTAGGCGATGCTGTGGTCACAAGCTGAACAGCAGTGCTTTGAGCTCATGCTGCTCACTCAATACTGAGGCCCCTAACACCCGGGAATTTGGCCATGATTTTTTTTTAAAATGGCGTCTGTTTACAAGAGCCCTGATGAAGGTGTGGTGAACCCCGTGTATCCGCGGGCCGTTTAAATCTTGCGTAGTACTCCAAAGCATCATATGATGCGATGCGCAATTTTCTGCTATTCGGTCAAAGCATCATATGATGCAATGCGCAATTTAAGGGTTAAACACCAGCCTACTAAAGGGTGTACGTATAGACTTAGTCTGCGATCGTACAGTATGCACCCAGTGCCCTTAGCTTTGTCAGCGATTGACGTACAGCATTTATCCACCGGTGGAAGAATAATAGTGGAATTGACCATTTTTTTACTACAGCTCTGGTTATAAAACAAAATGTCTCAGGGGCTTACTAATAGTGCCTTATTAATGCCAAAAATGAAGCAATATTTTGCAAGAACTTGTAGCAGAAAATCAACCAGCACGAGAACAGCTGTACCCAACACAAGAACAGCCGTACCAAGCACGAGAACAGCCGTACCCAGCAAGAGAACAGCCGTACCCAGCACGAGCACAGTTGTACCCAGCACTGGTACAACAACAGCCAGCACCAGCTCAGAAGCAGCTGAACCCACAGCAGCAGCGAGCACCAGCAAACCTGATGCAAACATCTAAAAACATCGTGTGCGGCATGAACAGTTAGAACAAGTGTTAAATTTAAGTGAGTACACAGCGTTAAAATTAAAGTTGCAGTAATTTTAGTGTACAATAGTTTTCATAAACCGTACTGTAGTACTCAACATACAGCAGAACTACTTTTAGTCAATACAGTGCTAACGGCATAATGCACTGCAGTACGTATTTACTGTAGAGGATTCACAACTTCACGAAACTTCAAGATGGACACCACAACTACAATAAGGTAAATTTATGAATTACAGTATTTTTAGTATTGAAGTAATATATAGGTACAGTATGTAATATGATAATGCATTTTTATTGTGTACAAGAAAAAAAAAGACACTGACACAAACGCCTCCTGAAGGTCACCTTTTGCAACGAGTCCAACGCTCCAACGAACTGGGGTTGGTCCCATATAGTACGTTGAATCGAGGTTGTACCTGTACTGGTTGGCCCCCACCCAAGGCCAAACTAGGGACATAACACCCCAGCTGGCTCCAAGGGCAGGGCAGATGCCGAGCAGCAAAAACCCTACGAAAAGTGGCATTCCGAATGCACCAGGGAAGATAACCCTGACATGTAAGTACTCACAGGGCACTTAGGGAAGTCTGTCCTAAGCACATGCAGCCTTGGTACACTTCAGGTACACATAGACACTACACCACGAAGGCAAAGCACTGCGTAGGAAATTGATGCCAGAGATTATGACCACCTTGGATTGCATTAGCCAACGAACTGGAATGGCTAATGCAATTCCATAATTGCAAGCCATTCAATAATGGGTCTGGGAGGATGGGGGTCTGTGCAAACGAGCGGTGCCGCTGTGGGGTGTGATGTTTGCTTGTTTCCTTGGGATTGGAGGGAGTTCTGTCTCTCTGTTCGGTTTTCGGTTGCAATTTTCTTACCATGTGGGGTCTGCTTTGTTATGCCTACATTTCTGGGTACCTAACCCCAGTCGATGGCAGATAAGGAAAACCCCAACCACAGGGGAGTTTTCCATGTCTATTGCTCCATGTGCCTCTCTGAGGGGACCAGGTTCTGGCTCGTGGTCCTCGGTAGGTTGACCTCCTTTGACTAATGCCCAGGTCTAATGAATTGCATGTTAGACCGATAGTTCGAGGGAGCCGAAGGGGCTCCCCACAGAAAAATATACAATTAAAGAACTTAAATGTCTAACAAAATATCCATATCTTCGACCTAAATTTACCAATACTGCACATGAATCAATAATTGAGTGACAAGTAAACAGGCACATTTCAAAGAACATTTATATGGCAATAAATCATATTGGACCTACCAGAATCTCAATCCCAAGAAAGATAAAGAGTATACGAATGGCCACTTCCCACACCATATTGAATGAAGACACGAGGAGCCAAGCAACACGCAGCGGGGCACAACTGTGGTGCACGAGGCCCCACAGTCCAACTGGTGTCATTAAATACAGGTAATGTTGCCACGGATGTTGCTGCCCTGTAATTAGGATTTGATTAAAATTAGGAAACTGAAAAATATGCTGTTTACACTTTGACAAATTATTATTCATGTTCATAGTTGAAGATGTGCCAGTCCAATGATAGTACTTTATAATGTCTGGTGCAGTTGAAACTTTATGGACAAAAGTAAAAAAGTAAAAGGCAGAGTTTTTTAACTCATTAAACCTTTCAATGATACATTTATTCCAAATAAAGACAAATGCATTATAAAAAAAATAGTTTTCAATATGAAAGTATAGTAATGAATACAAGCTATTGCTGACCAAACCACACAACAAAGTGAAGAGGCGACGACATTTTGATATTGGTCCACGACGAACCGAAATGTCGTTGTTTCTTCACTACCTGTTGTGTGATTTGGTCATCATATCTTCCGCCACGTTATTGTGACTAATAATCTGCATACAAGCTATTGTACCATCACCATGTGAACATGGAAAGCTGTTCAAGTTACTGCACACAGTCTGGTAATGTACACAAGACAAACACAGAACTAACTTAGTTTATTTGGCAGATTAATAATGCATTTCTGGGGGGAGCCTCTTTTTGTCCCGGGAGCCATCCAGGCTGACATAGCTAATGTCAGACTTTGGCATCAGTCATGTGTATGGAGTTCTTTGGGCCTACCGGGGACTACGAACCAGGTTTCGTCAAGGAGGGACGAGGAGCAATGGCCTATAGAAACTCCCATGTGGTTGGAAGTATTCTATGTCTGCCATCAACCAGGTCAGGCTGTTGTCTCACAGCAAAGAAATGAAATCCTAAAAAAGCAGTAGGAGGACATGTTTAGCACTCCGATAAACAGCATGAAAGTGGAAGATCCGGACAACTTCTTTATGAGTGATATCCAAACCCCTGTAAATATAACTGATATCAACACGAGCGTGGCAGACCTTGAAAGAGAAATTGACAATATGCCCATGCACTCAGCCCCGGGTCCAGACTTATGGAATTCAATATTTATAAAGAAATGCAAAGTGTCAGTAGCACAGGCACTCAGTATAGTGTGGAGGAAGAACTTGGACACGGGAAAGATACCAGATGTGCTTAAAGTAGCAGACATAGCCTCTCTACCCAAGGGAGGGAGCAAATCATTGGCAAAGAATGATTTGCAAAGAATGATTTGACCAGTTGCACTAACGTCCCATATAATATAAGTATTTGAGAGAGTGATCAGGAGTCAGGTCACTAGTTTCATGGAAACCAATGACCTCCACAATCCAGGCCAAGATGGATTTAGAACGGGAAGATCATGGCTCTCACAGCTACTTGACCATTATGACAAAATCAATGAGGCATTAGAAGAAAAAAAGAATGCAGATGTGGTATGCACGCATTTCACAAAGGCATTCGATAAATGTGACCATGGAGTGATAGCACACAAAATGAGGTCAATGGGAATAACTGGTAAAGTAGGAAGCTGAATACCCAGTTTTCTGTCAAACAGAATACAAAGAGTAACAGTCAACCATATAAAATCAAGTTCAAGCGCAGTTAAAAGCTCTGTACCTCAAGGTAAAGTCCTTGCACCACTGCTTTTCCTTATTCTCATATCAGATATAGACTCAAATACAAGTCATAGCTTCATATCATCCTTTGCAGATGACATAAAAATCAGCATGAAAATTACCTCTGCTGAAGACATTGATAAACTACAAACAGATATTAACAAAGTTAATATGTTTGACTTTTTCCAAAGAATGCCAGACCAGCCGGGCTGTGGTATGTGGGCATGCGGGCCGCTCCAAGTAACAGCCTGGTGGACCAAACTCTCACAAGTCAAGCCTGGCCTCAGGCCGGGCTTGAGGAGTAGAAGAACTCTCAGAACCCCATCAAGCAGGTATCAAGCAGGCACCCAGAAAGCTAAGCACCCCAAAACAAACCCCTATTCTGGTGAAAATTGCTACAGAAAGCCGAACTAGTGGATAGAACTCCCCAAACATAAACAACCAAACAAGCATGACGTCACACGTTGCCGTGCTGCTGTCTGCCCACCTCCCCCCTTATCCTCCCCAGGAGGGGGAAGGGGGAGCCCCAGATCCCCGCACCGGCAATCCACACCTCAGTTCTGAGGCTGATGCTATGGAAGAGGTCGTGTGCTCTGGCTCCAGACATTGTTTCAGCTCTGTGCCTTGTGTGTGGTGGTTGTCTTTTCGGTGGTGCGCGACCCAGGAGTATCTTTTCAGTACTTGGGCTGCATGCGCCTAGGTTTCCTTTCCCTAGGTGCCCAATAAGTACTGCCTAAGGGGCTTGAGGCCACCTTCCCCAAGTTCCTTGTGTTCTGCCTCTGCTTGGCCGTTTCCTGCTCAGTTTTCGGCCGCCCTTAGTGTGCTTGGGTGTTTTGTCTCCCTTGTTCGCCTCAGGACAGGAGGCAGTTTGCACTGATAAGGGGCACAGAGTACTGTGCAGATTGTTTTCATCATTCATAGCAGCCGGCTCTGTTCCGCCTGGGTACGCTGTCTTCTTGTTTTTTTTTTCTTTTTGTTGGCTTGCTGGGTGGGGGGGTCTGCCTTGGTTATTGCCCCGTATGTACTGAGTACTTTTGTCTTTTCAGGTGATACCCCCCTGCTAGGTCCCCGTGAGTGTACACATCCCGGGGGTTCAGCTATTAAAAAGCTGTTTGGTAGACTTGGGCGCCAGTTAGCAGTACCCTGCCTGGGCTTCCCTGAGCATGAGTTCCTTCTCAGGACCCTGGGAAATCCCACAGGGGGACACGGGTCCGATGGATGTGACCTGAGTCCCCCCCTCGCTTTGTGCGAGTTCGAGGGTTGCTCTGTCCCCCTTGTCTCAGGGTGACTCACTGTTTTTGCCTCCATCACGCTGCCTGTTGGGTCGGTGACACTTTCGACCCAGAGTCCTGCAATTTTTGTTGCTTACTGGTGATTCAGTTTACCTAATCTACTGATGACATTATTCGGGTACAGGCGGCACAAGCGTTGCATGTTCGGTTTAGGTTTTTGCAACGCCCTAGGTTGATTGCTGTGCCAGAAGCTCCAAGGCTGCCCCGTTTTGCTTATAGGGACCCAGACTTGGGGATGTTGGTTGTTTTGGCTTTCTGTCCGCGCCCCCTCATCCTTCCCCTGCTGTGGTTCGGTCACCCTTGCCCCCTGCTTCCGGCTGTGAAACATCTGAGAAGGTTTTCGGAGTCGGGGCAGGGTTTGGATGGTCTTGAGACTCGGGCATTCTTGGTGGATGCCCTTTCTGGTGTGGCAACGGAGACATTCGAGTTGGTTCTCCCTGCCGAAGGCTTTGGGTCTGACCAGTGGGCCCCCTTATGTTCGGCTTTTACGGCTGCGCTGGCCTTTTCTTTTGAGACCGGGGCTTTGGGAGATGACTCAGCCCCAGGTCCTGATGTGAAGGATCCCTGGGCTGGGGAGGGGCTGACTTGGGGGCTTTTGGCCCTGTTGGACCCCGCCTGGGTTTTTCTGTCCTCTGAGCGGGTCTTACTTTTACAAGGAGTAGGGTTTTCTTTTCCCCCTCTGCGTACGAACTGGATTTGGTGTCTGCCCCTCCCAGGGTTCGGTTCCGTGTCCCTTTGGGTGCTTCGGTCCCGTCTTTCCAGAGGTTTTCAGCTTCCCGCATCCAGCCTTATGTGGTGTGGGAGGCCTTTGCGGCTTACCTTCTGTGCGACCCGGATTATGCCTCTATTATGGATCCGTCTTTGTTCAGGTTTGGGTCTTTGTTTCCCTACTGGATCTGTTATGAGGTTCCGAAGTCGTCCTGGCTGGTGGACTGTCCTGCGTTTCCTTTGGAGGTGTGACATACCTTCTGTCATCAATGAGTGCTTGTTTGCCCCTGCCCTTCCTCAGGATGTTGGCATTATGCAGCTCCATGTGCAGGTTCCTTCCCTTTCGGCTCCGTAGGTGGCTGAGGACTTGCGCACTCGTGGCCTCTTGGCTTCGGCATTGCGTTTCTTTTCCTTTCTGGAGCTGTCTTCTGACTGGCTTGAGGAGGATGTGAAGGCACTTGGGGCAGTTCCTGAGTTCAATGCCTTGGGTTCAGCGGCTCGCTCGTTGTCTGCCTTGTTGAAGCTATTTGCGCTTATCCTGAGGGATACGGTGTCGCTGTTTTATGCCTCCTGGTTTGTGTGTCGGCAGGCAGTGCTTGCTTCCTCCCTGGAATCTGTCTGGGCCCTGGCTCTTAGAATGTCTTCACCCTTCTGTCCCTTGCTGTTTCTCTTTGAGACACAGAGACACAGAGTTTCAAAGAGACACAGTCCGGCCTGTGTCTCTTTGTGTCGGCGGTTGCAGTCAGTTGTCTCGACTTCGAGTCGAGGAGTGAGCAGCGACCGCCTCCCGGGTAAGTCCCTCTGGTTTTCATATTTTGGTAGGTAGTTCCGGGGAGCCCCCCCTGAAAATCAGCTTTGAAAGTAATGAAACGCCATTTTCCCTCCCCCTGGTCGGCGGTTTTTCACGTGTTTTGATGTCCAGCCTCAGAACTGAGGTGAGGATTGCCGGCACGGGGGGTCTGGGGCTCCCCCTTCTCCCTCCCAGGGAGAGGGGGGGGGGGGAGCTGCGCAGACAGCGGCACGGCGACATGTGACATCATGCTCGTTTCTGTTTGGGGAGTTCTGTCCACTAGTTCGATTTTTGTAGCAATTTTCACCAGAATAGGGGTTTGTTTTGGGGCGCTTACCTTTCTGGGTACCTGACCTGGTCGATGGCAGACATAGAATGCTTCCAACCACACGGGGGGTTTTATAGGCCATTGCTCCTCGTACCTCATCTAAGGAGACACTGGTGGCCCATTAAATGAGGTACAAGGAGCCCAATCAATGGGGTCGTAGTCCCCGGTAGGCCCAAAGAACTCCATACACATGACTGATGCCAAAGTCTGACATTAGCAATATCAACCTGGATAGCTCCAGGTCTCCCAGAAAATGGCATTTTATTACATTCAACGTTGGTTTTTTGACAATACAGTAGCCATTTTCTAACATTTTTGAAACAATAATCATAAAATGTTTTAACTCTATTATTTTAAAATGTGGTTTGGAAAACCATGATGAGGCTACATCAGAGGCTAAATATGCATTTAGGGTGGTATGCTCTATATGATGAAATACACCAGACTAAGGATGAGTATATTGCATGAAATAACACCAACATAATACCTTGAATTATTTCTAGAAATTCTGTACAGCATATCGTTAAAAATGACAAATTCAGAAGAATATTTATTCCCCTAGAACTCATGCATGAATTAAATAAACATAATGATTACTGACCTATGAGCTTGGTGAGATTTGTTATTCCCCATACCACAAGCACCAGAGCCATTAATACAGATGAGCGTGACACCCGTCGGCCCTCGATGGTCCCTCCAGCCATTCTCAAGACAGCACTATGATCCTTATAGTGGAAATACAAATTAAGAAGTCTTGATACAAAATTGAAAATGAGTTTTTTTAACACTGGCTACAAAAATATAAGGAGTGTGTCAGAGAACAGGAGCCAAAAGACCAGCATTGAATGGAATAAAACACCATTTTCTCGGTGAGCCCCGGAGGCTCCCTGGAGCTTATCGGGCTAATGTATGTTATATTAGACCGGGACACTAGCTATGGAGTTCAGACCTACCAGGGTCCAGTGCCAGAACCTGGCCCCTTCATAAAGGTTTCAGGGAGCAATGGCCCTGGAAAACCCCCCTTGTGGTTGGGGGTTTTCCTTATCTGCCATTGACCGGGGTTAGGCACCCAGAAAGGTAGTCATAACAAAACAAACCCAACATGGTAAGAAACTAAAACAAAAAACGAACAGAGGTAGAAACTCCCTATAATCCAAAGGAAACGAGCAAACAAGCAATTACCAGTAAGGAAACGAGCAAACAAGCAATTACCAGTATCACAATTTACTGCCGTGCTGCCCGTCCACGCAGCCCTCCCTCCCAAAGAGGGGGAGGGAGGTGGGCCCTGGACTTCACCGCGCATGCTGCCTAGTACACCAGTTCAGAAGCTTTAAGTGGCCATCAAAAACCGAGGAGAGGTAAGATAGGAGAGCACCCTGTCCAAGAACCAGGACGGATCAGGTGGCGCATGAGCACGCAGGAGGTGAAACATAGCACGAGAAAGCTTACGGAACGGGGTAGATGTGACGTCCACCTCAAGAACCGCCCGAGTCTCGGCCCTTTTCCCTAACTCCGACAATCAGGAGCCGGGAAAAGGGAGAACAGCACCTAATTAAAAAGGGGCGGCCTCGGGGCATCCGAGTGGGAACCAACCTAGTGCGTTGCAGCAACCTAAACCAAGCTTGCAACGCGGATGCCGCCTGTACTCTGAACAGTAATAACATCAAGAGAGTACTGGAGAACAAGCCGAGAACACAACTTGCAAGACTCCGGGTCAAGGTGTCTGACCCAACAGGCAGCATGACGGAGGTAAAAGTGGTGACTGTCACCCGGAGACAAGGGCACAGCAACCAACGAACCCACACAAGAAGGGTTGGAACCCGGAAGACACATTCAATGGTCCACCGAGTCCCGACAGGGGTTTCCAGGGCCCGTAGGGTAACAACTACGGGAAGCCCGGACAAGGTGATGCTAACCGGTTAAAACCCAAAATTAACAAGGGGTAGAGGACAACACTGAAAACACCTGCAACGTGTACAATCACGGGGGTCTAGCAGAGGGCCGCCAAACACTACCAGTGGAACTATAGCCAAACTAGGCAGAACCCCCACCAGGCAAATGAAAATAAAAACAAAAGAAAAACCCTGCCAAAGTACACCATTCCCAGAGGCAACAGGAACCGGTCGCCGCTTAGGTGGCAGGTCGCGCAACATCTTGACGCCCTACCCAACACAATACCTGTCCCTACCCAGGGCCAAACAGGGACCTCAAGCCCCAGCTGGCCCCAAGGGTGAGGCAAATGCCGAGCAGCAAGAACCTCTACAGGAATCGTTCCTGAATGCCCCAGGGAAGATAACCCTATCATGCAGGGGCAGTACTCACAGGGTGCTCAGGGAAGGAAACCCCTAAGCGCCGGTACTGATGAGGAACACCTGGCCACCAGTAGCCTGGTGGATAGCGCGCAGGACTCGTAATTCTGTGGCGCGGGTTTGATTCCCGCACGAGGCAGAAACAAATGGGCAAAGTTTCTTTCACCCTGAATGCCCCTGTTACCTAGCAGTAAATAGGTACCTGGGAGTTAGTCAGCTGTCACGGGCTGCTTCCTGGGAGTGGAGGCCTGGTCGAGGACCGGGCCACGGGGACACTAAAGCCCCGAAATCATCTCAAGATAACCTAACCACACAACACAACACACAGCAGTGAACGCCACGAAAGGCAAACACCGCCTAGGGACCTCTGTCAGTCATTTTAGTTGGGTTTTAATGTTGTCCATTAACTCCAGTACTGATTTATGAGCCAGCAGGAACCACTTGAGAAGTTGTGTGTGGTGCTAATGACAGGATGCTATCCTGCCTGATTGTGAATACTCTAATCCTATGGACATGGTGAATCTTATCTTAGTGAGTATCTGAATGAGATGGATCAGAAATAAAATTAATAGTCTAAATTCAAGCTTTTCAAAAATGAAACTAAGTCTTCTTTAGCGAGTAAATTTTTCTGAATAACCCAAATAAGAAGTACTTTACTTACCCTCAACAGATGACATATCATGAGAAATATCCAGCCAAGAAAACCCAAAGCAATGTGGATAGACAAAGCCAGTCGATCATAGTGATGATAGTAGTCCATGCCATGTTGTGTCATGGAGATTAGATGGAGGCTCTCTGTGTTCTGAAAATATACTAAAAAGGTCTCAATTCAAACATGCAAAAGATATTAAATAAGCATGTAACACATGGTAACATTTATTAGTAACTATATATTGCTAACAATATACATTAACTCCTGTATAACAATGTGCAAATCATTTAAAAGCACCCACACATGGGCAATTCCAGCCATACATGACTGGTGGCTACAAAATTGATGCCCGAGCACAATATTGTGTGTTCACTAATATTTCTCCTACAACAATACTGTTTGTGGTGTTATTACACTATATACACACACATTATATATAAATATCTACCTGTTTTATTCACCATACTTGTACAAGTAAACTGGTATGGTGCCCAAAGACCATCGTGGTCATCAGTAAACAACATGGTAAGTCCTGCAGATGACGCTCCTCCCTCACCAAAATGGCGGCTCCCAACCTCCTACTCTCGCTGTTATCTCGCACTATACACACGTTATATACAAGTATCTACATTTGTGTTCACCATAGCAAACCACTAAGCTGGTATGGTGAGTGCAGTCAATAAAAGGTGGCCACACACACTCAAAAGACAATGCCACCATCCTCCCTCCCACAGCATTACTCCTCCCTCCATGGCGCACAGTGCCAAATATCACGACAATCCTGCTATTATCAGAACCCTGGTCAGTTTTATCACAGTCAGGGGTCTTCTGTAATAATATCATCGCTATATAATAGCATGAACAAGTATATTATGGCATTTTTAGGGGATGCTGTGGTCACAAGCTGAACAGCAGTGCTGTGAGTTCATGCTGCGTGCGTCAGGCTTGGTAGCCGACTCAATACTGAGGCCCCTAACACCCTGGAGTTTGGCCCACGATTTTTTTTTAAAATGGCGTCTGTTTACAAGAGCCCTGATGAAGGTGTGGTGAACCCCGTGTATCCGCGAGCCGTTTAAATCTTGCGTAGTACTCCAAAGCATCACATGATGCGATGCGCAATTTAATGCAAGTCGGTCAAAGCATCATATGATGCAATGCGCAATTGAAGGGTTAAACTGCCGAGGGTTTGCCTCCGGTGACTTATATACAAGGACAATAACTACATTTAGGATCTCTATTTTGATTATCAGCACTTTCACCATATCATTTGAGGTGTTTAGCACCTCAAGCCAAGAGATGACGCATCCTTGAGCACATCGAGCGAAGGCTTGGGTAGGCGCCACGGCACTGAACCCTGAAAAACCTTAAAAGGAAGCTAGCGACGCAGCAGCTGACACAAGGCCCCCCGGGGGTTGGTACAGTACTTGCGGGACCACAGCTGAAGGAGAGAGACTGGAGGGAGAGAGACGGAAGCGGTATGAGTCCCACACAAGACCCAGCAAAGTCCGAACCTGAGAGGGGGCCAGATGGGACTTTCGCCAGTTAACCAGGAACCCGAAGCCGGCAAGCTGGGAAAGAACCAAATCCCTGGTGAGCAGACACGCAGACCGACTGGGAGCCCAGACCAAGCAGTCATCGAGGTAGGCCAACACCTGAACACCTAAAAGACACAGACGGGCCACCACGATCTGGGCGAGACGTGTGAACACGCGAGGAGCCAGGTTCAACCCACAACAAACCTGAACCAGATGACAGCTGGAAGAAGCCAGCTGCATATACCACTCAACCGCAGAGTCTGCAAACAGCAAAGGACAAAAGGGCGAAGAAAACCGAAGAGAAAGGGCCCAAGCAGATTCCATGGAGGAAGTGAGCACAACCTGCCGACATGCGAGACGAGCAACAAAGAACCGCGACACCACATCACATAAAATCGGTGCAAACAGGTTTAGCAGCACAGATGATGCACGAGCAGCTGAGACCAAGGCACCAGACCCAGGAATGGCCCCAAGCACCTCTACATCCTCTGCAAGCCAATCCGAAGACAGCTCCAGGAGGGGAAAAGAAACACAAGACCGAAGCCAACAAGCCACAAGCGCGTAAGTCCTCAGCCAAACGCGCAGCCGACAGGGAGGAAACCTGCAAGCAAAGCTGAATCACGCCCACATCCCGCAGAAGGGCAGGGGCAAACAAGCACACATTAAGGTGCTCAAATTTGTCATCAACGCCTCGCGCCATTCAAGCATGTGGGTACGACAGAAAGCACTCCAACCCTCCAACGACAACATCGGGCAGTTATCAAACCAGGACAACTCCAGAACCTCATAACGAATCCAGTATGGAGACGAAGACCCAAACCTGAAGGAAGACGGATCCATTATAGAGGCATATTCTGGGTCGCACAGGAGGTAAGCTGCAAAGGCCGCCCGCACCTCAGTAAGTGAGATGCAGGAAGCAGAAAACCTCCGAAAGGACGGAACCAAAGGACCCACAGGGATACACAACCAAACCCGGGGAGGAGCCGAACCCAAATCCTACTTGTACGCAGAGGAGGGTAGGAGAAAACCTCACTTCTTGTAACAGAAAGCCCCTCTCTGAAGGTTGGAAAACTCAGGCGGGGTCCAGCGGAGCCTAAGGTCCCCAAGTCAGCTCCTCCCCAATCCCGAGAACCTCCACATCAGGCCCTGGGGGCGAGTAATCCTCCAAAGCCCCTGGCCTCACAAGAAAGAGCCGGGGTGGCCAGAAAAGCAGGAAGAGATGTGGCCCATTGGTCAGACCCCAGTGCCACGGCTGGATGAATGGACTCGAATGCCTCCGTCACCACCCCGGAAGGGGCAACCCCCGAAACTGCCAGAGTCTCAGAAACCTCTAAACCCCGCCCCAACTCCAAAGACCTCAGACAATTTGGAATTGGAACCAAGTAGGGAGGTGGAGAGGAACAGAATGAGTCACAACAGAGGAAGAACGAGGGGGTGCGGACTGAACAAATGTCGAAACAAACAACACCCCCAAGTCCGAATCCCTAGAAGCAAAGTTGGGGCAGCCTCGGGGCATCCGGGGAAGCAACCAACCTAGCACGTTGCAGCAACCTATACCTAGCATGCCATGCCTGAGCCACCTGCACCCGAATAATGTCATCAGTTGATTGGGTGAATTGAGTCACAAAATAAGCAACAATGCTCATAATACTCAGGGTCGAAGGTGTCACTGACCCAACCGGCAGTATGACGGAGGCAAAAGCAATGAGCTTCGCCAAGAGACAAGAAGACACAACAACACTCAAACTCGCACAAGGCAAAAAGGGACTCGGGGATTCGCATCCATTGGACCCTGTGTGCCCCCACAAGGTTTCCTAGGGCCCCCAGAATTGTATGACCAAGAGTAAGCCCAGGCAGGGTACTGCTAACCGGCACCCAAGTCTACCAAACTAACTTCTAAAACTGAATCCCAAGGACGTGTCCAATCACGGGAGCCAAGCAGGGGGTACCACTGAACACCGGAGGTCAAGACTTTAATATAACAGGGGGCAAGGGACACAAGGCAGACCCCCTCTACCAAGCAGAAACAAAAAGAAAGAGAAAAACCCCACAAGAGGACAACGTACCCAGGAGAAACAGAGCCAGCCGCTATAATAGGTGAAAACTAGCTGTGCAGTACCCCATGCCCCTACCAGTGCAAAAATTACCACTTACCCCAAGATAAACAAGGGAGGAAACTCCCCTCCCCACCCCCCCCCAACACACTCAGGGTGGTCAATCACCGAGCAGCTAAAGACCAACAGACGTAGACCCCAAGGTGACTTGTGGAAGATAACCCCAAGCCCCAAAGGCGGTACTTACAGGGCACTCAGTTAAGGGAACCCTAAACACATGCAGCCCGAGTACCTGTGAATACTACTCCTAGCTTCCATGCCAGAGTAAGAGCAGTTCTGAACACACGGCACAGCACAACACAGAGGGAATCTGGATAGAAACCCAGGATCTACTACAGAAGCATCTGAAGTGTTGCATGGAGGAGCGAGTGTACTGATGGTATAATACTGCAGAAAGATATCTTGAGTGGAGTATTAGACACAAAGGTTGGTTCTTTATGGCTACTAGTAATGGTCAACAGAAAATGCATATAAATATTTGCTATTTGTGACAAGAAATAAAGGGTAAAATATTTATAATTTGGGTGCCAATACACTAACCAGTAATTACTCTAGCACAGGGCACAAAGAAAATATAAACTGTAATAAATGTATTTTCTATCAATTTTGTCATAGGAGCTTCACTTCTTTGTGAAATACAACACTGACAATGGGTTTAAACATGCCTTATTGTAGCTCAAATGATAAAAAGACTTCAAAGATTATTAAGAAAGTCATTATTACACTACTCTCCTGACAAGGTAAGTAAAATTTGTTGACCTTTGTTGGTCAACAAAGGTTGACCAACAAAAGGTTTCAACAATTTGTTGAAAATTTGTTGAGAATAATGCTTTTTATTTGTACACTATCATTATTATTATTTTAATTTAAAATACAATACTAAATATTTGGTTTTAATGTTGATTCATTGATTTTTAGGCAAACACATACAGCGTTACAATGGCTATGTGCCCTCCTGAAGCCATTGCTGCCTCATATGAGCAAGACCAATGGTGCAATTACATTCGTGTAACCGATGCTTTATTAACTTTTTACACAACCTATATACCTGTACTTGCAAATGGCTTCATACTTTCTCCTGATAATTCCCTATCTATAACAATCTTTTACTAAAGGTTAATAATGATGTATTTATATATGTTCTGTAAAAGGATAAATGAAGACTGGCAAGACTGGCAAGGAAGAACTCCTGACACCTGGTACAATACAAGAAGCCACAGTAATAAACAAAATGAAAACAATGTAGGAAAACTACCAGGAAATTCTTTCATGAGCAGAGTGGCAGTAAAACTTCAGAAATTAAAGTGCACCAAAACTCCTGGAAATTATTAAATGGTTTATAACAGGGTAGAGAGAAAGGTATACCATGAGCATAGCTCTCTTCCACATAACTATAAATAGGTAATAACACACATACTAATCATTGGATGTAAATCAATCTACATTCTATGCTATTATCTAAATCCCTCTGCCTCATTTACAGTGGGTAGTCCCCTTGAAGGTGAGCCCATCATCAGCTTCAGGTCACCTAATATAAACCTTTTAACTTTGCCTGCTCACTTCCAATTATGGATACCAGTATCCACTCAATTTAACGGCCTCTTTTATACCGATCAACACAAAATACCTTCTAATGCAGCAAAACCTGCAGAGATAGTAATTTATGACTGAAAGAGCTCATATCATAAAGACAATAACTCAATTGTGACTGAAAGAACTTAAACCCTAAAGGCTTAAAAATTGATGCACCTACCGCATCTTCATAATTTGCACTTTTCAAGTGATTACGAATTGTAGCCAGAGACTCGAGCTCCCTGTCTAGTGTAAGGACAGTGTAGGGCCAATAGAATATAGGCAATGTTTCTTCCTCTTTTTGGGCTCTCTTTTGCTGGTATTGGGCAAGCATTTGACGAGCATTGGCAAAGAGAGCTTCCGACTTGTATTGATCTGATGCTCCAAGATACTCAACATGTAGTATGCCCTGAAATACAAATGTAAAATTATAAGAATACAGAATACAGTATAAAACCAGCATTGAATGTAATGAAACACCATTTTCTGGGTGAGACCCGGAGCCTCCCCTGAGCTACCTAGGTTCATATGTAATATATTAGTCTTTGGTATCAGTCAGTGTGAATGGAGTTCATAGGCTTACCAGGGACCACAAGCCAGAACTTGGCCCCCCTCAGAGAGGCACAAGGAGAAATGGCCTATAGAATATGTTATGATCCCAGGCAACCAAAAAACGAGTCTCCCCTTTGAGAATTATTCTGTCAAGCCTGACCTGACTAGAAGGTCTAGGAAATATAGAGGTGAAGACACAGATGTAAAGTAGTGGGTTGGATATGATGAACAATTTGAGATTATGGGCAGTTAATAAGAAAATAGATAAATGACTGGTTAGGAGATGTGGATAATTTGCTGGAGGCGTGAGGCTCGCTTCTGGAGGGCTTTGACCTCACTTGAGTGCCAGACATTGCAAGGGGAAGTAGTGCCCCGTTTCAGCTCCTGTCTGAAAGGAACCCCTAGTGATATATCTCCAAGAGAGGAGAAGTGTACAGACGTTCCAGCTGTGGAATCGAGCTGGGAACGTTGTGGTCTCAAGTCCTGGACGGCGAGGAGTGTTTATTAAGCCGCCCAGAGACATTATCGTGGGCCGTGGGAGTGCCCTGACCAGACTCCGTCAGAGGGAGGAGCGCCCTCGACTAAACAATCTGTAGTAAGCACGATGTTAAGCTAGTCTATAGCGATTACTTGTAGTTGGTCGTGTGCCCAGCAACAGTAGCAATGTTTATTGATAAGTTAGACATGTTTTGATAAGGCAGAAGGCCTAAAATAAGAGAGTGGAGAGGGAGGAACGTCCTGGAGGGCGGAGCGACATCCGTCTCCTCTGAGCGCTGGCAGGTGACTGAGGGAGCCCAACTCCTGACGGCGGAGGACCCTCCCAGAGTGAGTGAGGGCCGCCGAGCAAGGCGGAGCATGGACCAGCCCAAACAGGGGAATCCACTCTCACAGTATGTAGAGAGCAGATAGATGTTGGAGGCAAACATATTGTGTGGTTATTTTTGTTTAAGTGTTTAAAGGGAAACATTTTTATTGGAGTGCCAATGGGTTGCAGGTTTGTCTTTGGGAAGAAGTTGCTGAGAACTTCGAAGCCAGCACAGAGGGGGCCAGCTCTGAAGGGGCCAGGTTCCGGCTCTGGTCCCTGGTAGGTCTGAACTCCATAGCTAATGTCCAAGTCTAAAGTACATTAGCCCGATAAGCTCCAGGGAGCCATAGGAGATCCCCTCAGAAAAACACAGTAAAGTGTCTGCGGTAAAGTATGTGCGTATCTTATTCTTTATAAATTAATAAAGCACTGTGCTCTACAACCTCAACTCATAATCGAGTGATTGGATTTGATTCCCACAATAGGACAGTAACAGTTGGGCAAGTTTCCTTTCTTCCCATGACCCTGTTCATTTAATAGTGAACAGGTACAACTGTTGTGGGCTGTATCCTGGGAAGGGTCAGTACATTAGATGGCACTAGGGGGGTGGGGGAGGAAGCACTTCAATAAGCCTAAGCACAGGTTCTCTCTCTTCGTCAACGGCAATACATATCAGTACACATACGAGGAACAATTAATTAATGTGAACTTACAACACTATTGACTGGAATAGGGATGCCAATGATGGATGCCATCAGCGGAGCTATGTCAGCTTGGTGAAGGTCATGTCGGCGTACATGTGAGAGACCCCACTTTTCTATCCTGGCATCGTAGATCATTTTATCTTTAAATTCTGAAGGATCCTTTGGCAAGGCTACTCCAGCGCCCCAAGCTACAAAAGGAGTTTCTGTTTCACTTGGGTCACCCGCTCCATGAGAACCTGTAAATTTGGCCTGTAGTTAACCATTATCAACTGAATTTGCCTAAATTTCCTGTTACTATTAAATAATCAACATAACTAACTACTGATGTAAATAGATGAAATTTCTTTACTTCTGTAAACCAGATGTGTTAATGTTTAAGTTGTGTCAATTGTAATATGATTTGAAGCAATAATAATAATAAATTATTAGACTCCATCATACCAATCAATGAAGACAAACTACAAAAAGACACAAAAATGAAACCTGTGCAGAACGGAACCAGAAGGGTTGCGAGGAATGAGAACTGCAGTTTAGAAGATCTGAACATCAAAGCACACAGATTCCACACAAACAAAAAATCACAAAACAACACTCATCAAAGCAACAGACAGGAGTCACCAGAAATACATACCACTCGGTTTGACCGCTAAAATCCCTTGGCGCCCATGGAAGTATTATACAGTACAGGGATACTAAGTAACTTTTAGTGAATACAGTCAGCTATTATTCGCTTGGGAGTTCTACAACTGGTAATTCTACTACTCAAGCTGTGAAATATGCAAAACAGGACATAGTGAAATGAGACTTTATTACATGTTTAATGGAATGAAAATATATTTTCCCAAATTTCTAAAGAATTTCTGGTGCTTTCTCAGAATAAGAAAAATGTTTAATGCTGTATGTACATACCCCAGTCTGTCATGCCATGATCTGAAGTGAAGACATATGCAGTCTTTTGGTCCTTGAAGAAATCTTCAAACAATTCAACCAATTTTTCAACTCCTTCATCAACTATTTCAATATTCTTCAGGTATTCCCTGTAATAGTTTTGAAAGAAAATTTGATCATGCCACATGTCTAAAACTGAAACCCAAAAACTAAGTTATGTAGCTGCTTGTACAATTTCTCAAGTTATTGGCTTAACCATAAAACTAAACACTTATCCATATTGTATGTTTACTGTTCCTCCTGTTGAATCATCTACAGTACTGTTTACAACTGGTGAGACACACATTGGCTAAACATACAGCATCAAATTTGAATGGTGCAAATACAATTTGAAAGGCAACTTACATAGCAAAACTAATACAACCTAAACATGAAAGTGACTTTCAGTGGGTTATCAACAAGAACTAAAAAAAAAACAAGCATTGAATGTAATGAAACGCCATTTTCTGGGTGAGCTCCGGAGGCTCCCTGGAGCTTATCGCACTAATGTATGTTATATTAGACCGGGACATTAGCTATGGAGTTCAGACCTACCAGGGACCATGAGCCAGAATCTGACCCCTTCAGAGAAGTTGTAGGGAGCAATGGTCCTGGAAAACCCTCATGTAGTTGGGGTTTTCCTTATCTGCCATCGACCGGGGTTAGGCACCCAGAAAGGTAGGCATAACAAAAAAAAAAAAAATGGTAAGAAACTAACAACAAAAATCAAACAGAGAGGTAGAACTTCCTACAATCTCAAGGAAACAAGTAAACAAGCAAACATAACACACTACTGCTGCACAGCTCCTCTGCACATCTCCAGCCATAGCACGCAGGTAACGGCGAAGAGCCTCAACCAGACGCAACACATGACGTACCCCCGGCCGAACCATCCAAGCATCAATAACCCAAGGTCCCCTCCAGAAAGCAGCCATCTCGGCCTTCACCGGAAAAGACGGAGAAGGCTGCAAACGTACAAACCTACCACCAGAACCGAAAGAGCAGAAACCCCTGTGCCGGAGAAGAGCCGGAAGCTCCCCAACCCGACCACCCCCAGAGGCCAATGCTAACAAATATAGGTCCTTTGAAAAACAATCTTGAACCGAAGGGGCTACCACAAACCGAGGAGAGGAAAGATAAGAGAGCATCCTCACCAAGGACCAGGATGGCTCAGGCGGCGCATGAGCAGGCCAAAGGAGTAACAAAGCACGAGAAAGTGTATGGAACAGGGCAGATGTGACATCCAACCCGAACGTAAGCTGGATCGGCTCCGCCCGCACCGCACGATATGAGGGGATAGGAAGAAGCATCAAATAACTGTCCGGAAAACCAAGACAGGACAAGACAACCTGATGCGAAAGAGAAGACAACCTACGAAGAGCAAGAAACTCCATAGCTAATGTCCCGGTCTAAAATACATCAGCCCGATAAGCTCCAGGGAGTTGTAGAGGCTCCCCACAGAAAACAGCATGAATGTAATAAAACGCCATTATATGGGTGAGACCCGGAGGCTCCCCAGAGCTATTCGGGCCGATATGAATGTATTAGACCCTGGCATCACTTGAAGTGAATAGAGTTCTTAGGCCTACCAGGGACCACGAGCCAGAACCTGACCCCCCTCAGAGAGGCACGAGGAGCAATGGCCTATAGAAACCATTGTGTGGTTGAAAGCATTCTATGTCTGCTATCGACCAGGTCAGGCACCCAGAAAGGCAAGTGCCTCAAAACAAACTCCAATTCTGATTAAAATATTGCTACTGAAAACCGAACTAGTAGACAGAACTCCCCAGGTGAAAATGAGCAAACGAGTATGACGTCTCCACGCCATTGTCTCTGTAACCCCCCCCCCCACCTCGGAGGGAGAAGGGGGGAGCCCCAGATTCAAATGCCGACTATCCACCATGCAGGTCTTAGGCTGGATGTCAAAACCGCGAAAAACACATGTTTTTTTCCGATCCAGAAAAAAAAAACGACCTCTAGAGGCCAATGTCAACAAGAAAAGAGCCTTGGAGAAACAATCCTGAACTGAAGGGGCCTCGACAAACAGAGGGAGAAGAGAGAAAGGAGAGCACCCAATTCAACGACCAGGATGGCTCATGTAGTGCATGAGTAGGCCGAAGGTGAAACAACACCCAAGACTCTGCAGATCGGAGCCGAAGTAACATCAACGCCGTACGGTCGGCTCCGCAAGCGCTGCACAATATGGAGCGACAGTATTTGGCATAAGATGACGGTCTTGAAACAACCACGAGAGAAAGGACAAGATAACCCGAACAGAGACCAAAGTAAACCAGCAAAGGGACAAGAAATAACACAAGGACTGCCAGGAACTCCATACTGCCATCTAAGTGAAGCACGCAGAAGGGACACCAACAACGAAGCCGCCTGCTCATCATACAAGTGGTGATAGACTCGAGTTAGAAAGACCATACGCCAAGACTCAAGGAGAAGATCGAACCAGCCTCATAACGGACCGGCCCGATCTGCTGAGAGGCGGAAACACGAGAAGACTCCTGGGTTCGGACACCGAGCAAGCAGCGCCTGAAACCAAGGCTGGGACATCCACCAAAGAGCCAGGAGGACTACTCTCCCCTGGTAAGTCTCGAAGCGAGCTAGGACCTCAAGGAACAGCTGAACCAGGGTGAAGAGGTACAGGTAACCCCTCCTCGCCCAGTCCTGCAGCAAGGCAATGACCCCAGGGTGCCAAGTATACCGGGACACGCCTCGACCATGCTGACGCGAAGAGGTCCACTTCCGGGAGCCCATATGTCCGGCAGAGCAAACTGAATGAGTTGTTGTCGACCATCAATTATGTGGACGGGAATGAACCGAGACAGGCCGTCCACCAAGATGTCGGACACCCTCAAACATGAACGGCAATGAGAGCCAAACTCCAGAGAACTCAGCAGACAAGTCATCCAAAGCGACCAGCCCCAAAGAGCCAAGGACCGCATCGAACCCTCGCGGGTCAAACAATGAACCACCAGGGAGCAGTCTGAATGGAGCTGGATCATCGATCCGCGAGCGACCCGAACCCTCAAAAGCGACTCCCACACTGCTGCAAATTCCCACACTGCTGCAAATTCCCACACCGCTACAAACCCCCACATTGCTGCAAACTCCAGCCCCGTGCTGTGGGCCCGATGGAAGGACAGACCCCACCGCCCCTAACCGACCTGGTGAGCACTGATCACAAAGCCCCAGCCAAAGGACGGAGCATCCATAAACACATCATGCAAGAGCTCTCAAGGCACTGAACACCGAAAAACCTGAAGAGGAAGCCGGTGACGCAGCAGCCGACGCAAGACACCCGGAGGTCGAACCCAGCAATTGCGGAGAGGCGGAAGGGACATACTCAAAGGAACCAGAACAACTGACAAAGCCAAACCCGATGTGGTAGGTAGTCAATCACGGTAAAGCTCAGGATCCCGCACAAACGCTCGAGCAACCGCCGAGTGACTCGGGAGTCCCCCAACAACAAGCGAAGGCGGGACTGCAGCTGAAACAGAGACTCCGGAGGGAGAGACAAGGAAGTGGTCCGAGAGTCCCACACAAGACCCAGCCAAGACCGAACTTCAGAGAGAAACAGATGGGACTTACCATCTGGTTCAGGTTCACCAGGAACCTGAACCCGGTGAGCTGGGAAAGAACCAAATCCCAGGCGAGCAGACAAGCAGACCGGCTGGGAGCTCAAACCAGTCAAATATCTCGCCTGAGTCTCCACATCAACTAAACCCTGCCTTGACTCCAAAACCCTCAGACTCTTCGTAGCTGAAAGCAGGGGGGATGGGGGGGGGGGGGAGGACCAGAACGAACCACAACAGGGAAAGGACTAGGGGGCGCAAACTGAACCAAAGTCGAAGCGACTAACGCCTCCAAGTCCGGGTCCCTATAACCAAGCGGGGCTGCCTCGGGCTTCCGGAGCAGCAACCAACCTAGCGCGCTGCAGCACCCTAAAACAAGCATGCAACGCCTGAGCTGCCTGCACCCTAACAGTGACATCAAAGGACTGGGTGAACAGAGTCACAAACAAGTAACAAAACTCGCAGGACACTAGGTCGTAAGTGTCACCGACCTAACAGGCAGCATGACGGAGGCAGAAAAGTTGAAGGTCACCCGGAGACAAAGGGACCGAGCATCCCCAAAACTCGCACAAGGTGAGAGGGGACCTAGGGGGTCACATCCATTGGACTCACGTGCCCCCGTGGGGGTTTTCAGAGTTCTTAGACAGAACTCACGCTACGGGAAGCCCAGGCAGGGTACTGCTAACCGGCACACAAAGTTACCAACAAACTGTTAAAGCTACCCCTCCCCCCCCCCTCCCCGGGACGTGTACACTCACGGGGCCTACCGGGGACCACCAAGATACAATCGGGCAAGACCAAAACCAAGGGGCAGAACCTCCCACCAGGCAAGAAAACAAAAACAAAAGAAAAACCCTGCAAGAGGACAGCAGAACAGAGCCGTTGACAACTAGCTGCACAGTACCCTGCGCCACAACCAGTGATGAATGCTACCCCCTACCCAAAGGCAAACAGGGATGAAGGAACTCCCCAGCTGACTTCAAGGGCTGCCAATCACTAAGTAGCAAAAGACCTTGCGGAAGTAGTCTGCAAGGTGACTTGTGGAAGATGGCCCCAAGCCCCAAGGGCAGGACTTACAGGGCACCTTGGAAAGGTGACCCTAGGCACATGCAGCCCGAGTACTTGTGAATAAACTCTTGGCTTGCGCACCACCAAGGACAGCACCACACCACAAGGCACAGGACTGGAAATCTGGAGGGGAGCCAGTCGCACGATCTTGCCAGCCTCACATCAGCCACAGAACTGCAGGATGGATAGCCAGTGCGAGAGTCTGGGGCTTCCCTTTCCCAGGAAGGGGGGGGGGGGTGCAAAGCTAGCGGTGGGGCGACGTGGTGACATCATGCTTGTTTACTTGTTTTCATTTGGGGAGTTCTGTCCACTAGTTCAGCTTTCAGTAGCAATATTTTAACCAGAATAGGGGATTGTTTTGGGGCGCTTACATTTCTGGGTGCCTGACCTGGTCGATGACAGACACAGAATGCTTCCAACCACACAGGGGTTTCTATAGGACATTGCTCCTCATGCCTCTCTGAGGAGGCCAGGTTCTGGCTCGTGGTCCCTGGTAGGCCTAAGAACGCCATTTGCTTTGACTGATGCCAGGGTCTAATACATTCATATCAGCCCGGATAGCTCCGGAAAGCCTAGGGGGTTCCCACCAGAAAAAGATCCATCATTAACTTTTATCAAATTATTAACATACTCTGAATGCGGTTTATGGGCATGTCCATTTGTGTCAAGTCCCAAGAGATGAAGGAAGAATATAATACGATCTTCTTGGAGACGTTCAGTGAGCTTTTTATCCTCTATGGCTTCTTTGAAGAAGTCTTTTACATGCTCAAACACCCATTTATCTAGTTTTGAAGCATCACTGCTGGCAAAATCTTCTTCTTCAGCCTTGTACATAAAGGTTTCAATATGACCTCTTTCAGAACCTGTAATAAAATTATGTAATTATTCCAAAGTTCAATCAAGGTTTTTTTAATCCTGCAACAATATTATTTTGATTTAAAACTTTGTGAGACACCAAATCAAACATAATTTTTTTTTAATAAAATAATATCTCTCTTGTCTCATTTCCCTTCTAATCATCATCATTGCCTTATACAGTTGCTAGGACTAAACTACAGAAGTGATATGTATGTCTGCTTACTTCTAATTATTTTTAAATCCTCCAACAATACCTAACAATCAACCTCAGTCCTAACCTTCTTCAAATAGATCATTAATACAAATCAGGAAGGATAAAGGGCCAAGAAATGAGTCCTCAGGGGCTCTATAGATAAGTCCCTCCATTCTGACATATCCTCTCTGGCAACACTTCCCTGTTTCTTGTCTTTAACCACTCAACTGCGCCAACCGAGTATTCTCAGTCGGTAGGAAAATGCGCCAAGAAAATTCTTTTTTGTTTTTTCATACCCATTCTAAATGTGTGCGTAATTGGTTCTGTACGAAATGGACTCTTAGGACCTCCAGTGAGAGGCAGCCATTTTGGAAAAAATTCCCAGAATGCCTTAGGGCTGCTGGCTGGGTTAGTACTAAGTGAGCAACCATGGGTGGTGCACGCGCCTCTGGCTCCCAAACACCCGTCCGACGCAGTGTCGAAAGATAGCACTCTATTGGTGAAATTCAAACCTTATTGTTTGAAGAACATAAGGGTCATAATATTGGTGAAGTTAGGTGCAATAAGGACCTAACACAAAGGTTGGATGCAAGTGATACAGCACCTATGAGGAGGATACAGTGAGCGTATCCAGTTGTAGCTCTGAGCGCCACCCTTGCCCACCTATGCTATCTCAAATTTATTTTGATGATACATAGATGAATCGTTTTCTGCATTCAGTGATGATGCATCTGATATAAGTAGCGTAGATGAACAGTGTTAGCGGCTTCCATGGTGGTGTTTTCCATAGATATTTTCAAGAATAGCTGAATCTCTTCTTGACTGACGGACACTCTTTGAGGCTAGCTGAATCTCATCCTGTGTGGGACCTTACAAAGCGATCTTTTCAAGACTAACTTTTTACAAGTTTATCTTTTCCTGTAATCTTTTCAAGACTACCTTGCGTTTTACAAGCTTGGCTACATACCACCTACAGGTACTAATGCCAAGGGTGTACGTGAGTGCGTTATTTGCAAGCACACAGAACGAAGAAACAGGAAGCGAAAATCTATCTGTACCTGATGCAACAAGAGCGAAGTCGCACTGTGTACCATGGACTACTTCGTTGACTATTACTCACATCTGAAATGCTGAGTAATTACCTAAGTGCAATTACCTAAGTGCAATTACCTAAGTGTAGTTACAGGATGAGAGCTACGCTCATGGTGTCCCGTCTTCCCAACACTCTGTCATATTAACACTTTCTGCGGATGAGGACGCCTCCCAGAGTCCTGTTTCGCCTACCCGCTCCCGCATGGTGGACATAAATTTATGTCCTCTTTTAAAATATTTGTATAAAATTCAATTTTAATCCGATTTACTTTGGGTTTGTTTCAAACTGCGCGCCATGAGGCTCTCTTTCTCACCACTAGGCTGCATGGTACAATAAGTTCATGAAAGGTGTGGACCACTTCAATCAAATGGTATTACCATTTACCCGGAAAACTCACAAGTGGACCTAAAAGATAACGTTTTATTTCCTGCAAATGGCTTTGCATAATGCCTTTGTTTTGTACAAATACAACACAACTGATCAAAAAAAGCTAACATTGCTACAGTTCCACGAGGTGGCAAATTGGGCCCTATTGTGCTGGGACCCGGAAGATTGGCCTCAAACAGCAACAGTATCTCAACACTTGCGGCACGCTCCAGACATAAATGATGACACAGGTCCTGCCTATGCTGACGCCATGCAAACTCCTGGACCATCTGGTGTGAGCCGGCCCTTGTTCACTTCAACACCTCAAGCTGAAGCAGCAACCGAATCAGAACCCGAGATGTCTGGCACACTGCCATTTGACGAGACGGTTTTGTCAGATGACTCTGACTCAAATGTTGAACCTCCAGCGATTCAGTTGATTCTGAAAATCGCATGAACTACAAACTGAAACGAGTATTTTGATACCAGAATGAACACTGTATAACATAAACTGCCATAAGTAGACTCGAACCTTCATAGATTTTTTTTGGGTGTAGCGTGTCTGCATGAGTGTCCCAAACGGGTTGCAGGTGGGTGACTTTAGCCGTTTATACTGGTAATGTATCATATCATGATACCCCCATATCATGTATTATATGCATATGTCTGTTTAGGGAATTTTATTCCAATCAATGTACAACCAAAAATAACTGTGTGCAACAAGTATAAACTTGACAAACATAACAAAAGTAAAAACATTTCGTGTGTGTTTGACGCTCACTGATATGTTCCAGCGTTGTTTTATATTTGGCGCTATTCTATCTTACGCTTTGTTGATCTTTTTTACCTACGGGCTCATAGAACATTCTATTGCGAACACATTGACACAAAAATGAATGACGTACATAGAATAATAATGTCATGAGAGTGAAATACAGGCATACCTCAGAATGCGAGTTTAATCCGTTCCTGGAGACGCCTCGCCTTCCGAAAACTCGCATTCCGAAGTTAATTTCCCCATAAGAAATAAAGGGAAATGAATTAATCCGTTCCTGACTACCCCAAAAACCCCACATCAAACTAAATTTTTATACCTAATTCATCTAAATAAACCTACAAAAGTATGTTCCAGTTATTACTTACCTTACTGTCGAGTGCTGTAGGCGTATGGAAGATGGTGAGGAGGGGGGAGGAGGAGAGGAGTTAGTGTTTGGAAGGGGAGTCCCCTTCCATAATCACATCAGGCAGTGAGGACCTTTCTGGTGTGCTCTCCCTGGGACGTTTAACCTGAGTGCCACTAGGTCCTGGTTGAGGTTCACTGCTCGATTTCTTCACCAAATATTTGTCCATGAAAGCTTGCTTTTCCCTTCTTCGCAAGCTCTCTCTGTAGTAAGGCATCACACTGTCATTGAAAAGATTAAGACAACGGCCTACTACAGTTTTGTCTGGGTGAGTGTGTTCAATAGTTGTTTGAATCTCTTCCCACATCTGACACACCTTCTTCATTACTGCAGAAGGGACATTCGCTGGTGCTGTTGCCACCACCTCCTCCTCCACTGCAGAATCATTCGCTGCTGTGTTGGCTTGCTGTTCCTGTTGAAGGGCTAGGAGTTCTTCGGTGGTCAGTTCTTCGTTGTGTTCTTCCACCAACTCCTCCACATCATCACCATCCAATTCCAAGCCCATTTTCTGGCCTAGACTAACAATTTCCTCAACAATAGGCGCATCATTTATAGGCTCAAACCCCTCAAAGTCTAGTTCTCTCACACCTTCAGGCCACAATTTTCTCCAGCCAGAGATCAGGGTTCTTTGAGTCACTTCTTGCCAGGCTTTGTCAACGAGTTTTAAAGCACTAAAAATGTTAAAATGCTCTCTCCAGAACTCTTTGAGGGTGAGGTTTGTGGCTTCAGTCACTTCAAAACATTTCCGGAAAAGTGCCCTTTCATACAGTTTCTTAAAATTCGCTATGATTTTCTGGTCCATAGGCTGAATTAGAGGAGTGGTGTTAGGAGGAAGGAATTTAACTGTGAGGAATTTATTGTATTGAGGCATCAAATCATCTTCCAAGCCTGGAGGATGAGCAGGAGCATTGTCAAGGAGAAGCACGGCTCTGAGTGGCAATTGTTTCTCCTGCAGATATTTTTCTATGGCAGGGCACAGCACTTCATTCACCCACTCCGAAAAAATAAGCCTAGTCACCCATGCTTTTTTATTAGACTTCCACATCACAGACAAACGGGTTTTCTGCACATTATACTGTTTGAAAACCCTTGGATTTTCAGAATGATACACTAGCAAGGGTTTAATTTTTAAATCGCCACTCGCATTTGAACACAGCACAAGCGTAAACCTATCTTTCATAGGCTTGTGTCCAGGCAAGGATTTTTCCTCCTTGGTAATGTATGTCCTCTTAGGCATTCTTTTCCAAAACAGTCCTGTTTCGTCACAATTAAACACTTGTTGCGGTAGGTATCCCTCAGCCTCTGCAAACTCTTTAAATTCGTCAATAAATCGTCCAGCGGCTGGTTTGTCTGAGCTGGCTGCCTCCCCATGCCTTGTAACACTATGGATACCACTTCTCTTTCTAAATTTTTCAAACCAGCCCCTGCTTGCCTTAAACTCTTTCTTTTCTGCATCACTCGTTGCAGGGGTCTTCTTTAGAAGGTCTTCGTGCAACACCCTGGCTTTCTCAGAAATAATGGCCTCCGAAACACTATCACCCCTCAACTCCTTGTCGTGTATCCAAATTAATAACAACTTTTCCACTTCTTCAAGTATTTGTGGTCTTTGTGTCGTTAATGTTCTTACTCCTTTTGCCACATTAGCACTCATAATCTTATTTTTCTTCTTAAGTATAGTGCATATTGTTGATGTCGCTTTGTTGTACTGCCTACAAAGATCAACAACACGTGTACCGTTCTCATGCTTTCGAATGATCTCTTGTTTCTCCTCTATTGTCATCCTCACATGAGCTTTCTGGCCTTTATCCTTACCACTGGCTTTCTTGGGACTCATGGTGAGATATATAATAACAAATTGTATAGACAAATCACCAAAAATCCAACAAAACACTGAAAATTCACGACAAGAATTGATGTGGGGGTAGTCACTGCACGCGAGACAATGGTGAACTGAGGGGCAGAGGGGCGACGATCGCCGAACGACCACGCGCTAGGTCGGCTGTACGCGTATCAACAAACTCGCGTTCAAACTCGACTCCCGAAGTAACCATCGCCTTCCGAGACAAATTTTTGGAGTAAATACACCTCGCCTTCCGAAAATCTCGCATACAGGGACAATCGCATTCCGAGGTACCACTGTAAGTATAAACTTTCAAAGCGCCGTATCGCACATGTGTCGTCCCGTCACCGATACCGGGTAACAATTTCACCACTTCCCACACTCTTGCGGGTGGGCCGCAATCATTATTCTACACTTATATTCATATCACCGTGTTGGAAATTTCATTGCGAGTCCATTGATACCATCATTGTTTGTGAATAACAGGTCTAGTGTGTTTTCGTTCGTGGTTGGTTCTGTAATCTGTTTATCGAGCGAGAATTTGTCACAGAATCTCAAAAGTTTTCTGACCTGTGGTTGGTTATTTCCTGGGTCGTTCCCTGCTATGATATTTGTGTTTACCATTCTCCATCTTAGACTCGGTAAATTGAAATCTCCAAGGAAGATAATATCTGGAGCTGAGTTTGCTAGGTTATCAAATATGTTCTCTATTTTGTGCATCTGCTTTGTGAATTCCTCAACCGTTGTATCTGGCGGTTTATATATTAGAATAATAATTAGGTTTAGTTTCTCTACCTTAATTCCAAGTACCTCTACCACCTCATTAGTTGAGTTTAGTAGTTCTGTGCATACCAGGTCCTCTTTAATATACAGACCTACTCCTGTTCACCTAGCAGTAAATAGGTACCTGGGAGTTAAGACAGCTGCTACAGGCTGCTTCCTGAGGGTGTGAAACAAAATGGAGGCCTGCATGATTTGTCATGTTGGTAGGGGTGATCACCAAAATCACCAAATCACCAAAATGGCTTCTCCCCCATACTCTTTTGCTGTTATTACACTGTATATACACGTTATATATAAGTACCTGTATCTACATTCATGTTCACCATAACGAACCACTAAGTTGGTACGCTGAGTGGCAGTGGCAGTGGCAGCCCACCACTGGCTGCCACTCCCTTCCTCCCTCATCTCACCTGACTCGCCACCATTCTCCTCCCACCATACTGTTTTTGCTTTTATATACAGACGTTATATACAAGTATCTGCATGTTTTGTTTACCATAGCGAACACCTAAGCTGGTATAGTGAGTCCAGACAGTAAAAGATGGTCACACAGAGTCAGTAGACAACGCTACCTCCCTCCCCACCAAGATTACTCCTCCCACTACAGCGCTAACTATTGCAGCAATCCTGCTATTATCAGAATCCTGGTCATTTTTATCACAGTCAGGGGTCTTCTGTAATAATATCATCGCTAAATAATAGCATGAACATGTATATTATGACATTTTTTAGGTGATGCTGTGGTCACAAGCTGAACAGCAGTGCTGTGAGCTCATGCTTCGTGCGTCAGGTTTGGTGGCTCACTCAATACTGAGGCCCTCACACCTAGGAATTTGGCCAAAGATATTTACAAAAAAAAAAAAAAAAAAAATGGCGTCTGTTTACAAGAGCCCTGATGAAGGTGAGGTGAACCCCGTGTATCCTCGGGCCGTTTAAATCTTGCATAGTACTGTACTCCAATACATCATATGATGGGATGCACAATATATAGCAAGTCACTCAACCCATCATATGATGTGTTGCGCAACTTAAGGGTTAAGGAAAAACAATACCGTATGTGTAAATTAATAAGTATATGTATATCCTACTGCCTAAGGTAGAAAAAATATTAAGATTAAAATGTAAAAGCATCATATAACTTGCCAACAAAATTCTCTTAATTTTGTTGGTCAGGATGAAACAGGGTTAGGATGTAAATACACCATAAACTCAAACACAGTTAATCGTTAAAAGGAAAAACTAAACTAAAAACAACAATTTGCTGAAATCCTCTTCTAAGTAACTCACCAGAAGCAAACATGGGAAGAATATCTGGGCTGCCCCAACACCAAGTATGGCGACTTTCATTGAAAACCGAGTCAAACTCAACTGGGTTTTCTTTCCATCCTTTAGCAATGGCACTTGGATCTTCATAAAAGCCAGCAATAATTGCAACATGGCCAGGCCTGGATTCTGTGGGTACTCGTGTGTGTGAAACTCCCCATGTTCCTTTCTTTTCTATGATAGATCTGGTAAAGTAAGAGATTGCATTAGTGTATACTTCCTCAGATAATGAACATGATTATGCCTTGAAAAATGTAATTGCTTACCTGGAGTATATAGAACTTGGAGTATACCTGAAGAGGGTTTTAGAGTCCTTCTATTCCCCAGGCCCAGCCTGGGCCAAGGCTCAACTTGTGATAACTTAAATCCAACAGGGTGTTGCTTGGAGCACCCTGTAGGCCCACTATCCACTACAACCTGGTTGGTCCAACATTTCTTGCAAAATATTATCTAATTACTTCTTCAAGAAGTCCATCTTTGATGCTTGCTGGGAGAGTATTGAGCAGCTGTGGACCTTTAATTACCTTAATTACAGGATGAGAGCTACACTAGTGGTGTCCCCATCTTCCCAGTACTTTTTCTCATATAACCCTTTAAAACTACTTACGGTTTTGGCCACCACCACCTTCTTACTTAACTTGTTCCAACTGTGTACCACTCTGTTTGCAAAAGTGAATTTTCTTATATTTCTTTGGCAGCTTGTTCTTGAGGTTCCAGGTCTCAGGAATTCTTCCCTATCAATTTTGTTAATTCTCGTTACTATTTTGTACATTGTGATCATATCGCCTCCTTTTTCTTCTATTCCAGCACCTTTTCCAGTTTGTTGATATGCTTCTTATGATATGGGGGTACCATACAACCACTGCACTTATTTCACCATCCATGTACAGTATTTAAAACCAATTCTGAAATTGGAAAAAATAGCATAGGCTCCTTGCACAATTGTTTTTTGTGATCCTCAGGTGACAGTTTTCTATCTAGAACCACCCCTATACCTCTTTATCAGAATTTTTAAAGTTTTTTTACATTATATTTAGGTTGTGTGTGGTTATCTTCTCCTATTCCACATTCCAAAACATGACATTTATTCACATTAAATTCCATTTGCCAAGTGGCACTCCATATACAGGTACTCCATTTGTCCAGGTCTTCTTGAAGGGTATGACAATCGTCAAAATTTCTTATCTTCCCTAGTATCTTAGCATCAGCAAACATGTTCATATAATTCCTGTATTCCTTCTGGTAGGTCGTTCATATAGATAATGAACATCACTGGTGCAAGAACTGAACTCTGTGGTATGCGACTTGTGATATTTCTCCTATCTGATACATTCCTTCGATTACTGCCCTCGTTTGTCTAACATGAATTTTTCATTCATGTTAGAAGCCTTCCTGTCACTCCTCCACTATGTTCCAGTTTCAAGAACAACCTCTTATGTGGAATTCTGTCAAAAACCTTTTTAAGGTCCACATAGATGCAGTCAACCCAACCATCTCTTTGCTGTAAAATTTCTGTGGCTCGATCATAGAAACTAAGTACAGTAAATTCATTACACAGGATCTTCCAGATCGAAAACCATACTGTGTCTGTTTTTATATTTTTTTCCTCCAGGTGAAACCTGGACCTAAACTTACCTAAAACCTAAACCCATTTAGGTTTAATTATTTTGTTCAATATTTTGACTGTTACACTTGTCAATGATACAGGTCTATTGAGGGGGTCTTCTCTGATGCCACTTTTGAAGACTGGAATTATGGTAGCCTCTTTCCACACATCTGCTAGGACTCCTGTACACAGGGATGCAAAAAAAAAAAAAAAAAAAAAACAGCGTTGAATGTAATGAAACGCCATTTTCTGGGTGAGCCCCGGAAGCTCCCGGAGCTATATCGGGCTGATGTGTATATATTAGACCATGGCAACAGTCAATCGATGGAGTTCTAGGCCTACTGGGGCCCAGTGCCAGAACCTGGGCCCCCCTCAGAGAGGCACAAGGAGCAATGGCCCATAGACTCCCTCGTGTAATTGGAAGCAGTCTATGTCTGCCATCTACCAGGCACCCAGAAAGATAGGCGTCCCAAAACAAACCCCTATTCTGGTGAAAATTGCAACTAAAAACCGAACGAGTGGATAAAACTCCCCAAACAAAAACGAGCAAACTAGTATGACGTCACCCATCATTGCACCGCTGTCTGCACAGCTCCCCCCTCCCCGGGAGGGGGAAGGGGTAGCCCCAGATCTACCACGCTGGCGATCCACACCCCAGTTCTGAGGCTGGATGTCAAAACACGCGAAAAACCGCCGACCGGAGGGAGGGAGGGAATCCGGGGAGCCTCCGGGACTCACCAAGAAAATGGCGTTTCATTACATTCAACGCTGGTTTTCTGGGGGAAGCCCCTACGGCTCCCCGGAGCTAACTACCCACAGAGGAAAAGAATAGGGACTGACCCGGGAGGCGGTCGCCGCACACTACTCAACCCAAAGTCGAGTCAACAGGCCGCATCTGCCGACTCAAAGCGACACAGGCCCGACTGGGCCTGTACAAGATAACAAACAGCCAAGGACCTCGTTCGACCGCCAAAATCCCCGTGCCCGAACGTCCTCCCAGGACACAGTACCAAAGACGGTGGCAAGAACCGCGAACTTGTGGACGTCATGGGCATGGAGATAGACCGCAGGCTGGAGAGCCTTAATCAGACAAAACAAAATACATCCCCGGCCCAACCAACCAATCTCTATTTCTTGCTTTTGACTTTAAGGCTTTTATGTTTGCAAATATAAAACAATTTCTATATTGCATGTTACTTCTAGTGTGTTTTGAGAGTTCTCCTCCTAGTGTATCATGATCCATGGTGTGTTATTTTGACAATGGGTTCATCCAATTTTGGTAGTACTATACCATTGTTGTTGAGTCTACAACTGAGATAAAAGCCTGTTATTCTATGAGTTTTGCCTAATAGCATGGTTATACAGTACTAGCAAAATTTCTTTACAAAGAGGTTATGTCCTGAAATCAGGAGACTAGCCCTAGAATGTCCTGAGATTTGCTTTCATGACAAATCTCTCGAAGTAGCATTTTTTTTATAATGCAGTTTTGTAACTCCTTTTGTATTGCATATACTGTACAACATCCATTCTCATCATTTTACTGTACATTACCTCTTTGGATTCTTACTATATATTTTACATTAAAATTGATTCTCTTTAAAATAAATACATGAAACCAATCATTTGGACGGTTGGGGACTGAACGCTGACCTGCAAGAAGCAAGACCGTCGTTGTACTGTCCAGCCCAAATGGTTGGGTTGAAGTGGAAGAATATTCAATGGCAGGGTTTTGGAGAGTAACAGTCAGTAACTAATATATTCCTGGTAGAGAATGGCAAATTGTATAATGTGTGTGTTATCAATGACAATGAAAAAAACACTCATGGAGAAGTTTTAGAACAACATCAAGGAAATAGCTCCTTGATATGCATAATGATAAATTCCTTAGATTTTAGAATAAGAAATATATACAGTATAGAATTTATATAATTATTTAATTTAAATATTAACATCAACTATACCATATACATAATACACACCTGAGAAATGGAGCTCTGGTGGTGTGGTTTACATTGTCATACAATGCATCAGCCCTGAGGCCATCAGCAACAATAAGAACAAGCCTCTGTGCTGCTGGCTGCTGTTGGTGTAAATGTGGAGTCATGCCATGGCTCAAAGGTGTTCGAAAGTAGATGTCAAACACTGATGCAAAGAATATGAGGTGGACCAGGAAGCCAACCCCGAACATCCACATCCTGCAGATGCCACGCCCCAGTACTGCTCCTCAAGACAATTTGTCTTTATTAGTACTGGACAAAGCTTGGCTACGTCTCTACATCACCATATTAACATATTACTTCTATCCATGCAGATACAGTATATTTATTCTGTTATGCTACATTGATTTTTCTGTGACAACAGAATTAGCCGTGTGCCCTTGTCAACCATTTTCTGCTGCGGACACCTAATAGGAGACAATATCTCGAAAATTATAAATGTCATCATAAAACTAAACCAATGCTGTGCTGCACACTTGGCCAACCATGAGAGTAAAGGCACCGGCCACCCATAAAATACACAGAGCAGATCAAAAGCTAGCGGCCCTACACGTCGGGACTCCCACTGGACGCCCCCAAAAAACAATCTATTAAATCCCCCCCGAGACCCCAGACGTCGTAACAATCCGTCTTGATGAGTAATATTGCCGAGCGGCAGCCGTATCCCGGTGGGTGGTACATGTAACAAGTTTCCGTGATGGGCTGCCAGGCAGAGGAGAAGCCTCAATGACAGACGCACCAGCAGACTCGGCGCCTCAGCTGATCCTGAACCAAAACATTGAGGTTATGATAACCGAGGCTCGCTGCACGCACAACATACGTTTCTTCGCAGTTCCAATTTTTAATAGCAACATTTTCATGTTATATTTGCGTAATATATTTTACAGATTCAGTCGAAATCTTTCTTATTATTGTACTGACAATTATATAAATTTACAGAATGTGTGGTGAAAATACCGTCCATGGTGATGACTATATGAAGGAGCATTAATGTACAGATACTTTACGGGCTATTCATGCCCGTGCCATCTCTTGGGTGGCTTAATCTTTATCAATCAATTAATCTACAGATACTCATCATCGCCCGTGCTATATGGAAATTTTGTGCTTGTATCTAAATCTAAAACAACAACAACAACGTATAGTTACTAGGCCTTCATACGCAATATCTAGACTACCGTATTTCAAATTAAGATAACATCACTGATAAAAAAAAAGGCATTTTCGTTGATATATTTATACAGTTTGTTGAAATATTTATGCAGTTAGTCACACAATATTATACATGTTTGGGACTCACTAATATATTTATAACGCAATTGGGTGGCATAGTAATAGGATAAATAATAATATTCCGTGTGACCCATGATGGATACAAGCGATGAGGATATTCCATACACAACACGAGCCTAGCAGTAGAGCTGCTAGATTAAGCTACAAATAGCCCAATGGGGCTCCTTGTAGCCCAATTGGGCTTCTTATAGCCCAATTGAGCTTCTTGGAGCCTAGTTAAAAATCCAACTATATATGTTTGCTATTTGCATTTTTTGGGGTAGCTACTGTTCAAATAAGCTGGGTTATGTACTCTGAAAAGGGCATCAATCGCTAAAAATCTATATTTGGCTACTTTTATTATATATTGGTGAGTGGTTGTATGGGAGCGTGGTGAGGGAGCGGTGCCGGGCTGGGTGGCTGGTGCGGTAGTGTACACACGGCCGTCACGGGGGCAGAGATGGAGCACCCACGCCTCGCTACTGACGTGGTCAGTCCCCCTTATTATACTCCTCTCACACCTTACTCACGCTCGTGAAGCACACTTCTCACCTACGGTATATGTCATGGCGATGACTTGTGCCTCATATTCCCTTATATTAGTTCACAGTCTAGGTGTTTTGATGAGGACAGCTGGTGGTGGAGGTGTTTGGTTTATATCTGCTGACCTGCCCACTACAGCTCCTGTGCCCATCACCACAGCTCCTGTACCCTGCCTGGCCCATCACCACAGCTCCTGTACCCACCCTGGGCCATCACCACAGCTCCTGTACCCACCCTGGGCCATCACCACAGCTCCTGTACCCACCCTGGGCCATCACCACAGCTCCTGTACCCACCCTGGGCCATCACCACAGCTCCTGTACCCACCCTGGGCCATCACCACAGCTCCTGTACCCACCCTGGGCCATCACCACAGCTCCTGTACCCTCCCTGGGCCATCACCACAGCTCCTGTACCCACCCTGGGCCATCACCACAGCTCCTGTACCCACCCTGGGCCATCACCACAGCTCCTGTACCCACCCTGGGCCATCACCACAGCTCCTGTACCCACCCTGGGCCATCACCACAGCTCCTGTACCCACCCTGGGCCATCACCACAGCTCCTGTACCCACCCTGGGCCATCACCACAGCTCCTGTACCCACCCTGGGCCATCACCACAGCTCCTGTACCCACCCTGGGCCATCACCACAGCTCCTGTACCCACCCTGGGCCATCACCACAGCTCCTGTACCCACCCTGGGCCATCACCACAGCTCCTGTACCCACCCTGGGCCATCACCACAGCTCCTGTACCCACCCTGGGCCATCACCACAGCTCCTGTACCCACCCTGGGCCATCACCACAGCTCCTGTACCCACCCTGGGCCATCACCACAGCTCCTGTACCCACCCTGGGCCATCACCACAGCTCCTGTACCCACCCTGGGCCATCACCACAGCTCCTGTACCCACCCTGGGCCATCACCACAGCTCCTGTACCCACCCTGGGCCATCACCACAGCTCCAGTACCCTCCCTGGGCCGAGGGTGCATCATGTGTTGTTCGGTTGCGGCTCTCCGCCATTATTTGCACGCTATGGCTTTGCTGACTGGGGATGCGCTTTGGGTTGACCCGGTTTCCCTCCCACTTCTGTTCCCGGGCTTGCTTCTCCCAGGTCGTCCGCAGGGTTATTAAGTCTAGACAGCCTGCTGTCTATCCTTGTGGCCACGACATTCGTAAGTTTGCTGCTTTGGCTGCCATCTTTAGCAACATGTCTTGGATTGACATTCGGGCCTGGGGTATTTGGAGGTCGAACAGGGTCCTGGTCACTCGCTACCATGTCGATGTCCCTGGACATGGTAAGGCCTGCATTGCATTGGGTTGGCGGTTGCAGCCAGTTGTCTCGCCTTCGCTTTGAGGAGTGAGGACTGGCTGCCTCCCGGGTAAGTCCTTGTTTTTCCTTGTCTTTGAGTTGTTAGCTCTGGAGAGCCGACAAGCTCCCCATAGAAAACCAGCATTGAATGCAATGAAATGCCTTTTTCTGGGCGAAACCAAGAAGCTCCTCGGTATCCCTTCTTTCCTTCCGGTCGGCAGTGTTTTCGGGTGTTTTTGATATCCAGCCCAAGAACTGGCGGTTGAATCGCCGGCACAAGGATCTGGGGCTCCCCCTTTCCCCCTCTCCAGGGAAGGAGGGGGTTGCGCAGACAGCGGCGCGGCAATGTGATATCATGCTCATTTGCTAATTTCGTTTGGGGAGTTCTGTCCACTTGTTCAGCCTTCGGTAGCAATATTTTTACCAGAATAGTGGTTTGTTTTTGGGCGCCTATCTTTCTGGGTGCCAGACCCGGTTGATGGCAGACATAGAATGCTCCCAACTACTCGTGCATGGTGGTTTCTACAGGCCATTGCTCCTCGTTCCTCCCTGAGTGGGGCCAGGTTCTGGCTCGTGATCCATGGTAGGCAAGAACTCCATGCACTTTGACTGATGCCAATAAACTAATACAGTTACATATCCTGGATAGCTCTGGGGAGCCTCCAGGTTTCGCCCAGTAAAAGGCGCTTCATTACACTAAATGCTGGTTTTTTGTGCATAGGCAGGATGACCATTTCTCTATAGTCACTGTCTAAAGATTAATTATGTACAGTAATAGAACAAATATATATTATTTTTAAATACTATAATGCATTCATTTCTTTTTTCCAGTTTATGTCGGAGCTAACTCTGATGTTTCACAATGCGCGCACAAAGGGAGAAGTGACGGTAACAATAAAGAGATGTGAGTTAAAAGTGTGTGCATATGAAACTTCTTAAAATATTTCTTTTGAAGTGTTTAATTAATTAATTGGCTAGTTAATAACTCAATTTTTAGTTTATTAGGTATTCCAGGTAGGTATACTCTAGCTTTGTCTCGCTACAGGGCATTATTTTTGTTATTGATACCAGGATGACTTTGCATATTGGCTTGAAACATCAACATTTGTGTAATAGTAAAAAGTTTTTTTTTTTTTTTTTTTAATGGAAAAAGTTGGTAATATATATGCTTTCACTAAGATTTGCAGTGTGTGTGTGTGTGTGAGTAGGAGTTCGGCAAATTCATATGGAGTGTTAAGGAGGAGCTGAAAATTATAAAAGAAAAATATTTAAGTCAATAAAAAAAAGGGAGAAAAGTGGAAATTATTTATTTTTGAATTAAGAAAATGATGTGCAAAGCAGGGGATCGAACGTCTATTAAGCAATTTGTCCAAACAACTTCTTTGGGGATAATGTGGAATGAGACCAGAAGGCATGGCAGGATGTGCAAAATAACCCACTAAAAATCAGAGGTCCAATAGACATGCTGAGAGAGAACTTAATCAACATCAAAGACCCAAGACTTTTCAACACTTCACCTACACATTCAGGGTATAACTGGCTGACCTCTCGCAGTGTTAAAAAAAGAACTTGACAAGCCCCTTCAAAGGATACCTGATCAGCCAGGCTGTGAGCAGCCGCAATGAACAGCCTGGTTGATCAAACCAACAAAAGGGAGACCTGGTCACAGATCAGCCCATGGGGACACTGATCCCCAAAATCAACAGGTAGGTAAACAGAAAGGGTACAGTTGGTTTCTTTGAGTAGCAGCCAGCAGAGTGCTGGTGGGACATGACAACAATTGTCACTAAACAATCCCATCACCAGATACAGTTGAGAGAATGGTTTAATATAATGACCAGCATTGTATCTCAACTCAACAAAGGAATTGGCAGGTGTACAAATCTATGTAATGTAGATAATTTTTGTTTCTGGGAACTAGCAAGAGGAGTTGTACAGTAATAATATTTTGGCAGGTGTTATATTAAGATTTTTATCATAAAATCTTACTGTTTATGTTGCTGAGTAAAACTTTACTACTAAAGTTAACCCCCTCCCCGCTCAGCTCGTTGTCGCCGTGTGGGGGCTTGGTGGGCGGCTGCCGGAGTGTGATGCTCCTTGGGACAGTCCTGTCCTTTTCTAGCCTTGTGCTCCTGCTGCCGTCCTCTCCAATTCTGCTGGGCATCTTTTCCTTTTCCTTCTGTTTCGTTTTTCTCCCCCCTCTTCTCCTATCTGCTTGCCGTTTCCTGCCGACCTTTTGCTCGTTCTGGTTCTTCCCTTGGACTTCTTCTATTTTGACGCCCGGGTGCTTGAGGAGGCATACTCTTGCACCCGTAGAACTGCAGTACCCGACGTCGAGAGCGAGGGGAACCTTTTATTGTCAATCCCCACTTCGTCACTGAACCCGATCTCGACGGACTGTCGGTTTCTTAAGGTGGCGTTTGTGGGGCGTATACTCACGACGCACCCCTAGGAGGCCCCGACAAGATCGGCGATAGCTTCTTGTTGGGTGTCCTGCCTCTAATTGTGGCTCCATGGTGGGTGTGGGGGCACATTCGTGAGTGAATTCTTCTTTCGTCAAGATGATTACCCCTGCTTCGGCTTCTTCTGGTTTACCTTCTCAGGCTCGTGGGGTGGGCGACCAAGCCCCCGAGTCGGTCCGTATTGGAAGACCGGGCTCTGTAGCCTCCGCTGCATTGGGCCCCGACCTTGCTCCTCCTTTGGCCTCTCTGACTCCTTCCCCTGGCTCCCCTCCCTCCTCTGTGGTTGGGTCGAGCCCCAAGCCCCCAGTGGTGACTACCTCGTCCCCTGGCGCGGCTCCTTCTCTCGTTGTTACTACTGCGCCTTTTAACCCCTCTCTCTCTGGGGGTTCTCACCGCCGTTCTCGTCACGGCCGCCCTCGCTCGATTCCTTCCAGTTCTGCTACCTATCAAGCCTTGTTTGGTCCCGCTTCGTGGGCCAAATATTTTGATCTCCTCCCTCTTGATTCTGCGCCTCCTGACGATTTCTCCCTTCATCGACATCTCATTGATTCCGTGGATGCCTCCATTACTTTTAACCCCACTCGTCTCGGTACGCGTGTCGTTGCTGCTCCTTCTCAGGATGCTGCTTCCCGCTTGGCTGCCTTATCCTGCCTTGGCGAGACCCCCGTTCGGGTCTCGAAGAACGTCCAGTTGAATGCCAGTGTTGGCACTATTTTGCTCCCGCCCCATGTTGCGACCGGTGTTCGGGACCTACGCGACTGCCACGACGATATTCGACATATCCTCGCTGCCCAGGGCCATTCTATTCTCCAGGTGGACACGTTTACTCGTCCCCCTCGTGGTAGTCGCCGTCAACCCCTCCGGGTTGTGAAGATTACCTTTGATGGTAGGACCCTTCCACCCTCTGTCATTCTTGCTGGTGCCAGGTGCTCTGTCCAGGAGTACATTCCTTCTCCTCGGCTCTGCAACAAGTGCTGGAGGTTTGGGCATGGTGCCCTCCGCTGCTCCGGGACTGTCTCTCTCTGTCCTTTGTGTGGTGGCGAAGGTCACTCTAAGTCGGAGTGCGCTTCTCCCCAGGCTCGTTGCCTCAACTGCGGTGAGGCCCATCCTACCTTCTCCCGTGCGTGTGTCCATTACAAGCTTGAGGCAGCCGTCCTCAACTTGAAGCACCGGGAGCGTTTATCTTTTCCTGAGGCGAGGCGCCAGGTTCGCCGGCTCCCGCCTTATGCTCATATCTCTTATGCTCGCGTGTTGCGCTCTTCCTCTCCTCGTCCTTCCCGCCTTCCTCAGACTCACAACCGTTTCCAGGCCTTGGACCCTGATGCGCCCACTGCCCCCTCCTCTGTCCCTTTGGGTTCTCTCCCGAAGGATCCTCCTCCTGGTCCTCTGTCTGGGGTTCCCCTTCCTTCTACCCGGTCTGTCGTGTCTTCTGTGTCTCCTTCCTCGTCCCCCTCCGATCCTCCTTCCCATCCTCTTCCTCCATCTATCGGCTCTCCCCGCCGCCTGTCGGTGCGGGCGGATGTCCATCGCTCTCCTAACGGCCGTCGTGTGTGCTCTCGTTCGGCTTCTCCTGTTGAGACACTGGAATCCGTTGCCCGGTACGTAGTTGCTGGGACACCGGTCTCTTTAAGTCAGAAGCGTAAGCCTGGCTCCTCTCCTTCCTCTTCCCCGGCGGGTAAGAAGGCTTCGCTTTCTTCCTCAGCTCCTCCTTCTGGCTCTGTTGCTCCTTCCACTCCCGTTTCAGTGCTTGCGCCCCCTGTTCCTGCTATGGAGGTTTCTTTGGCCCCTGCTTCCCTTTCGGTTGCTGCTCTTGCTGGGGTGCTCTCCTCTCTTTCTACTCCCCCTCTTCCTGCTGCTGTCCTTGACTGCTCCTCTCCGTTGTCTCCTCCTCCTCCTCCTCCTCCTCCGGACCCTGCCCGCCCACCTCTGATCTGTTCTCCCGTTTCCTTCCCTCCGTCTTTGCTCAGTTTACCCATGCCCCCTAACCCTGACTTTGCTGACCCTGATCCCGACCCTGATATTCTTTAACGTGCTCTGTTGGTCTTTCGCCTTTGTTTCTTCCTTGTTCTCTGTTTTTGTCCTTTCTCTTCTCGTCGTTGTCCATTCTTCAATGGAACGTTCGAGGTTATTACGCCAATTTCCTCGAACTCCAACTTCTGGTTTCGCGGTTTTCGCCCCTTTGTGTCTGTCTCCAGGAGCCGATGCTTGGTGCTCGTCCTGGTCGTTTTCGTGGCTATTCCTTTCTCTCCCCCCCCCCAGCCATTGCTGGGGCTTCTAATTCTTCTGCTCTCTTGATTCGGGCTGATGTTCCCTTTGTTCCTTTACTTTTTCCTTCACCTCTCCATTGTTCTGCTGCTCGTATCTTTGTGGGGAAATGGTACACAGTTTGTTCCGTTTATCTCCCCCCGAGTGTCCCGCTCTCTCTTCCTGATTTGAAACACCTCCTAGACTCCTTGCCGGAGCCTGTGCTCCTGCTGGGTGACTTCAATTGTCGTCATTCTCTTTGGGGTGACGTTCTGACGAATACCCGGGGTCGCCTCCTTGAGCCGTTTCTCCTCTCTTCTTCCCTGTCTCTTCTGAATTCTGGTGAGCCCACTCATTTGGACTCTCGAACTCGCACCCTTTCTTGTCTTGATCTTTCTCTCTGCTCTTCTTCTCTTTACTTAGATTTCACATGGCAGGTTCTTGATGACCTCCATGGAAGTGATCATTTCCCCATCCTTGTTTCCTTTTTCTCTTTTCGCCCTTCCCTCTCTTTCCCTAGATGGCAGTTTGCTAAGGCGGACTGGACCCTGTTTTCCCTCAGTGCTACTCTCTCTGACCTCTCCCTTCTGCCCCTCTCTCGCGCTCTCCTCCTTTTTCATGACACTGTCTTCGACGCTGCCCTCCGCTCTATTCCTCGCTCTTCCTCTCGGGGTCCACGGAAGTGCGTTCCCTGGTGGAATGCGGACTGTGCTCGGGCTGTCCGCTGTAAGCGTGCAGCCTGGAAGAAGCACCGCCGTAGGCAGACGACCGATTCTTTTCTTTTCTTTCGGAAAGCAAGTGCGGTGGCCCGTAGGGCCATCCGTACGGCTAAACGTGAATGTTGGGCTTCTTATGTCTCGACAATTACGTCCGAAACCCCTCTGGCCCAGATCTGGAAGCGTATCCGCAAGATAGCGGGTAAGTTCGTTCCCGATGTTTCACCGGTCCTTCACCTCCATGATACTCTTGTGGCGGACCCGTTGCAGGTCGCTTCCGAACTGGGTTCCCACTTTTCTTCTGTTAGCTCTGGTCTTCATCTTCCCCAATCTTTCCTTCTTCGTAAACCTGTCCTTGAGTCTCGTCCTTTAGATTTCTGCACTCATCTTCAGCTTCCCTATAATGATCCCTTCTCTCTCTCTGAACTTCGTTCTGCCCTGGCCCTCTGCGGTTCTACGGCGGCGGGCTCCGATGGTATTCATTATGAGATGCTTCGCCATCTCCCTCCGAGCACGTCTCAGTATTTACTGAGTCTGTATAATCGGATCTGGGAGTCGTCGTCAGTCCCTGAGGACTGGCTCGATGCCGTTGTCCTCCCTGTTCGCAAACCAGGGTCTCTGGGTACTTCCCCTAAGGACTTTCGCCCTATTGCTCTCACAAGTTGTGTCTGCAAACTCTTTGAACGTATGGTTAACGTTCGTCTGATGTGGTTCCTGGAACACCATCACCTCCTCTCCCCTTCTCAATTTGGTTTCCGCAAGTGCCGCAGCACGACAGATGTCCTGGTGAACTTGGAGGTCTATATACGTACTGCTTTTGCTGCGAAGACCTCCGTTGTTGCCGTCCTTTTTGACCTAGAAAAGGCTTACGACACCACTTGGCGTTATCATATCCTATCTCAACTTCATTCTTTTGGCCTTCGTGGTCATCTCCCTCTCTTTCTCCGCAGCTTCCTCTCTCGTCGTTCCTTTCGGGTGCGCCTTGGTACCGCTCTCTCTCCCCCTTTTCAGCAATACGAAGGTGTGCCCCAGGGTAGTGTTCTGAGCACTACTCTTTTTCTGGTTGCCCTCAATGGTCTTCTTTCCTCTCTTCCTTCTGGTGTCTTCTCCGCTCTCTATGTCGATGATCTTACCCTTTGTTGTCAGGGTGATGATTCGCCTCTCCTTCAACGCCGGCTTCAACTTGCGATTGATGCCGTGTCGTCTTGGGCCACAGGTCATGGCTTCAAGTTCTCTACTTCTAAGACTTGTGCCATGACTTTTACGCGGAAACGGGTTGTTCTTCGTCCCTCTTTGTCACTTTATGGTCATCCCCTTGAATACAAAGATTCCGCGAAGCTTTTGGGGTTATTCCTTGACACTCGTTTGTCTTGGTCTCCCCATATCTCTTACCTCCGTGTTGAGTGCTCTAAGTCCCTTACCCTCCTTCGGGTCTTGTCCCATACTTCTTGGGGGGCAGATAGGCGCACTCTCCTTGCTTTACATTCCTCTCTCGTCCTGTCTAGGCTCGATTATGGTTGCCCTGCTTACTCGTCTGCTTCTCCTTCTACTCTTCGCCGTCTTGATGCTTTGCACCATACTGGGTTGCGCCTCAGTTCTGGTGCCTTTCGTTCGACTCCCGTCCTTAGCTTGTATGTTGACACTGGCTTCCTGTCTCTCCAGGACCGCCGTGATCGCTACTGTCTTCGGTATCTTGCGCGGTCCTTGCAACATCCTTCCTCTCGTCTCTGTCGTGCTTTAACTTTTACCCCTCCTGCGGTTCCTGTTCCTCTTCACCACCTCCCTCTTTCTGTCCGGTTATCTCGCCTGCAGGATTCTCTTTCCGTTCGTATTTCTGATGTTTCTCCTCGTGTTGTTCCTTCTTTGCCCCCGTGGAGGGTCCCTCTTCCGCGGTTTTGTACATCCTTGACTCGCATCACTAAAGCTTTTACCCCTCCTACAGTTCTCAAACGCCTTTTCCTCGAGCACTTTTCTTCTCACTCCCGCTCCGTTTCTGTCTTCACCGATGGGTCTAAGTCAGCGGACGGTGTTGGCTACTCTGTTGTTTTTCCTGATCGCACTTATATGTGTCGCTTGCCTCCGGAGACTAGCATCTTTACAGCGGAACTTTATGCTATTCTCTATGCTCTTCGTCTCCTGCTTTCTCGTTGTCAGTCTTCCTTTGTGGTTGTTGTTGACTCTCGTAGTGCCCTCATGGCTCTCGGGTGCTTTAATCCAGTTCATCCGGTAGTTGTCGAGATCCAGCATTGGCTGTTTCTCGTTCACAGTAAATTTAAGTCGGTTGAGTTTTGTTGGGTTCCCAGCCATATTGGCGTGTCTTTAAATGAGCGTGCGGATGCTGCCGCTAAGGAAGCTGTCCGCTCTTGTCCCATCTCTCGTAAAGGCATTCCGTATTCCGACTTTTACCCGGTTGTCCATTCCTCAGTCCTTACCCGTTGGCAGGCTTCTTGGTTGTCTGTTACTGGTAACAAGCTACGTACTCTTAAATGTTGTGTTTCCTCGTGGCCGTCCTCCTTCCACCGTAACCGGCGGTGGGAAACAGCTCTAGCGAGGTTGCGTATTGGCCATACTCGCTTAACCCATGGTCACTTGATGGAGCGCCGCCCTGCTCCTTATTGTCCTAGTTGCATTGTCCCTCTTACGGTCGTGCATGTCCTTCTTGAATGTCCTGACTTCCAGGACGAGCGTGTGTCTTGCTTTCCGACCGCCCCTCGCGGTCACCTGTCCCTCGATAGAATTCTTGGTGACTCGGATACTTTTGATATCGTTCGCCTTATGCGTTTTTGTTCTCGTATTGGCATCCTTGGTGATATTTAGCGCCCTCTGATTATTTTGCGTATTTGATGGTGCTACATAGCCTTCCCGGTTTGGTGCCTTCTTTTGATAATTACTTACTTACTTACTAAAGTTAATAATCTCTCTTTTAGATAAGTATTTTCTGTGTGCATGTAACTTCCATTGTTGGGGACAGAAAGCCTCTGCTTAGGCTCGTGTTGAGGCTTCCTCTTGGTTGAACTACTGACCTTTCCCAGGATCCAATCCACAACAGTTGTCTAACTCGTGGGTACCTATTTACTGCTAGGTGAACAGAGGCATCAAGTAAAAAAAAAAACGTGCCCAACCATTCTGTCCCACCCAGGACTTAAATCTGGGATCCTTGGTTGTGGGTCTTGAACATAGACTACTACTGTAATGGCTTTCTACATCTTTTGAATGTAGATCTTGCAAACCCTTTCAAATGTATTGATATAAAAATATGTTTATATTTGCTTTGTAATCAGTCATGTCCAAAAATTACTTGTTACTCATTAAAGGAAATGTAAATACTGGTACAGTATAAACAGACAAGAAGCCCTTTTTATAAAGTTACCATCATTATACAGTTCATATACAGGTATTAAAGTATGACATTGTACTGTATTTATAGTCAAATTTTATTTGATCCGTTATTACAGTACTGTATATGAATCGAGCCCCAGGCCTGCCAATACATGAGCATGTTAGCAACCAATATTTGGGTTTGACTGCCCAGGATGGATGTACTGTATATCCCTTTCCTACAGTAATTTTTATATAGAAAATCAATGTGCTATTCCTGTATTCTACTAAACATATCCATTAATATTAGTAGGGTTCTGTATACTGTAGTAGTAATAATTCAACAGATGCCTCATAAACTGGCATAAATGTGGGTATTATGCCAGATACAGAGTAGGGACCTTAATATTTTAAGTTTCCTGCAGCTGAAGATGCTGCATCCATGGAATTTGTCATAAATTGACATCCCTGCTCTGCATTTTAATTTTCCCTAAGATCTTCTCTGGTCTAATCTTTGACATATAGCAATTTCGTTAATTTATTGTCAAGATGATTAATCTGTTTTGCATTGAATTCAATATAATTTTCCATTCCTTAGTAATAAAATTTATCTTTTTATATTGTATGAAACATTTAATTTTACAAAATGTTTGTTTGTAAAAAAAACAATTTGATGTTATATCTGACGTGATGTCAAGAAATACAATACTGTACGGTGTATTTATTACCTTACAGATGATGGTCGCACTCGTCCACATCCTAAACCTAGAAAACTCAAGAATGGGAAGATGTCCATAGTAGAACCTTTGCCAGAGCCTGATGAATATAGCTGTTTATTGCGAGCAAAGACCAACGATAAGAAGATTAGTACAGTGGTAACAATGATTTGTTTGAGTTATGCTTTGACCTTTTCCTGAGATACTGGGGCATTTAATTTGACAATGTTTTATATGAAGTAGAAGTTCTCACCAAAGAGTGTTAAGTTAGGCATTGTAATTAGGTATCCTCAGAAGGGATACCTTATGGTTTGCTGTGTTTCATTTCTAGGCTTGCTCTCTGTGGTTTACCTCTGCTTAAGGCACTGGCACTCCAGAGTCACTTAATATGCCAGCTCCTACCCAGAGTATGTATGTTGAGACCGGCATCCTGTCTACAGTATCGCCGTGATCGATACTGTCTTCGATACTTTGCCTTGTCCCTACAACACCCTCACTCTCGCTTATGTCGTACTTTGACCATTATCCCTCCTGTAGGCCCTGTTCTCTTTCACCACCTTCCCCTTTCTGTACGGTAGTCTCGCTTGCAAGGTTCACAGTTCATGTTACCAATGTTTCTTCTCCTATTGTTCCGTCCTTGCCCCCCATGGATGGGTCCCCTCTTCCTAAGTTTTGTAGATTCTGACCCACATGACTAAGGCTTTTACCCCTTCTACAGTTCTGAAACACCTTTTCCTTGTTCACTGTTCTTCACACTCCCATTCCATCTCCATCTTCACAGATGGGTCCAAGTCTGCTGACGGTGTAGGCTACTCCGTTGTATTTCCTGACTGCACCTATATATGTGTCGCTGCCTCCGGAGACTACAATCCGTTCTCGCAAATTCGTATAGTCAATATTGACTTATTAAATAAGTGCATAGGTGACATACTAAACATAATAGATACCCTTAAAAAGCTTCATAGAAAACACCGACCTAACCTAACCTTGTTAGTATGTTAAGATAAGCATCTTACAGCTTCGTAATTACAATTGTTACCTAACCTATTATAGGTATAGGTTAAGTAATAATTGTAATTACGAAACAATAAGATGCTTATCTTAACATACTAACAAGGTTAGGTAAGGTCGGTGTTTTCTATGAAGCTTTTTAAGGGTATCTATTATGTTTAGTATGTCACCTATGCACTTATTTAATAAGTCAATATTGACTATACGAATTTGCGAGAACGGGTTGGAGACTAGCATCTTCATGGCAGAACTTTATGCTATTTTACATGCTCTTCATCAACTGCTTTCTTGCCGTAATTTTTTTTTTTTTTTTTTTTTTTTTTTTTTTTTTTTAGTTGACTCACCATGCCCTCATGGGACTGGAGTCCTTTAATCCTGTCTATCCTGTGGTTGTTGAAATTCAGTATTGACTTTCTTACTTCCAGCAAATTTAAGACAGTTGAGTTTTGCTGGGTTCCCAGCCATATTGGCGTTTCCTTTAATGAGTGTGCAGATGCTGCCGCAAAGAAGGCTATTCACACATGTATATATATGACAAAGAGTGCTGGGAAGACGGGATAGCTCTCACCTGTAACTACACTTAGTCCTTAGGTAATTACACTTGTCCCATCACACAAGGTGTTCCTTATTTCAACTTCTACCCTGTTATTCATTCCTCAATCCATACCCCGTTGGCAGGATTGCTGATCTTCTGTTACGGTAACAAGCTGCTTGCTCTTAAGGGGTAGTGTGTCCCCATGGCCATCCTCCTGCCACCATAACCAGTGGTGGGAAACAGCTCTGGTGAGATTATGTATTGGCCATTCCCGTCTAACTCGGAAGCACTTAAAGCGCCGCCCTGCTCCTTAGTGTCCAAACTGCATTGTCCCTCCTACCGTCATGCATATCCTTGTTGAATATCCTTACTTCCAGGGTGTATGTGCATCTTGCTTCCCGATTGTCCCTCGCGGTCACGTGTCCCTCAATAGTATCCTTGGTGAATCAGATACGTTTGATATCGTTCGCCTTATTCGTTTTTTTTTTTCTCATATTGGCATTCTTAGTGATATTAGTGCCTTTTGAATAGCTCGCACTTTTGACGGTGCTACATAGCCTGGTGCCGGTGCCTTCTTTTGATAATAACTTACTTAATCTTTTGCTCTTTCTAATGTGTTAATGACCTGTCCAAAGGTGCAAGTTTCTACATGTCAGTGTTTGCATACAATGCCAGACTAATGTGGAGAGTACACGCTTAAGAAGACTAGAATGCTAGAGGAAGACCAGTCCTAGAATATAGCACAAGCTAGGAAAATGCATATAGTGAAGCACAAAATAGAGATTGTGTAAAGTTTAGAAGTTTACAAAATGGCTTGTGCACCATTAGCATTAACACTATCGGTAACTTTGGACCGGACTCTCGTCCATTATTTTTCTCCTGAGTCCTAACCGAGGACCGGACTTGCGTCCACTACAAAAATATTTGTATAAAATTCATTTTTTATCCAATCGACCTCGGGATAGTATCAAAATAAGCGCCTTTAGAATGCGCACAATTTGATACCAAAATGAAAGATGTAACATGAAACTTGATGTCCGAACACTTATATGATTATAAATAGGTTTTGGTCAAAATTTTATAATATTTGTTAAAATTCTATTTATTGTGCTATTATGTTGGGACTAGTTTTAAAATACGCGCCTTTATGTTGCGAACAACTTGATACCAAAATGAAAGATGTAACACAAAAATTTGTCAGAACACTGGAAAGATATAAATAATTTTGTGATGAGCTTTCAGTATTAAAATATTTGTTAAAATTCCAGTTATTGCTCTATTATTATGGGACCAGTTTTAAAATACGCGCCTTTTTATTGCGAACAATTTGATACCAAAATGAAAGACTTAACACGAAAATTGATGTTATCAAACTGAACGAGTATACACATTAGGTGGCAGTGTACAAATTGGTGCTCGTTCACGGGTAACTTTAGGCTTTTCTGCGGGGAGGCACTCCAGGCTTTTGTACATTATGTACTCTGTGTGGACCTTCCTGTTGTTTCTTGTTCCTCAACAGCACTGTGTGGCTTTTGGACGGTGGTTACAGTTCTCAAGTATCCAGTCCAGGGCCAGAATTCAACAAGCATTATACACATCTACTTACGAACTTGCACATCTTTTCCCAATGTTTGGTACATTGTTTACATTTATTAAACACTTTACAAGCTTCAAAATATCCTAATAAAATATTATTGTTATAAACAGTTTCCTAGTGCTTCGGAGCTCATAAACTATTTAATAATTGTAAGCAGAACTTCCAAAGATTGACAAAAGATGTACGGATTTGTAAGTACTTGCATAACTGTTTGATGAATCCGGTCCCAAGTCCCTGGGTCCAGTCTACCAAGCTCCATTCCACAGAAATAAGTTTTCTTCGCTTTTGTCTTTACGCAGGTAGACCTCACTGGGGGTGCCAAGGGGTGAAAACCAAGAAAGAGTTAAATTGCAATGAAATGCTAATTTCTTGGTTGCATATTGGTAGATTCCCATTCCTGTCCTAGAGTCCCAGTTACCCATACGTAGGACATATTGTGGTTCAAGTGTGACATGGCCTCTTCACCCTAACGCTTGGATAGATTGGGCCGCCACTGGGTGACAGTTCGGTTAGTTAAGAGTGAGCTGTTCAGAGTTCTTTGGTGATTAATGTTTTCCAAATAATTTTCATACTAGGATTGAACATTTTTGAGTTTTCCATTGTTAGGGTGGTCGATCTTTGATCCTCAGCATGCTGAGGTTGTCACCAGAAGCCTGGCAGGGTGACAGTGTCCTACATGAGCTGGTGACATAACCTAAGGAAAACTACTCAGAGAGGTCACCCAGATACGGGCATTTCATTGTACTCAACACTGTTACATAATTCCAGTACTGTACTTACCTTAATTTGTTTTACTCTCAAGGTTTCGGCACTGGATGCTCTGAAATTCCAACTGCAGTTTGCACAATTCCTCCGTTCCAACATGGATGGCCTTAAGAAAGAAAAGAAGGCTAAGAAAAAAGGCAAGAAAGCTACTCAATAAATTCAAAGCTGGAGACTAATATCATACATGAAAATGCGTAAAAATGAAAAATTGTCTAGCCATATAGGCTTTCAGAGAAAATCCGCATTGCCAAAAAGAGCTTGGGTTGGTCATGGGAGCATACCTTTTGTCTTAGGTTGTGGAATGTCTTTGATAAGGGTACCAATATTTTGGTGACTGTGATATATGTAATAAGTGGATTTATGATCCTAGCAAGCATTTGTAATGTACAGACTTCTGTATGAGGTTTTCACAATCTTGTGCATTGTCGTCAATTGATATAAAGAGAGTTAGGACTTTGTTCTAACTAATGATGGCATACAGAGTTGGTACGTGGCACTGAAGCCTTTTTTTTTTTTTTTTTTTTTTTTTTTTTTTTTTTTTTTTTTTTTTTTTTTTTTTTTTTTTTTTTTTTTTAGGATAAAAGCAATAGTCAGCTCTATAATTTGTTTTCCTTTGGTATATTGGGAACTAAATAATTACAGTACTGTATAAAATAATTTGTGTTGACTTAGGGAAAACATATGAACAGTTCTTTCAAGTGATAAATTTTTTGTTTTGAGGATATGCTATGGTTCTTGACTTAATTGTTTGATAGTTTGTGGCAATTTTTATGTAGCTCTTAAACTTTTCCTTACAAAAAAAATTAGTTTTATAGTATATTGAGCACTCTAAATTGAATAAAAAATAGTATTGAACCTAACTAAAGCAGCTACAGTATTGTCAGAAGCACATTAGTTGAGACTGCTGCTAATAAAATTGTTGTACCGTACTGCATATTGTGTGTTCAATGGCAGAGCTTCAAGGTCACAAAGTAAAGCAACTACCTTGGGGAATTTTAAATTTTCATGACACCCAAACAAATACTCACCTGGCATTTCTTGATGATTCTGAAGTCCATTCCTTGTGTCAGTAAATACAGTAACCAAAAATTTAATCACTGATTTTTCAAGCTTTTGAATTACTGTAATTGTTAAATTTATCGGCATGGATTTTCACATTTTGTACCAGACATACTTTGCATAACTTTCCAAATTGATATTGTTTGCCTTAGTTTATCTGGCAGGGCTTTAAGAGGCTTTACTACTCTTTGGTCCTTTTCTTTGAACACTGTGGTTTATTGTATAGTATTAGTAGATTATTTACATTATATCCTCATTGCGCCAGTTTATTATCCACCATACTTTATAGATTAATGTGGAAAGGGGATTGATTTGCATTGTGGACCAGTTCTCATGAATATAATGTGTATCTATTATAATACTATAAATATTCTTCAAAGTCATATTGCATGAGAACAGTTATCCAGACTTGCATATTTTCAGATTGTACCTTTTATTATTGTTCAAAGTTATTTCATACATTTAATCTCTCTTCACTTCTGTACACATATCTTTATACGTGTGGTTTGATGTCACTTCTGACACTGTTACAGAAATAAACCTTAACTCTGTAATTCACCACACATTTTTTACCATAGTTCTGAGTTGTTTTTTTTATTGTGGAATTTTTTCCTTTGTTTTCTTTATTCAGTTACACTTTTAAATGCTGTAATTTAAACATTTAATATCCAGCATAATAAACAAACACTTTTTTTAATTTGTCTACAAACTTGGAAATGTTTATAATACTCCAAGTTGTTGACAATAAGTAAACTGGTAAGAATTAGGTATTCCCAGTACGGAAACTATGGTTTTGTTATGTTTGTTGTTTTGCATGGCATTCCTGTTGAGCATCATAGAAGCCTTATTCAACTGTATTGACTTGAAATTTTAAATACTCACATTTAAATTTGTGCCACAAAGTTTGGATAAAATATAAATTGAGTGATAGTCCCATGGCAACTTTTTGTTCTCCATGTTTAAGGTCCTTTCATTATTGGATAGTGAAGACCAGTGGTAGCTATTTTAATTTATTTTGTATTGGTTGTTCCTATTGTATTGATATTTCATTTTATTGTCTTTAAACATACAATACATATGTTGGCCATAAAACAGTTGTTTTTTTATATTGGTAGGGTAGCTCCCATTGAAACCCATTTATAGTTATTTTCCCATAAAACATAATGCTCAGTAGTATTTTGTCCCAGATTCATATTAATAGGATATGCTATAGTTCTAGTTGATAAATAGAGAGCACTTGAAAGGAGTATCCATGGAGTGTTATTAGCAAATTAGTCTTGTCACCCTACACTCGAATATTTTTAACCTCCATAATTGGTTGCGGTAAAGCAAACTTTGTTCATTGTTGTTTTGCATTGCTTTCTTTAAAAATATTTAAGCAGTTTTAAATAAAATCATCACGTATTTATTCGGAATCCTCAAAAGAAAAAAATTTATTACTAATACATTAAATCACTCCACATGAATTCTTCCCTAACACATTTTGTCTACTACTTTGTAAAGCTAATTTCTCACTGCAATCCACTTCTCTAGACAAAGTACAGTGTTTGGTTAGGTCATCCTGTGTGTGGATTTTCACAATATTCACTTTCTATATGATTGTCTTTGCAAATAATCTTATATATGGAGGGTTTAGAAGACAAAGAAAATTGTTAAAATAAAGTTAGAACAGTATTTGTAAAAGTGTTAATAATGTAATTGTTTGGGATTTTATTTATTTAATATTTTTACCTCCCAGTTAAGGCCACAATTTGACTTTTGGCTGTTGTCACTGTACTGTAAAATGTTGAGCTGCTCTAAAAGTGACCTGGTCTGTGTATGAAGCACATCTGGGCTGCAGGTCATCTCTTTGTATGCCACAGTATGTTCCCGTCAGTTGCCTTCAATGTATAATGTATGGGAAAGGTACTGCTCTTTGGTATGACTATAAAAGTGTATCCCAGCTCTGGCGCACTGTATTAGCATGATTCTGCATCATTATTCAGTGCATGAATGTATGATCAAACACAGTATATATTTTCATAGGGTCTATTTGATTTTTTTTAATGATTGCTTTAGTCTTGTATTTCAAATTATCTTTTGAAACTTTTGGCAAATCATTAAATAAAAGTATGGTTAATTTAGTATTTTTTAAATCCTAGATCTCATGATTTTGACAGTGGGGCTTTTTTCTCTTGAATTAATGCATGCTAGAGGATATCCATAATGAGAATTAGGCTAAATATGAAGCTTTTTATGCAAAAATATATATTTTCTGTGTGTGGGGGGGGAGCAGCCCTTGTGGCTCCCAGGAGTTATCCAGGCTGATGGGGATAGTCTCAACTAATGGCATCAGTCAATGTGGGTGGAGTTCTAGGCCTACCAAGACCACGGGCCAGAAGCTTTCCCCCTCGGAGGCATGAGGAGCAATGGCCTATAGAAATGCACTTGTGATTTTGGAGCATTCTATATCTGTCATTGACGGGGACAAGCACCCAAAAAGGTAAACCCCTCAAAACAAACCCATATTCTGATAAAACCAACGAAACAAATAGAACTCCCCCAAGGGAAAGCGAGCAAACAAGTGTGACGTCACACGAACCGCATGTCCGCAGTTTTTCCCCTCCCCGGAAGGGGGAGCTATCTTGAGATGATTTCGGGGCTTTTTAGTGTCTCCTCGACCAGGCCTCCACCCCCAGGAAGCAGCCCGTGACAGCTGACTAATACCTAGGCACCTATTTTACTGCTAGGTAACAGGGGCATAGGGTGAAAGAAACAATGCCCATTGTTTCTTGCCGGCGCCCGGGATCGAACCCGGGACCACAGGATCACAAGTCCAGTGTGCTGTCCGCTCAGCCGACCGGCTCCCAACCCTCCCACCAGCAATCCACACCTTCAGTTCCTCAACTGATGGGATAAGGCTAAGTCATTAGATTCTCTTTGTGCTGGGCCTGGGTTCAGGACTTTTCTTTGGTGTGTGAGCTGGGAGACATATTCCAGGGTACTCCGCCGTTATTTGCCTGCCACGGCTTCTGTGTCCAGGGACGTGCTTTAGGTTGATCCGGTTTCCCTTCTTCCCTTTTCGCGGGTACTGGTCTCTCAGGTCGTCCGCAGGGTTATTAATTAAGTCTAGCCAGCCTGCGGTCTATCCCTGTGCCCATGACGTTCATAAGTTCGCTGCTCTTGCTGCTGTTTTTGGGAACATGTCCTGGCCTGACATTCGGGCACAGGGTTTTTGGCGGTCAAACTGGGTCCTGGCTGCACGCAACCTCGTGAATGTTCCAGTTCCTAGTTGGGCCTGTGTCGCTTTGGGTCAGCGGTTGCAGCCTGTCTCGACTTCGAGTTGGTGTGGAGCACCGACGCCTCCTGGGTAAGACCCCTTTTTTCCTTAGTCTTTGATGAAGTAGCTCCGAGGAACCATAGGGGCTTTCCCCAGAAAACCAGCATTGAATGTAATGAAATGCCATTTTCTGGGAGACGCCCTGGTAACCCTCCCTCTTCCCCGTCGGCGGTTTTCGGGAAATTTGATATCCAGCCTTGGATATCATATCTATATGTCTATGTTTTCCTATTCCACATTCCATAACACGGCATTTATTCACATTAAATTCCATTTGCCAAGTGGTGCTCCATATACTTATTTTGTCCAGGTCATCTTGAAGGGCATGACAATCATCTAAGTTTCTTATCCTTCCTATTATCTTAGCATCATCAGCAAACATGTTCATATAATTCTGTATACCAACTGTCATTTATGTAGACAATAAACATCACTGGTGCAAGAACTGAACCCTGTGGTACTCCACTTGTGACATTTCTCCAGTCTGATACATTGCCTCTGATCACTGCCCTCATTTTTCTATCAGTCAGAAAATTTTTCATCCATGCTAGAAGCTTACCTGTCACCCGTCCAATATTTTCCAGTTTCCAGAACAACCTCTTATGTGGAACTCTGTCGAAAGCCTTTTTTAGGTCCAGATAGACGCAGTCAACCCAACCATCTCTTTCCTGTAATATCTCTGTGGCTTGATCATAGAAACTGAGTAAATTCGATACACAGGATCTTCCAGATCGAAGACCATACTGTCTGTCTGATATTATATAATTTCTCTCTATGTGTTCTACCCATTTAGTTTTTATTATTTTTTCCAATATTTTCACTATTACACTTGTCAATGATACAGGTCTATAATTAAGGGGGTCTTCCCTGCTGCCACTTTTGTAGATTGGAACAATGTTAGCTTTTTTCCACACGTCTGTGAGGTCATTCTAAAGCATGTGTCTTGTTCCTAATAAAACACAAAATTAAACAAAAGGTGTACAGATTTACTACAAGGTTTATTCCAAAGTTGAGGGAGCTAAACTATTAAGATGGGTTAAAGGAAGTTACCCTTATTCTGAATAGTCATGATGAGTTTTTATGTAATTTTAATTAATTATTAATACATTAAAAATTTAAAATTTTTGCAATAATTGTTGTAAAGTAGGTGTTGAATATCAAGCTCAAAGTACTTGGCACAAAATGATGATCTGTTTCAGTACAACTAACTGAGAATGGTCAGACGTTCCAGTGTGAGTCACACAGGTAGCAAGGTAAACACAAGACAGCGTAAATGCTTTATTTAGAAGTAGTGTAAATGTATAAGTTAAACACAGACTTTAGTACAGTACAACAATATAAGAGCCCAGACCCAACTTACCGCCGCAGATCCTCTGCTGAATGTGTGTCACTATTAGCAACACGAAACAAGTGAATAAGCATGCCAAATATACACCGTTTAGAATATTATGAACCCCATATCAAACCTGGGGGCAGGTAGGAACAGTTATATTATGTACCTTAGAACTAAACCTTAATGTTCTTTAACCAATTTATACTAACTACTAAAGAAGGGGTACCACCTCTCATAAATATATTTTGTCTTTAAACGTACCCCCACATTGCGCAGTGGTGGAAAGGTTACAGTGATACAGTAGGCTCAGTTTATGCTGTAACCTACTTATAGTTGGCAAATTTGTCAATATTTAATTTCTAATCAATTATTAGTTTATTTCTTGAATATCAGTGGTATAATTATCTTTAAAAAAAATCACATTTAGTTACATAGTGAGTGATGCAAGTCAGTATACATGTAGTCGGATCCAAATCAGCAAGGTGTGAAATCCCAGAGGCCACAGCCAAGCCTAAGCCTATTAGTAATAGCTGAGTCTGTTGATTTTATTGGATGACCTATAATTATGTGGCTATTCTTGCATGATAGTGTGATAATAGATTAGCTAGTGTAGATTTCACTGTATTTCAGGTTCAAGAAGTTTTGTTGAAGTTCTTATGTAATATTTTAACAGCCTGCTTACAGGCAATTTAAGGGTTATTTATTCTCAATTCCTCATTTGAGAGGAGTGTACTTTCCAGTAAATGCTTTGGCTAATTCACCATTTCTATTATGCATTCGGAGCCAACATACAATAGAATCTAGGAGTTGAAGAAACTAAAACCTATCTCATAGTTCACCTCATTTACTCTGATGGGAAGTAAGTAATTATCAAAAGAAGGCGCCAAGATGGCTAGACTATGTAGCACTCTGGTGGGAAGAAACCCTGTGCACTAGCTACACGCCTGACCATGGGGGTAAGCTGTGTGTGTCCTGCTTCCTTACCTGCAAGCACTGTTATGGGCTACATTATGGCTCAAATAGTCAACGTGAGTGATATAAAATTCCTTAGTAAACAGAACTTAGACTGCCAACTGCCCATTGCCTATAGACACACATGGAAACCAGTGTATGGACACAAGGTTTGTAAAATGTAAATACAGTAGTGCTAAGTAGATTTCTTAAATAATTCTGACAGTGTACAATGCTATATAGATAAACCTCAATATTAAGGAGACATATGTGGGGATCTTTGAGAAACCATTAGAAATGGTGGCCCTCGGACAAATAGGCTTACTTTTAAATTCAGGAAAACTTGTATTATGTATATTGTTTCATGTTGAAGCAGGTCATCACATGTGAGCGCACACATTGACCCCAGTAAACTCCTTCACTTTACACTGGTCAGTCTCCCAACAATGAGTGTACTCCAAAATGTCACTCTTGTCCTCAAGATGCTAAAAAAGTCTAAGTTGACCTCTGGGGGTTGAGGGGTCATTTAATGGCTCACTGGATGGTAACAACTCCTGTACCCTGTTGAAAATAATTTGTATATTACTGTTTATATGATTCCTCATAATTATATTATCACTACTTGTTAAATATTAATCTAACTTTATCATCATTGTCATTTTATCATCCAACTCATCATCAATTAGTATATCATAAAATGTAAATAATTATAACACACACTTTAAATTAATTGCTGTATCACAGCAATTATCCACTACTGTATAGTGTTAAAGTAAGCTCTGTAATAAATTCATAACTAATGATATTCCATCTTCCAGTACTAATGTTCAGAACTATTTTACAGGTAACTACCCAGTCTCTGTACCTAACGCCCGCTAATTCCACTGATGTAAATGAGGTAATCCTTTCCCTTAAGACCAAGTCTAGTGCCCTTGTGGAGACACCAACTCTAATCTACAAAAAAGCCTCCAGATCTTTAGCCCCTGCCATTGTATTGCTCTACAACAAGTCACTTGAATTCCAAACTTTTCCAGATATTCTAAAAAAAGTGAGAGTAACGCCTGTCCACAAATGTGGTGATCTCATTGATGTCAACAACTTCAGACCTTTATCAATTCTGCCAAACTTGTCAAAAATATTTGAAAAACTAATCTACAAGCAGCTTTACACTTATCTAGCCAAACACTATATACTTAGCTCTTGTCAGTATGGTTTCAGATCCAAAAAAGCACTAACGATGCACTTATTAGTATGATTAACTTGATTCATGCAGCTCTTGATAAAAATGAGTTCCCTGTTGGGTTATTTGTGGACCTACGTAAGGCTTTTGACACTGTCAACCACCAAAACCTTCTTCTTAAGTATGGCTCGCGAAATTGACATTCTGTCCCGTTTTCTTTTTTGGGTTCTTTGGTAGGTTAGGAGAGGGTACTTTAGTATGACAATTTATTGACGTTGGTAAACCTTAGGAGGACGGGCTGAGGTTCGGCCAATTTGGTACATCTAGATCACTAAAATGTGACGTTGCGAATGTTCGAGAGAACGTTGGAAATGTTCGAGAGGACGTTGGGAACGTTCGAGAGGACGTTGGGAACGTTCGAGAGGACGTTGGGAACGTTCGAGAGGACGTTGGGAACGTTCGAGAGGACGATAGGAACGTTCGAGAGGACGTTGGGAACGTTCGAGAAGACGTTGGAAACGTTTGAGAGGACGTTCCGTATAAAGGTGACATGTACTTGCAATACTTTAAATACAATACAAAAAAAGCATCATGAGTTAATATAAGATTAGTGTCTTACCATTCGTCGCCGTAGACCGCGTCAGTCCCAGGCTGCGTGTTTACACCCGGAGGTGTTCTGAGCCCTTATGTTGTCCCACCCCACCACGTGTCTCAGCACCGCCTGCCTCCGAGCCACCTCCTCCTGCCGATAGTTCCTCAAGTACATGTTTGCAAGACTTTAAACAAAATATATAAGAAACCAAATATACATGTGTGGTAATTAATTCACTTTTGTTTTTAACAGTGTGAGATGCAAGGCTAAGCTTATCGGATTGATCTGTAAGTTTGTATTAAACATTGTTTAGTTTTCAGTTAGGGAGATATTTTTGGAAATGTATAGCTTCGTAAATAAAATGCAGAGCAGACATAATAATTACGCTAATAATGACTGAAATAACTACTACGAGAATGTGGTGTTACATATCTATGAATCACGTACATATAATTCCCGTTTGTCAGGGGCAGAAAGCGTGTACGTATATAGACTTATTGAGGTTTCCCTATGCTAACTAACTTCTAACTTTCTCAATCGGGGCCAGATTAAGGCATGGGCTTTTAGAGGCTGCAGTCCAGGGGGCCTCCGTTAGTAGAATAGCTGTAAAGTCACGGGTTTTACCATGTTGCATGCAGTGTTATTTACATTATGATGATTAGCTTGAAGAATTTTTATGTACCTCCCATTGGGGCGGAAAGAGTGACTGGTAAATTTTCCGGAATCAGTCGGTTGAGGTGATATGCCGCGTCTAACATTCAAGTACCATTGTCTAGAGTTACCCAAACCAATCTGTGGCTAGGGAGTAGATAATAACACTAATTATGTAGTAGTTTTAAAGTGATTACCTGCAGGAAACCTCCTCTCTAGGGCTGTGTAGTTTCGGACTTTCGGTAGTTATTCTTTAGAATATGTATGGGTAACTCGAAGATCGGATGTTATAGAAATGTGATAAAAGGTAATTATGTATTTCCTGATACATTTGCCAGTGATTATTTTTGGGACTTTTGTACTTAGTAAATACCGTCATTATGCGACGAGCTGTCAACACTATTTAGAGGCAGGAGCTCATCTCTGCACTCTGCCACTACTTGAAGAGTCAATTTGTGGATATCAGAGGAAATGGACCTGTGCTGGAGAGCTGCTTTTTTTCCTGTTAAGTTGGTTAGTAGTCCATAGTCCATACTTATTTTAGTTTGGGAGTTTTTTTTAGTTTCAATCAGATTTCAATCAATCATAGTTGTATATAGTATACATATATATATATATATATATATATATATATATATATATATATATATATATATATATATATATATATATATATATATATATATATATATATATTAACCTAATTCCCGGGTATTTATTTAATATTTGGTAAATAGAAGAAATCCTGGAATCTAACTCAGGTCCATTCGGATGTGAAGCGACGTACACATTCTGCACCAAGAATAAATAACTTAAGCGAGTTCTTACCAAGCTGTGTGAGGGTGTCTTCTGAGAGACCGTGCAGCATGCCTCTGCTGCCTCCCTGATTTGACGAAGATGGGAACCCTCCTCCTGAGTTTGTTGGATCAAATCCTCCTTGTTTACCATCACTTGATCCACCCTGCCCACTAAAGCCTGATCCACCTTGTCCACCATTTCTTGATACACCTTGTCCACCATTTCCTGATCCACCTTGTCCACCATTTCTTGATCCACCTTGTCCACCATTTCTTGATCCACCTTGTCCACCATTTTCTGATCCACCTTGTCCACCATTTCCTGATTCACCTTGTCCACCATTTCCTGATCCACCTTGTCCACCATTTCCTGATTCACCTTGTCCACCATTTCCTGATTCACCTTGTCCACCATTTCTTGATCCACCTTGTCCACCATTTCCTGATCCACCTTGTCCACCATTTCCTGATTCACCTTGTCCACCATTTCTTGATCCACCTTGTCCACCATTTCCTGATCCACCTTGTTCACCATTTCCTGATCCACCTTGTCCACCATTTCCTGATCCACCTTGTCCACCATTTCCTGATTCACCTTGTCCACCATTTCTTGATCCACCTTGTCCACCATTTCCTGATTCACCTTGTCCACCATTTCTTGATCCACCTTGTCCACCATTTCCTGATCCACCTTGTCCACCATTTCCTGATCCACCTTGTCCACCATTTCCTGATTCACCTTGTCCACCATTTCTTGATCCACCTTGTCCACCATTTCCTGATTCACCTTGTCCACCATTTCCTGATCCACCTTGTCCACCATTTCCTGATCCATCTTGTCTACCATTTCCTGATCCACCTTGTCCACCATTTCCTGATTCACCTTGTCCACCATTTCCTGATCCACCACGTCCATCAACGCCTGATCCACCCTGTCCACTATTTCCTGATTCATCCCATCCTGCATTTGATGGACCCTGTCCTCCTGCTCCATCCCATCCTCCGGGATCTGATTCACCCGTCCCTCCACTACCTCCCCACTCGCCTTGATCTCCATCTTCTCCTGGTCCTCCCGACCTTCCTCTTCCTCCACCTCCTCCTGGTCCTCCCCTCCTTCCTCTTCCTCCACCTCCTCCAGGTCCTCCCCTCCTTCCTTGTCCTCCACCTCCTCCTGGTCCTCCCCTCCTTCCTTGTCCTTCCCATCCTTGTTCACTTCCTGCTTGCCCTCCCCATCCCGCATGTCCTCCCCATTCTGTTTGTCCATTCGTTGCTGCTCGTCCTGGACAGGAACAAACAGCCAACTTGTCCCACACATAGAAGCCAGTGACAGGGTTCTGCTGTCCGTAGTACACTCCTTCCTTCTCTGTAAATGTAAACAACACAAGTTTTACACACTCTGGCAAGTAATTGAGACTAATACAGCTGCGTATACACTAACATTCTGAGCTACCTCCCTGGAAACACAAACCGTAACTGTCTCTATTTTCCGCGTGTTACAACTTGTAATAAAGTTGTTACATCTTGGCTTAACGTGTTTATGACGTATTAGAACGTTGTTAGAACTTGCTATATTGGTTGTTATAACTGGTTAGGAGGTGTTAAAACTTGTTCCGACGTTGTATCAACGTCGTAGTTTCGGTGTGTGTTTGGCGGGCTATGTGTTTTAATATACCTACAATTTTTCTCTCATCTTTTATTTTTTTCATGCTATGTAACTGTTATCATTTTTATAAATTTTGCAAGTATTTACCTACATATATGTTCCTTAGATTAAGTACCTGCCCGAAACGCTGCGCGTACTAGTGGCTTTACAAGAATGTTATTACTATGCTATGTATCCTCACAATCCCAATGACCACAACACAGCAGTTGCAACATCAGGATCTGCGGGTTGGTACAAGAATTCAACCAACTACGAACCACTTATTTTGATGAAAGGGAGCAGTAGAACAACGGAAGTACACTTACATCCCATTAGGCTTGGATGCCCATGTGTATGGGAAATAGGCTTGCAGGTTCCGGAATATGAGAGGAAATGTCAGCACTGTGGAGAAATGACTGACAGACCATTGGAACATTATCTAGCACAGTGCACAGTTACAAACCCATTAATATTTCAACTTAGATTCAACAGAGCAGAAGAAGTTGTTAAGCACATGGGACAAAATCTTACTGAAGCGACCATACGAGTCATAAATACTCATACTCCGCCCAAGTAAAACAGAAACAAGCAACACTTAGTGGGCCAGCCAGAGGCTTAGGGCCCACGCAGGAATATCCCTGCAAAAATAAAGTATCAGTAGTTGTGGCGATAGGAAGAGTGGTGACAGCGGTATAGGTAGTCGTAGTATTCAGCGGCAGCATTAGTAACGATAGTGATCAGTAGTAGTAGTAGAAGTAGTAGCAGTAGTAGTAGCAGTATTGATATTATCAGCAGCAACATCATTACTGACTCACCCATTAACCAGTAACCTGGCAGCTCTTTACTGAGTTTGACAGTCTTCAAGAACTCCATAATGGGATCCTGGAAGAAGGACTCGTCGTCGTCATCCTCCTCCTCTGGCGGAGCCACAGTGTTCACGAACATGAGCCCTACGTCCTGCTGGGCCGCTCTGCGTATAACAACACTCATTAAATATCTATTATGTTAAGCACTGAAGCTGTACGATGTCGAACCAGCAGCCATTGACCAGGATTCACCAAGTATTTACACATCTACCTTATGATACCTGTGGATCATTAATTCTAGCGGCTTTGTTTACATTTATTAAACAGCTGACGAGATTGAAAACTTCACAACTCAAGAGGTATTGATTGTTATAAATATCTTCGTAGTGTTTCGGAGCTCATAAACTGTTTAATAAATGTGAATAAAGCCGCCATGATTGATTGGGAAAAATTCACAGGTTTCGTAAGTGGTTGCGTAAATGCTTGATGAATACCGGGGTCCCTGCGTAGTGCTCCAAACATCATATGGCTCCAATATATATATTCATAGATTCATCACGTTCTTCTTGTTTTATTGTGCACTCATTATATTCAATCTATTCCACTATATCATTATTAAAAATATCCGAGACTTAATCATTTAAGAGAACTTTAAATACTGTTGGCCGTGGAAACCTAATCACTGAGGTACCCTAACCTCCGTGGAAACCCAATCACTTTGGAAACCTAACCGTTGTGGATACCTAACTACTGTAACTACCTAAGCACCACTTAAATCTAACCTATATATAGAAACCTCACTATGGTGGTGCCTAACTGATGTGGATACATTAACAAAGTGAAAATCTATCAACTGTGGAGACCTAAATACTGTGGAAACCTATTCTCTATGTAACTTTTACAACTATGGAAACTTAACCACTATAGAAACCTAGCCACTCTGGAAACGTAACTATTGTAGAGACCTAACTAGTGTGGATACCTTGCCACTGTGGGGACCTAGAGAGATTACCTGAGGCACATCATCTTCCTGTTGGGGCTGGGACCAGACTTTTTTGCCAAGGAACAGAGCGTTGATGGGTCGACCTTCATCACCTGAGAGAGAAAGTTATAGCAGTTTCTGTTGATTTCTAAATATACGTAAGTTACTGCTTCCCAGTGTTATGTTATACTGACTTACTGCTTCCCAGTGTTACGTTATACTGACTTACTGCTTCCCAGTGTTATGTTATACTGACTTACTGCTTCCCAGTGTTACGTTATACTGACTTACTGCTTCCCAGTGTTATGTTATACTGACTTACAGCTTCCCAGTGTTATGTTATACTGACTTACTGCTTCCCAGTGTTATGTTATACTGACTTACTGCTTCCCAGTGTTGTGTTATACTGACTTACAGCTTCCCAGTGTTGTGTTATACTGACTTACAGCTTCCCAGTGTTATGTTATACTGACTTACAGCTTCCCAGTGTTATGTTATACTGACTTACAGCTTCCCAGTGTTATGTTATACTGACTTACAGCTTCCCAGTGTTGTGTTATACTGACTTACAGCTTCCCAGTGTTATGTTATACTGACTTACAGCTTCCCAGTGTTATGTTATACTGACTTACAGCTTCCCAGTGTTATGTTATACTGACTTACAGCTTCCCAGTGTTATGTTATACTGACTTACAGCTTCCCAGTGTTGTGTTATACTGACTTACATCTTCCCAGTGTTATGTTATACTGACTTACAGCTTCCCAGTGTTATGTTATACTGACTTACAGCTTCCCAGTGTTATGTTATACTGACTTACAGCTTCCCAGTGTTATGTTATACTGACTTACAGCTTCCCAGTGTTATGTTATACTGACTTACAGCTTCCCAGTGTTGTGTTATACTGACTTACAGCTTCCCAGTGTTGTGTTATACTGACTTACAGCTTCCCAGTGTTGTGTTATACTGACTTACAGCTTCCCAGTGTTGTGTTATACTGACTTACTGCTTCCCAGTGTTATATTATACTGACTTACAGCTTCCCAGTTACGTTATACTGACTTACTGCTTCCCATTAATAGGTGTCACTGGTAAATAACATAGATGAACACATTATTATAGTGTAGTGGGACACTACGCTATCATTATCGCTGTGAAAACCCAGCCCATCCTCCTGTTTTGGTAGTACTTATAGTAACGTTGATGGCCATAGTATACATACCAACGTATAACGAAATTATAAAGTATTAATTGGCACTATTGAGTTGAACAAACCGGAAAACTATTTTCTACTTATGTTGTAAAGACAAAATAAACAAACCTAACCTAACCTTCCTAGGCCTAATACACGATAGCTGAGGCCTAATATGTGTGCCATACTAGGCCTAGGAATATTTAAGTTTGTTTTTTAGCTTCATTTTCCAACTTTATAAAGTGAATAATACAAAGTTCTACTATCTAATTACTTAGTACGGCAATCTATGTACTATGGTGTACATAGTTACAAAAACTGTTTTCTAAACAGGAGGATGGGTTGGGAAAACCTACTAGAGCTGCTAGGTATTTATATAAGTTCTCTTTCAAATTGTCTTCTTATGATCCTAATTCTATGATATATGTTTGGTCAGTATCTGTCTTGCCGCTATGGTGCTAAATTACATTTTACTTTGTTTTATTTTACCAATATATGTCGATATATATTTTACCAATATATATCCTCAGTCAAAGTGTAAGCTAAATGTTTTTCAATTTATATCTTAAAAAGGCAAGTTTGGTTTACACTGGTATACTTAGTGCAGTCTTAACCGTAACGATTTGTATAAGTTGTTACGGAATAACTTTTTGATTGTGATTCTAACTTATTTTACATTTGGGTGAAAAATTATTAAAATAAAAAACTCAGAAAGGGTGTGGACTTAAAAGCATGAAATGTGTAAACAAGAGAGGGAATATCATACGAAATACAAATACTCACGGACTGAATGAAGTCAGCAACACAATTTCTATGGTTGACGAGAAGCTGCATGTACTTGATGGTGATGTTAAAGTTGGCGGCCATAGGCTGCATGCTGCTGTTAAAGTTGGCGGCCATAGGCTGCATGCTGCTGTTAAAGTTGGCTGTCATAGGCTGCATGCCTCGCGTCTCTTTCATAACCACCGCCGAGACATTCTTCCTCACGAAGTCCATGAGGCTTTGTGCCGAGGCGTTGGACATGCTCAACACGCTCTGGACATCATTAAGATTATTGTCCTCGGCGTAGTTCCTGGTGGTCAAGTTGGGAAGGTTATTATACTGATATAGTCTGTGGTGCTGTGTAGCGTCGACACCAAGGCACACAATGACACCGTGTTGGAGCGTGTACCGTTGACACACACATCCCAGGCTATAGCACACAGGGGGGGCCTAATAGCTGAGTGGACAGCGCTCTGGGCTCGTAATTCTAGGGTCCGAGTTCAATCCCGGATGATGGGAGAAACAAAATGGGCAAAGTTTCTTTCACCCTGATGCCCCTGTTACCTAGCAATAAATAGGTACCTGGGAGTTAACCTGATCTCGACAGACTGACGGTTCATAAGGTGGCGATTGATGTGGGGCGTATACTCACGACGCACCCCTAGGGGGCCCCGGCAAGACTGGCAACATGTCTCTTGTTGGGTGTCCTATTCTCTAATTGTGGCTCCGTGGTGGGTATGGGGGCACATTCGTGAATGAAAGTATTACCTCTCGTTTTCATGTCGCT